ACCCCAGCTTTGCATGCTGCCCACGGGCCCCCGTGTCGGTTTCGTGGGAGTCACTGCCGCCAGGTGGCACAGGGTCAGGCAGGGCAGGGTCCAGGAAGCGTCCAGGTGGGTGTGGGTGGCAGGCTGTCCTTACAAATGTGGTCAGGCAGTCTGGGGTTCTTGGGGGCGGCCTCGGGTTTGAACCCCTCAGATGCAGCTCTTTGATGTTTTCTGTTCCGCCTGGGGAGGTGGCGCTGATTCACCTCTTCCAGATTTAGGACCAGGGTTGTTTGGAATCGGTGTGGTATCATGAAGGCCATCGGTAGACCACCCAGCATCTGGCTGAAGCTAGGTTGAAGATTTTTATAGGGAAAAACATAAAGTAATCTCTATGAATTTTCTTTAAATAAATAGATGCTTTTCCCTCCTACTCTGCCATTTGTTGATCTGCTGTCCCAGGGCCACATTGTTCAGTCTGTAGGAACGGGGGCGTCAGAGTTGAACGGAAATGTGAGTAAGGGCCCACAGCGGTGTTCCCACCAGGTCTTGAAAAATGTACCAAGCCTTCTCTTCCTGCCAACCCACAAAAATGACAGAAAAATAGACCAACTTCTTTTCACCCGTATGGCAGTAGGATGGATAAAACACAAGTTTTACACAGTGGTGAGAAGTTTGCATTTTATTTTAACTTAGAAAAATAATCAGGAGCAAAACAGACATTAGGAACACAATCCTGTCATAAAGCCGTAACCATCTGATTGTAAATTCTGAGTCACTCAAGGAAGACCGCAGACAGTTCCAGAAAATCTTCCTGGGTATTCTGCTTTACCAAAGTAAATATGACCAAGGACCCACCGCTCAGCAGATACAGAATAAATTAATCCTAGGCCAAGATGCAGAACAAGCTGGCTGCCACTGTCCATGCACCTCAGCCGCTGGTCTCCTCCTTGGAATGTGCTCAGAAGTGAAGCCAAGTCATGGGTGCATCAGAAGGAGGTGGAGCAGGCAATATATAACCACATAATATATTTATATATAATATAGTAAACATAGCTGTGTATCGTACATGTATATATAGGAAACCCTATGAATCGCCCGCACAGACAGCCCTTCAGTTTCTATACTGTTTAGTTATAAAGTCCTGAGCAGGCTCAGCACGGTGACTCCACATACTCGTTGTCCAGCCCTCGGCGAAACCGTGCGGTCAGGGAGCGGCTGATGACAATCACCCGGGGCCCAATGCAGTCCTCTCTCCTGTGAAGAATGTTCCAGATGAGCATGGCAGCTGCCAGGGTGGCCAGAAGGCAGGCACCAATGTTCAGGTAGCAAGACCAGGACAGGTTGGTATACGGGCCGATTCTGTAGAATGTCACCAGCCCAATGACCAGGACAAAACCTGTAAACGAGAGAGAAGTGTTCAGAAAGCCTTACTTGGAGCCAGGAAGAGGACTGGAAATGGGCTGTTGAGCCCCACAGAAGCTCAGCTCCCAGCTCTTCCCTGCCGCCCTCAACGCCCCCCCCCCCGCCCCCGCTCTGTCTGTCCCAGTGGGTGGTAGCCCGATTCACATGCCGCGCTTCAGTGTTGAGCTGCTTTGCGTTGGGCCTCTGTGTGCTTTTACGACCTTTGGGTGGCTGTGGAGGGACAGTGTGCGTCTACTTAATCCTGGCACGGAATAATTTCGGGGGGGTGCTCCACAAGAAAACAGCCTGGACCCAGCGCACTCGTCCTTTGGTCTCCAGGGCTGGGCCATTTTCTTAGCCACCCTCCCCATGGAGGTGAACTGCTGCTCCCTGTCCCTCACCCCGAGACGAATCCAGCCTCAGCTCTGCATGAGCTCCTCCCCGGCGCCTAGAAGCACTTCATTCATTCAAGTGAAAGTAGACACAGAAGTCTAAGTCTTAAAAACAACTTAGAAACAACTCAGATTGGTATCTAACGCAGTCCTGTTCTTAGCAGTTTTCTTGTTCTTAGTGTTCGCTTCTAGAGCAGATAGAGATTTTCTTCACACCTCTGGAGTGCCTAGCGCCCACGTGCTCTGGGGAGGGGCAGACAGGGCTGCAGACACGGCCAGTTCTCTTGCTGTTGCCTCCCCTCGCCTCTGCACCCTGCACCTGGTCCTACAGTTTCCCTTGCACCTCCACATCCCCTCCTCCTGCTTCCCCTCCACAGCCTTCTCTTCTGACGGTGGACAGAGTCCTGCGCAGGCCTCACGTTGTTAGCACTTAGCATCACGGTGTCACTTCCTGTCACGGTTTGTTAGTTCTTGCAATAGGAAAGCCAGAGTTCGTGCCCAGGACCTGTCGGCTAGGATAACAGGGCACTGATGTTTGCTAGAGTTCAGGGCCGAGTCGGGGCCGGGAGCCCCAAAGGGACAGAGGAAAGGCCCTGCTGTCCTGCTGCCTAGGAGGCTGGTCCAGTGCAGCCCTCCAACCCCTCCGCCAGGAGGGGCCGGACGAGGCAGATGAGGTAGGAAGGAGGCGCAGTGCTGAGTGGGAGCTATGGCTGTCGAGGGTGAGGGGGCCGGGCAGAAGCAGAGGTGGGGCAGCCCAGGGAGCACCCCACCCTCTGCGGTGGTGACCTGGGGGGAGCTGTTTCTTGGAACCCAATGTACCTGATGAGGACAAAGTCTCTCGCAGTGGTCCGGACGGAAGCCTCCCGCCCCTCCTGGACTCATCCCTGTCCCTGCCTTGGGCTTTGGCCAGGCCAGCCTCCTGCTGCAGTCCCTCCCCCTGCCCTGCGCTCTGACATCCGTCCGTCTGTTCATGCTGGTCCCTCCGTTCCCCACAGCCTCCCCTGCTTTCCTCAGGAAACCAGATCATGCACGACCCCTGTGGCCCCAGAGCTGAGCCGCAGTGATGTCAGCTCATGGTTCTGGAAACTGTTATAAACTAGTGTGGGGTGAGGGGTTGGGGGAGGCCTGAGCTCTCACAAGCACAAGCAGTTCGGTCTCATCTTCACTGTACCATCCAGAAAGTATGAATTAAACATTTACCCACCTCAGTCACGTGCTAAACAACAGCGGCGGTGACTAATCTCCGCATTAATTCTCTGCAGTACTTCGTGGAGCTTTTTATACCCAGAAAGCTTCTGGATACTTCCTTTCTGTTAAAAATAACTAATTCTCTTTGTCATGTACACTGACAGAAAGAAACTTCTGGCATTTCTTTCTCTCCCAGTGAAGAGCATGTCCCTTGCCCACAGTTCTGTGGTACCGAGGTTTGCATTCATGGGAAAAGGAGTGATAGTCCATTTTGTGCCATGAAAATGAAAATACTTCCTGTGTCCCCTCATATTTCTGTGTCTTTGGGCATTTTTTGTCAGCCAAGGGAGCTTGTCATGCCTTGTTTCAATAGGACTCAGCAGGACGGGGCGGGCGGGGACATGCTGGCCGGTGCCTGAGGTCACAGCAAGGGGGCTGTGTCTGGGGGACGGGTGTTTGCTGCGAGGTCAGTGGTAGCCTTCGGGCAGGGAGCCAGGCTGAGCGGAGAGGGCACTGCCTGCAGGGCACAACAGTGGGGACCAGCGCAGTGGGCAGGAAGTCACCGCGATGGCTTCCGTGGTCCAAGTCTGTTCGCCCTTTGCCAAGCATCCTTTGGGGTTGCACTGGTTACAGGAACGTTTAAAAATCTGATATGCAGCCTGAGCCCCAGTTCTGCGACATCATTCATTGTGGGGGTGTATGCAGGGGTGAACAGCCTCGCCCCAGCCCCACAGCTAACTGGGGTTGGCTGACCGCACTGATGAGTAGAGACAGGGCACCATGAAGTCCATTATGAGACATTTCTGTGAAGACCGGGGCAGAGCTGGTCCAGAGCTGGAAGGAGCCAGGCACCCTTGCCTGCCACAGCCAGAAAGGACAAGGCCCCTGTGTTGCTCAGGTGCAGGGCACTGTGGGCTGTGTGCCTTTGCCTGGCCTCAGATCTCTGCCCCCGTCTCCATCTCGGTTAGCGGTGTGGCCACACCAGCCCCTGTCCACTCCTCCAGGATGCCGAGTTCCATCCTCTCCCGGCCTTTGCTGGTGCTGCTAGCCCTGTGCTTGACCAGCCCTGGGGAGGGGGCTGCCGGCAGCACTCAGCCTGGAGGTCCAGTCACAAGTCGGCCCATCGCAGCTCGGGCTTGGCCCGTCCCCTGCTGGCGACCCTGTGGCTGGAGGGCGCCCCCCCCACCCCCGCTCCAGCTCTGCCTCCCAAAGGGTCGTCCAGGAATCACCTAGTGAATTATCTGAGACAAACCCAGATAGATCCCATGGTGTGGAATTGAATGCAGTGTGGGCCTCTGGGAAAGCTTTAGAGTGACCAAGCCCATTGGGGACAGGGCCTGTTCGCCATGATTGTGTCGCTCAGGGTTGGAGCCGCGGCAGGACGTACTGGTCCCCAGGCTGTTCGCTAGTTTCCATGCGCATGTGCTCAGCACAGCTGTTCGCACTGCACGGAGGGCTTGTAGTGTGTGCGTGGCGGAGGCATGCTTGACTCGTCCTGGGGGAGCTGGTGTTCTTCTTAGAGTGGGGAAGATTAAATTTACCCGCACAGCGTGGTGCTCCAGGTCACAGAGTCACCAGATCCAGTATGGTGAGCACGGGCCGGGGAGTCCTGGACAGGCCCGCCCAGACACTGCCAGAGAGTGGTGTTGGCTGGGCCTTTGACACCAGGAGATCCCATTGTAGGGACACTCTGAACCAGGCAGTGAAAATGTTCACTCATGGGACCAGTCGACAAAGTGCGTGGGCAGAGTAGCTGCTGGCTTCCAGAGCGCCACGCAGCACCGCCACACTGGGGCCTGGCCAATGGCAAGACGTGGGGCCCTGTCCTGTGTCTGTATTGGCCAGCACCACAGGGTTACTTGTTTTCTTAAGGTCAGTATCATATAATGGTATATTGTTGAGCATAGGGTAGGCTATTATTTTGTTGCTGTCTTTGTGTATTACGTCCTCCCTCATGTTTGGCTCTGTTGCCCACAATGTGCCCAAACTCAGAGCGTGGAGCTACTTTGATGTTGAGAGTAAGGTTTTTCATATTACAGATGGAAGAACAGGCGGGGGTGGGTAGATTGATTAGAGAATATGAACTCACAGGTGCACAAACAAGCTGAGCACAACTACCCACATCCCGCAAGGTGATGGATCAGTGTCAATGCAGAGCCTGACAGACGGAGTTTCAGAGAGTCTGTCCGTCTGGAGCACTACTGACCGCCCGACAGTAAGCGGCCCCGGGCAGGTTTCCAGCACCGTCCATGGTGCGTCTCACCTCTCTGGCCTGCTCTTCACAGGCTGCACCTCACTTGGCTCTTTTTTCTAGGAGAAGTAGAAAAGAACGTCTAGTTCTATATCCTTATGTGAAAAAAGGTTTAAAGAATTCACATTTATGTGACTTATTCTGTGTAAAGACCCATGTTAGTTTTTGCTTTGTTTCAGTTCAACTTAGAACACATATAGTCAGAGAAAGGGCTTGACTCCCCAACATTAAAAAAAGCTAATTTAGGAAAAGCCTCTCCTGATCAGGAAGATACTGGGAACCTACTAGAACAACGGCGCAAGAACAAGTGGACCCTGCCCGGGCCACTGGGGGTGGCACAAACTGCACAGACAAGTGGCACATGGGGATCTCCCGTGTGTGCATGTCAGCAGTGAAAAGCCGCGGGGACATAGACAGGCTCGTGGCCTCGCTGGCCACCTCCAGCCTCCGCCTGGGCACTGGGTAACTGCCATTACGTAGACATTCTTCTGAAATCCAACTTGCTGTTTGCTTCATGAAATTCTCCTGCTGGAGGGGAGAGGAGGGGTATGGGAAGTAGACCCGGGCCAGGCTGGCCTTATTAAATATTAACTCATGGGACCAGTCAACAAAGCGACTGGATGTGCCAGAGACTTGGGCTTCCCCATCTCTGGCACATCCTGGTGTGGAGACCCCCTCAGAATTGTCCCAGAGACTTTTTTCCCAAGACTTCCCAGTGATGTTCATGTTTGTCCAGAAACAAATGCAAGGGGAGACTTTGAGCAAACACCCTGAATTCTGCCTGTGGAGTCAATTCCATCCTCATGAATTTCTGTTTCCAAAGCAAACAGCCCCTTCCTGTGAGCTGGCCACGCGGGCTCTATGAATCACAGCTCAGCCTGCAGAGCGTCCCTTTCCTCTCGCTTCCTTCCTGCCTGCTTCCGAGGGCTCCAGTGCCTGTCACAGGGCCTTCCTGTTGGGGTGACGGTCAAGCACACGCAGGTGGTATAAGGAGAGACCGTGGGGCTGAACCCTGAACCTTCACACAGCACACCTGCTTCACGTTGCGCCTGTGACAGCTTCCAGAGAGAGTATTCACAGAGCAAACTCGCTCTTGGCCCGTGTCAGGGCACAGCCGTGGTTGGGATGTCCCAGCATCTGTGAGCCGCAAAGTGATGGGATCCACGTGTTCCTCCCCAGTGGGAGGGATTCTGGGAAAGGAAAAGCCAAACGTACAGCGGACCTGGTCATGTTTCCACAGAACTGAAGCTCCCAAATGATGCCTGACATGCTGTCACTCTAAGCACAGAGGACATGGAAGTGAAGGGAAAACACAGGGTACGTTTGGGGTACAGACCGGCGCCAGGGAAGCAGGTGCCAAAGACAGAAAAGCACGTTGTCCAGACCAAGCAAGCACCACCCTATTGTGAAAAACAGAAAGTTGTATATTCCTATGAGAAGAACAGCAGAATCCCCACTGGCTCACGAGATGCCAAGACAGCTGCCGCTTATCAACCCAACTGCCCCGTGAAGGTCCGACGACATGAGCATTCTCAGGGGCACAGAGTACTTAGCGTGTTTTAAGTTTTGCCATCATAAGAAAAAATATTAGGATTTCCAGAAGCCAGAGACGAGGAGCCCAGGAGCTTCTGCGGTGATTCTGCTCCCACGGTAGTCCCGCTAGAGCTTGGGAGGCTTTGTGTCAGGAGGAGGGCCGGGCCGGGAGCGGGCTAGTGAGGGCTGGCATCCACCAGCTATAGGACATGTGTGGTGCAGGGACAGCACTCTGAAGGGCCAAGTGCCAGAGCTGCACACCTGTGAGTTCTCACTGGCTTGGGAGCATGGCGTGAGCTCAGTCGGGCCTGCTGGTCAGCCTCCCCAAAGGAGGTGAGGAGTCGTTGGCTAGGGTTCCCGAGGAGAGCCCGATACCATCTCAGAGGCACTCAGAACACAGCAGAGAGCGGAGGCCTCTGCAAGTCGGCTGTATGTTTGTACTTGAACTAGACCTGTTTGTGATGGCAATCGCGCTTTAAGAAGAACCGTAAATCTGAGCAAGCTGCAGGGTCACTCAGATGATTGACAAGGAGCCTGGACTAACGTTCTGCACACATGGAGGTAGGCCAGCAACAGAGCCTGGAATAACCATGAGATTGTCCCCCCAAAAAATGTTCGCCTGGGACCCAGTTGGGTCAGTCAGTCCTGCACAGCCAACAGCCAGGGCCCAGGGCCGTAAGCACCTGAAGAGTCACAGGACGGTCACACTTAGGAAATTTTGGAGACACCCGCTGCTCGGCTCTGAGCAAAGAGCGGTGTGGCATCCCCAGCAGGCCCACAGGGGGAGGTCAGGGTGGTCACAGCGGCAGGCATGATGGAGCCGCCACCGGCCGGTTGGCCCCAGCTCTCTGGCTGCACAGGAGCTAGGGATGAGGTGGCTCATCCAGGGCCTCAGAACCTGATGCGGCACCTAGATGTCCCAGGACTGCATAGGAGCCTCACCCCGAGGTGCCCGCCAGGCACGCTGCCTGCTGAATCGGCCCTCGGCGGTCTGCTCTGCCCCAGGCGTCACTCAGGTGTGTGACGCAGGGTCCAACGCATCTGCAGTAAGCAGGCCAGGATGACCGTGCGCCTTTGTTCACACAGCAGTGAGACCAGACTCGGACGAGCAGAAGTTGGCCAAAGCAAGAGAGTAAAGGACAGAGGACGGGTCTGCAGAGCCAGCCTCCAGGAGCCCATATGGGAACGTGGCTGTGGTAGGGGGCTGCTTGCACTTGGGTGGGGGTCGGCCCAGTGGCCACCGCACGGGCAGGTCCTCATCGCAGCCCCGATGGGAGCCGTTGCCACAGGGAAAATGGGGGTTGCATGCAGATGTTCAGCTTGTAGAGGTGGAGTAAGAGACAGAAAGTAATCTTTTCAACTTCAAGGTAAATTAAAATTACACTTGGAAGCTTCTGCAAGGAAGCTGGAAACTGCTGGGTGTGACTTTGTGAACAGAATGCAGCAGGTGGAATGGCTGGCGGGACCTGTTTGAGGACAGCAGCTTCGGGGCCCTGCACGTCCCTACGACAGGGTCCCTCAGAGGAGCAAGTATGAGGAGCAGGGCCCGGTGCCTGGATGGGAAGAACGGCGGGCAGGCGGGGAGTCGCCATCCTTGCTGGGTTCCAGCCTGCCCGGCCTCCCCGCCTCCCCATGAATTCGTCAGCACCTTCTCTCCCCGCTGCCCACCCTCTGGCCCCAGCACTGGGGACTGAAGGTTTGCTTGCATAACAGGTACCAGCAGGCATTTCCCCTCCTGGGACAGGATATCCCGGCGCCCTTCAGTCTCTCTCCCTGACTGTTTAAAGCAGACCGGAGCACAGGAAAAAACCTAACTCTAAAATTAGCAGTGTGGTGGAAGAAAGACACATGGCTGCATTCTGTACTGTTTGTCAATGAAACAAGTCTAAACAGGGCCAAGTGCATTTCCTTTTTGGGCAAAACAGACCTGCGGGAGTGATGGTGGGACGCCTCCAGGAGAAGCCTCCTGGAGAAGCCTGCAGAACCGGTGCTCCTGGCTTTTCCCGTCAGCCTGTACCGGTCTGATGGTGTGTGAGCAGAGACTGCCCCGGTCTGGGGACAGCCAGGAGAGAGCACCCCCGCCCCACAGCCAGGACAGGCCCCAGGACGCCCCAGGGCTGCCGCCAGACAGCTCCCGTTTCCTTCACAGGGCTCCCCCATCCCCACTTGCTCGAAAAGATATGATTTGGAAGCAACACTGTCTTGTTCTGAAATGAGGGTTCGTAGGAAGTAAGATGTCCGTTTGACACCAAACCCACAGTCTCTCTCCCAATAATTCTAAATTAAAAATGCCGTGGTCCATTTATTCTGCTGCAAGGAGTTATTTTCAGAATCAAGAGCTGTTCCTTTCATTTCTTCAATGCCTGAATATCTGTTCCTAATTTTCCACTTCCTTCTGGAGGGAATAGAGTTTCAGATAAGCCCATGCGATAGAAAGTGGGCAGCCTCAGTGAGGCTGAGGACCCCATTTCTGCCTTATGGCCCTAAGGTCAGCGGAGGGCAGAGGAGTGATTTTCTGAACGGTCACTGTCCTCTGGGATGTGCATGTTTTTACCCACCTCCCTGGATAAGGGAAGGAGGCCGAGGTGGTCAGAGACCCCGTCTCACCCACATCTCCTTCCTTCTCAAGACCGGCCCTGTGGGGGCAGACGGGATGCGCCCAGCCCCAGTTCCCGCGGATTGCAGGTGACAGAGCCAAGGCGCCTGTCCAGCTCCCTCGGCCCCACAGCTGCTCTTTCCTGCAAACCGTCTGGTCGGCCCTGGGTGCTCCCAGACCCCGCGGACGACCCGGCCGTGGGGAAGTGACTGGCCCAGGACCACCCGCCTTCTATTAAAAGGCACAGGAAGGCCTGTTTCCAATTCCTGATTCCCACCCGGCTCACTTTCCAGCATGTGAATTCCTGCCAGTCTGTCAGCCTCATTCTCCAGAAAGATAAGGGCCGGGGGCCATTATTCCCAGAATGGTTCACTTCAGACTTCCTGCAGTTTCTCTTCCTGGGTCTGCTGGAACTGTACCTTCAGTGTTGGGGCATGCTGCCATTCCCCAGCAGTGGGAGAGGCAGGTGGGTCGGCTGATCACATCCCCACACCCCAGCCCACGTCATTCCCGCGCAGGACCTCCACTCACACGCTCGCCAGTAGGCAGCAGAAAACCCGAACGTCCCCAGGTGAGCTGGCAGGAAGGAGGCGTAGGGGAGGGGAAACCAGCAGAGAAGACCCCCCGGGGTCATGTGAATAGCTTCTGTGGTTTCCATGGCCACTTGTGCACAACTTCCCGAAACAATCCTATCTCTCGTTTACGCCGCCGCTGCCATCATTCTCAGCCTTCCGACACCAAGGGTGTGCCCGCGCCCTTTCTCAGTTCACGCTACAGCCGCCCCCAAGGCCCGGCCGGTGTGGCCTCCCACCCTGTTCTTGTGGCAGCATGGGCTGTTGGGTGTGGGAGCCAGGACAGGCCGGTGCGCTCAGGAGCTAACGTGTCCTCCATGCTTTGTGCTGCTCATGAGGAAGGGCCTGCCGCTGACCCCGGCCGGGTCCCAGGAAGCTGCATTGTTCAAGGAGCGTGCAAATGAGCTTGGCTGGACCCTCATGCTCGCCCTGACCTCCCCGTTCACACAGCGTTAGTGGGGAAGGTGAGGTGGCGGAGGTGCGGGCTCAGGTGGGGGCTCTCCCCCTGCCTGTGGCAGGCTGCTGCACCATCACTGGGGGGGCTTGACCCCAGGCCACCAGCCACATCAGCTGCAGACAGGCAAAGACATAGCAGATGCCGCAGACTTCAGAAAGCAAGCACGTGAGCCTAGAGCGCCAGCACGCGGAGCACCCTGTCTTACAGCAGGAGAGGGCGGGAGCCCAGGTGCTCGCTGCAGCCTCAGTGCCCCCACCTGTGGTTCTGTCTCACTTCTGCCCACGGTGAAAGGTGGGAGGGTGACCCACGGGAGTCGTGGTGACATTAGAAGACCGCAGCGGGCCTGCCAGCCCCATGCGACCAAGTGTGTGGCCGCCCTGCCTGCCCAGGGCCCCAGGGGTACTCACTTGCCAGCTGGAACGCGGCAGCCATGGCCTCCTCCCAGCACTGCGAATCAGGAGACAGCAGGGGCAGGCCTGCCAGCCCCAGGACGAAGGTGAGCTGTCCCGCAGCGAGCGCTGCCGTGGCCACCAGGTTGCAGGCGCGCATCATGTCGAACTGCACTGTGGGAATTACAGGGGACAAGACAGGTGGTTAGCTCGGGCAGCTCCTGCCTCCATCTGTGCCCGGGGCCTCACCAACCTGCCCTCCCTGCCCTGTGCTCTCCACTCCCCCGGGTGGCGGAGGGGGGTTCGCAGTGCTGGCGTGAGAGGCCTGTGGACAGACACAGCTTCCCCGTGTGCTGGGCGGCAGGGCGCCAGCCTGCAGGAGCGTGCCCGCCGTGACACCTGGCCCCAGCCGGCTGCCGTGTCTGCGCCCTGGTGTCTGTGACTGTTGCCCTTCATAATTAGCGCCTGAGGAGCCCGGAGTGAACCGACGTGTTGCACCACTCCCCGCCCCAGGCCTGGCTCCTCCTGCCCGTCAGGAGTCAAGCACCTTCCTCCTCCCCATTGTCTTTCACAGGCTCAGGGCTCTTGCCCTTTGCAGATCCCAGGCCTTTCCCTGAGGCCAGCGGCGCAGACAGGAGCAGGGCCAAACAGCAGAGGCCTGGCTGCTGGGAAGTCAGGGTGGCCCTGAGGGCAGATCGGGGCCGTTGGAGGATGACAGTCCCCACCTGCCCAACTTCTTCATCGGGCCGAACTGGCGGCTGCTTTTGCCCTATCTGGCCGTGTAGATGAGCTGTGTGGACAGTGAGCATGGTTGGGGCTATGCTCTCTCACCGGCTTTTCTCCCCAATACCGCTTTCTTGCCCAGCGGGCTTCACTCCCATGGGCTGAGAGCTCATACTGTGCTCTTGAGAGTAGCTGCAGATCGTTCCTGCCATTGATAGAAACCCTGACGCTCGTCTGATTCAGTAAACGCCTGGGGTGCCAGAGGCCAGGCCTGGCGAGTGCGGGGCTCCTGGCGCTGGGGTGGCAGCGGGGCCTGGCTGGGGAAGGCGCCAGCACCCACATTTCCTTACCTCCCCCGCTTGAGGTGGCAGCTCAGGCTGAGAGCCAGGCTTCAGGCCAATTTGCCGGAAACTTCCTGGCTGCCCAGGCAGTCTTCGTGGTGGAACCCAAGGTGCAGCCAGCCTGACCAGTGGCCGCACGTGCATGCAGGACACCAAACTGGTCCTGCTGTCAGGACGGATCAGGCTCCAGGCAGGTCCTTCCCGTGCGCTGAAGACTGGCCGACCTGCCTTCTTGTGGAGGCCCTGCTCTTCATATGCTCTTTCTGGGGTCTTCACACCCCACGTTCTTTGCAGTTAGTTTTACCAATATGTGACCACACAGAGATTCTTGTAGCCTCAGAGGTGGTCGGATATGGGAGATAGGTGTGACCTCAGAGATGAGGGGCGGTAAACATTCTGGGCACTCGGGTTCAGGGCCGGCCCAGGGAAGTGCAAGGTTCCCCAGCGCAGCCTTGCAGGCCAGGCAAGGAAAGTCTCGCACACAGGGCATACTCGCACACAGGGGAGTGGCCTGCCCTCCCGCTCCCTCCGCCCAGCTCTCTGTCCTTCCTGGTGCACAGCTGAAGCCACACACCCTGGCCACCAACAGCCCCCTATGGCATCCTCACCCCATCAGCCTCCAGCCCCATGAATGTGAAGATGTGGGAGGGTGAAGGATAAAGCAGTGACAGCCCACAGACCCACCACCTGCCTGAGAAGACTGCCCTGTGGGCCACGATCCCTCTGCCAGCCACCTGGAGGGGACCTGCAACAGGGGAGGGGGTGCACGTTTGACAGGCGGTGATCACCATGCATGTAGCCTGGGCAGCGGCACCCCACAGGAATGTGGCATGAGGGTCTGTGGCCGGGCAGGCCCAGTGCCCTTTGTCTGCCTCGGTGGTCAGAGAGCAGTGACCCCCTCCGGGCCAGGTGCTCAAGGTTTAACTGCATGTTTACTCACCCCTTACTTGTTTTAGAAAAGGAGGTTAGGGCGCCTGACAGAATGTCTGGAATTTGGAAAGATGAGAAACGCCCAGAGAGCAAGTCTGACCGGGACTGGGTTGGGAGTTCTCCTCGGGCCAGAGGAGGACCTCACATCTGCCGAATCCCCATGGCGCCTCACAGCGAGGAAAGCCTCCTGAGCAGGGATAACCGTCACGATCGCCGCATGCAGCCCAGTGAGGCGGGCAGGAAGAGCCCCCCCAGTCCTGGAGGACAGGACCCCGCGTGTCACTGAGGACCCCTGCAGCAGAGTCCCCTGACGCAGGGCAGAACGTCAGGTGGTGCTCCGTGAGCACGGAGTGGCTCGGACTCTGGGCTCTGCAGGGCGTTGCCAGGACCCTGAGAGCAGAGCAGACAAGCATGACCCCCATCCCTGGGCTGCCCCCCCACCTGCCACAACATCTGGAGACTAGGACAGCCTGACTAGCACCCGAGATGGGGAGCTTGGGATGGATCGAGTCAGGCCTGCGGCCACACACTGGCCTGTAACGGATCGAGATGACTGCGGAGCATGCGGGGTGGAGGGGTGTTCAGCGCTGAGCCAGCATGAATTTGAGCAGGGCACCACCCGCTCCCTCCTCCCCCATCCCTACACCAGCGGAGTGGTGGCACAGAGGGCCGGGGTTTTCCCTGGGAGCTGGTCTGACGTGAGGCGGCAGGTGCTGGGGCCCCTGCACAGATTAGCCTGGTGCGCTGCATCCTGCAGCTCGTGCACACGGACCAGGCAAGAAGTGGGTCAGCAGCTCAGTCTCCCGCACGAGAACCTTCCACACTGTTTCCTTTGCTTGGGGCAAATACTGACGCCCAGAGGTTACGGCTAAGCTGCCATGGATGCGTTACCAGTGGTGAGGATGTTGTAGAAGTCGTACAAAGAGCTTGTCAAATCGTGGGAGGGACCACAGGCGGGTGGCCAGGTGGGAAGGCGTTCTGGAGATAAGCACATCCCCACCCTGTGTACCCTCCTGGCCTCAGCAAGGGTCAGAGGGTATGGGCGCCCAGGGAGGGCCCCTGCTTGACAGGGAGGCCTGGGCTGGGGGTGCTCTGTGGGTCAGGGCAGCGCAGAGCCCACACTAGAGCCTCAGGGTCGATGGCTTGCATGACTCCTCAGGACAGTCCCAGGACCCAGCAAGTCCCCTGGGATCCAAGGTCAGCTGTGCTGAGTTTTGAGTTTGTGGAAAAGTTTGAAAGCCCTGCTTGCCAGACATAGCCCATCCCCAACAGAAGACCCCCAGGCTACACGGCAAGGGGCTCTGAGTGGACAGCCTGGGGTTGCCTCCCCCCAGGGACCGGGCCGAGCACATGTCTCCTGCAGCCTCCATCTCTTTGTGGAATTGGACGCCACCTCCACCCCGGCTCCCTCGTGGGTCAGGGCTCCAAGCACGTGGCAGGTGGGGACATTCCCACCCCGAGCACAGAGCTTTTCTGTGCTGCTTGAGGACCTTGTGGACACCCTCTGAGAGCAGTTAGCAAAAGCCCTGCCAAAGCCTCACATTCTCGAAAGGATGAGCTCTGTCACCTGTCCATCTGTGAGTTAGACTCTTGTCAACAGCTTCAAAGAGGCAGCTCGGGGAGACCTCTGCCTGTCAGCTGCTGTGACCACGTCGATGACACGTTCAGTGACAAATGTCTCACTGTGAGCCTTCCCACCCACACACTCAAACCTGACCCCACGGTCAAAGTCCACTTCCCACCTTTTAGAGCAGCCAACAGACCCAGCCGCCAGCGACCAGCCAGGGCCAGGACAAGACCGCGAGGGGCTCTGCTCTCAAGAGCTGCTGCTCTGAGCCCCTTCGCTGCCCCCGTGGCTGGTCTCCTCCCGGAAGTCCTGCCTCGATGACCCTGACAACTGTGGAGTGAAGTCGGAACTCAGCCACGTGTTTTTAAGCTTCTTGTTTATTTTACTAACGAGGTGTATTTTCCAAGAAAAGCAGATCTTCCTTGATCTGGTTAGTGGGTCTGCCGTTTCCCTATGTGTGGAGGCAGAGAAAAGCCCAACACTCGCACGGGAAGAATTCTGTCCTAAAGGAGCCGCGGCAGGTCTGGGCACCGCCGGGAGGGTGGGTGCAGAGCTCAGGGCTCGCCTGGGTTGCCGGTCACCAAACACGCGCCCCGTGTTCACCTTATGCCATCAGAGCTTGCAGGCCCTGACCGCCCTAAAGGAGGCATAAAGATAAGCAGACTTACGTTTGACGGTGCCTCGAGCCTCCTGGAAGCCTGCCGCTTCAGAGCCCCAGCTCAGAGCTTCACAGTCCCGAGCGTCCGCCTGCCCTGGCCGGGCCCCAGGGCTCGGCCCTCCCCGGGCCCTGTCTACCAGCCAGCAGGACTTCCACAGCCCCACGCTCCGCTTGCGCCCATCCTCCAGCGTCTGGTACACCCAGTTGGGGGTGAAGGCCGCCACGTTGTTGAGGACAAGAGAGACCAGGGCCACCAGCGCTGCTGTGGCCACCAGTTTCTGGACAGTCATCGCCGACTGCCGGTGCTGTCCCTTGTCGTGGAGAAAGTCCCAGTCCCGGTCAGCTGCTGTGGCCAGGGAGAGCCGAGACCAGCTAGGGGCTGCTAGAGGACATCACCGCTCATTCTCAGTGGCATCGGGAAGGCCCATGTGACAGGTGCAGGTGAGCTCACCTCAGGCCCTCCCTACCCTCCCTCCTGCACCTGGAGCAGGGCCAGGCCTGAGTTGCAGCCAGCCTCTCGGCCCATCCCGGGGAATAAGCCGGGGCACCAGCGAGAGTCCAGAGTCGTGCGTGCGCCGTCTTCTTGGGAAGCAAGGCCTCTCCTTCCCACAAGAAACAGGAGAGGTGGGCAGCAGTGTGGGGGTCTGTCTCACCTCACTGCTTAGAACCAGCACCACAGAGCAAAACCAGCCACCAGGCTCTGAGCAGGGCCGGGGGTTAGCTGTGCCGGGAGCGGTTCAGCCTCTCACTGCGGGAGCCCCTGCCCTGTGCCTCTGCCACGAAACAGCTGGTCCTGGAAAGCAGCGAGCCTGCTGCAGGGAGGTGCATGTGCGTGTGTGTCTGTGTGTGCGCGCGCGTGTGCGGCCCCCCCTCCGCAGAGAGGAAATGGTTGTTTTTGAGGCTGTTTTTTGTGAGCTGGTTGGAGGGCGTAGCCAACTGCAACAAATAGCAGCCAAGCCACGGCAGCCAGACTCTAACAGGATGTGTTTCCTGATAGGAAAGCAGGGAGGCCTTCTCAAGTCCTGCTCCAGGACCCTCCTCCCCTGCCCTCCCCACCTTCCTTTCCCAAGGGCAAGGCCTGGGGTGCCAGCCCACAGCAGACCCGTGGTCCCACCTGTGTGTCTTGGATCCTGCCAGCCTGGTGCTCAGGTACCACAGAACAGCCCCAGAGGCAGACAGTGGCCACGGAGCATGTTCCTGCCCTGGGCCCGGGGCCTGAGTGGGCAGGATGCTGGTGGCCAGTCACCCACAGCCATCCGCTGGTTCCCCCAGCACGTAGGCGCCCCGGGGCCTGCCCTTGTCACGGGTTCACAGGCAGTAGATGAAGTGGCCGGGCCTGGTGGAGAGGCCCCCACTTGCCACCCAGATGGGATGGGTCAGGGGCCCACACCCACAGAACCACGAGGCTGGAGCATCATCCTGGATGGAGGTACAAGAAGGTGGGGTCCTGGACATGCAGTACAGTCCCCCAGCGAGGCTTGAGGGCGGAGGGAATGTGATCTGTGGCCCGGCGTGTGTCTGTGCTGGCTGTGCATCCCAATGGGGGAGCTCAATCCCTTCTGCACGTACAGACACACGGGAGAGGGGGGCCGCCCCCCAAGACGCCACGCCTATCTGGGGCCCCGAAGCGGCTGTGCACAGAGAGAAGGGCACCCACACAGCCCATTACTAGCACGTTTACCCTGGACGTTGTGCAGTCAGACCCCTCAGGCCCCGAGCTGCCCACTCATCGCCAGGTGCCCTCGTCACAGGGGAGGAGGCTGGGGTTGGGGTGCAGGGAGGCCACACACCTGCCGGGGACACAGAGGCGGTCAGATGAGTCCAGCATGGTGGGACTGGCCTGGTCCCCTCGGCTTGCCTGCACCCCACTCACCTCCCGCTTCTGGAGCTCCAGAGAGTTCCTGTGAGTCTAGAGCCCCAGCCCCCGTTATTTTGTGGGTTTTCTTTTTTGTTTTGGGGTTTTTTTTTTTAGTTTTACAATTCATTTAATGGCAGCTGGTAATCAAATTAGCAATGGTTATCTTCAAAAGTTATTAACACTTGCTGTGCTGTCATTTCTCAAGGATGATCAGATATCTAGAGTCACAGACATTTCCCACATAAGATGCATCAGAGGGGCGTCTGGGTGGCTCAGTGGGTTGAGCGTCCAACTCTTGGTTTCTGCTCAGGCCGTGATCATGTGGTCATGGGATCGAGCCCCGCATTGGGCTCTGTGCTCAGTGCAGGGTCAGCTTGAGATTCTTAACCCCACCTCCCCCTCTGCTCCTCCCCCTGCTCATGCGTGTACACGTGCTGTTTCTCTCTCTTAATACATAAAATCTTAAAAAAAGGAAAAAGATGCATCATGTAAGTCAGACATGGTCTATCACCAGCATTGATAAAACCAGACCCTTCCGTTCCCTGAGGGATTTGGCCTGTTTTCAGCATTTTTCCCAGCAGAGTTTGTAGCAAATGCATCAGCTGAGTTCTTGCTGCTACCTTCTCTCCTTGGCCTATGTTCTGCTCCAGCTTCCTGGGGGCTCCAGGGGGGCACGCATAGCCCTCCGCACATGGCCCCCTTCTCCCAGGAGAACTAGGACCACTCAGAGTCCCTAAGGACACAGTGCAGTGGGTCGCCTCCACAAGGAGGCTCAATGTTCCACTTGGAGAGATCAGCTTCCCCCCTTATTTATTTAATCATTTAAATCATTTATCCCTGGGTGGCCTTTGATGGCTGCTGGGTCAGCTCTATCCAGCTCCCCTACAGGTGATGTCTGGAGACCCTGCTCCATCCACTACCCCCAGATTCTAGCTGGGGGCCACAGGCCTGGGCACAGAATATGAGTTAGGAATGACCCTGCCCACACAGGACTGTGGGGCCCACCCCAGATACCCAAACCTCCCCAGGGCCCTTCCCATCCTCCCGAGGTGTGCATGCTGGGCCCTGGGGGGTGGGGGGGAGTAGCAGCGCCCCGTGTGCCTGCCCTGTCCGTGCACATGACGGCCGGGCGGGCGGGAGCTTTGTCTCAGAGCAGAGAAGCTCGGGCTGCTTTGTGGGCCAGGAGGCCATGAACCCTGCAAGCCTGAGTGGCAGGCCTGAGAAGAGGGGCCTGTGGGGCCAGTTCCGGCAGCTCTCAAGAGAGGGCTTTCCAGAAAGGGGGGCCGTTTTCAGGCCAGGCCCCTGGGCAGCCGTGTGCCTTGCCCTCTCACAGTGATGAGGTGCAGATGTGAGTAGGGCGGGCGGGGACGACAGGAAGCACTGGAGCTGTGGTGGGCTGGCCCCTGTCCAAAACCCAGAGCTCCACGTCCTGCGTTGGGGCCCTTCCCAGCCGGTAGGTCTCCGGCTGCTCTTCCAGTACTCGCTTCCCACCCACGCCCCCCAGCTTGGTGGAGGCCACTGGTGGCCCTGCTCAGAGGGCGGCGTGGGAGCAGCCCGGCCTTCAGCGACCTGTCCCCCTCGTGCACATAGCAGGCCCAACAGCGTTAGCCCAGGGAGGCACAGGGAAACCAAGTCAGGGAAGGGCTCTGGGACGGCCGCGGGTTTCTCTGCTTGTTTGGGTTTTCCACTTGAATCATATGTAGATATCAGCCACCTGTTTTCTGGACTTAGCAGAGGGTGAAAAAGGGCATGGAGGCACAAGCGACCTTGTCCACACCCCCACGTGGGTCCCTGAGACCCTGGGGTATGGAGTATCTTAAAGAGGATTCCCACGCGGAATCCACTTGGAAAGGGAGAAGGGAAAGGCTTGTGTCTGGTCGGCGCCTTGCTGTGTGGAGCCCCACGGTGGCCCGTGAGCTTGAGAACAAGGACGGAGTCCTGGGGACGTGCAGGATCATCCCCAGGACCCCCAACCTCTATTCAGCCCAGGTCAGGGGCCCACCAGCAGACCCCACACTGGGCATCATGCACTGGTCCTCAGGGGCATCAGGGTTGGGGCTCCCCACCCCCTTCCCCAGGCCCACTGGGGTGTGAAGGCTCTACAGCCCCTTTTCCCTGCGGGGCCCCTGCCAGAGGGCAGCTTCAGCACCTTGGTGGCTCAGCAGAGGGTGCAGGCAGGTGTAGAGCAAGGAACGTTTGACGAGCAGACGGTCATCAAAGCAGGGAGGAAAGTGGGTGTGTGGGAGGCCTGAGAGGGTCCCCATCAGCTGCAGGGGACACAGGTGGCCTTCAGCCAAGGGAGTGGTGGGGGCCCTGGTTTGCCACATTGCTGTGTCCGGTATGTGTCTCGGGGGGTGGCAGGGGTGCGAGGGCTGCAAGCTTATGGAGCTGCCGCATCCCCTGGCACAGCGAGGCGGTCTGGGAGAACATGGCGCGCATGTGTGTGAAGACCCAGCGGCTGGACGTCGCCAAGGTGTGCCTGGGAAACATGGGCCATGCGCGTGGAGCACGAGCCCTGCGGGAGGCTGAGCAGGAGCCAGAGCTGGAGGCCAGGGTGGCCATGCTGGCCATACAGCTGGGCATGCTGGTGAGTCGGGCGCAGCCCTGGCGTGGGCAGGCGGGCAGAGGGAAGGCACTGGCCTTACAGGGCAGGCCATGGCCTATGCGTGTCTGGGCCACTCGGTAGCAGGGAACAGAAACCCCCTCAAGGAGCTTGAGCCAAAAAGCAGAGCAAAGCCTCTCTCCTCTCCGGGGCCCTCCCCGTCTCCTGCACGTGCATGAGCTCATGGTCCATCATGCACCTGGGGAGCCAGGCAGGGAGGGGGCAGGCAGACACCCGAGTCAGCTCCTGGTCCACAGGACACTGTGGCGGGTGGGGTCTCCTCCCCAGAATGCAGGGCAGCCCCCCAGCCCTCCCGGCTGACACCTAAGTCAGTCTTGCTTTCTCGCTGTGGGACGGAATGCTGCAATGGCGTGTGGCATCACTGCATGTGGGGGTGCACAGGCAGCTCTCTTGGAGCCGGAGGGCTGATGCATGCTCTCCCACCTCCAGGAGGATGCCGGGCAGCTGTACAGGAAGTGCGGGCGCTATGACCTCCTGAACAAGCTGTACCAGGCCTCTGACCAGTGGCAGAAGGCCGTGGAGGTCGCAGAGCTCCACGACCGCATCCACCTGCGTGCCACCTACTACAACTACGCCAGGCACCTGGAGGCCAGTGCTGACCGCGGCCTGGCCCTCAGCTAGTGAGTGTGGGGCCCCGTCCGGGCTCAGCCGGGATGGGCCCGCTTGCCTCCGGCTTCCCCCTCTGCCCCAGTGAGGCGCCCATAGAGTTACCTAGAGGAAGCTTCTAGACTGAGGCACTACCTCAGGGCAGGTGGTGGCCTTCCAGGTCTGCTGGGGACCTTGAGCTCAGTCTCAACAGGAGAACCTCAGACAGCCCGCCTCCCAGCCCGTGCCGGGTCAGGTCTCTGGGCCAGGGGTCGCTGGCTGTGCCATGGCAGCGCCATGAGCTGCTGGGCGCCGCCGTGCTGTGCTGAGACCGTGGGGAGGAGTCACTGTTTCCCTTCTCTTGCAGCTATGAGAAGTCAGACACCCACCGCTTCGAGGTGCCCAGAATGCTCTCGGAAGACCTGCAGTCCCTGGAGCTCTACATCAATAAGATGAAGGACAAGTAAGTGTTGCTGCTGGATGTCAGGGCCAGTGGGCGGACCGTGGGTTTGCTGCAGAGCCCGGGGGCCTCCCTCCGTTGCTTCTCGTGGGAGAGTGTGAGGCCCTGCTAGGGCGGGGCCTTTCCTCCAGACCCCGGGCTTTCACTCCTGGCCGCGTCACCCAGCTTGCACGCTCCCTCCTGGCTGCTGGCTGCATGAAGGCACAGTGAGGGAGGCGTTGGGGACCCGGGGTCCTTTCCAGGGGGCGCAGGCCCTGAGTGGGTCTGGCGGGCTCCTCCCAGGACCCTGTGGAGGTGGTGGGCCCAGTACCTGGAGAGCCAGGCAGAGATGGACGCGGCGCTGCGCTACTACGAGCTGGCACAGGACTATTTCTCCCTGGTCCGCATCTACTGCTTCCAGGGCAACATTCAGAAGGTAGGAGCACCCGGGGGGCCTGCGGGGGTGGGGATCAGAGACAGAGCCCCAGGCCCGCTGCTCTCTTTCCAGGCTGCTGAGATAGCCAACGAGAGTGGAAACTGGGCAGCGTCCTATCACCTGGCCCGCCAGTACGAGAGCCAGGAGGAGGTGAGGCAGGCCGTGCACTTCTACTCGCGGGCGCAGGCCTTCAACAACGCCATCCGCCTGTGCAAGGTAGGCGGGGCAGCGGGCACGCAAGTCGGGCAGGTGGACAAAGGGGCCCCTGCTGTTGCCCACGTTCACACAGAAAACGTGGAGAACAGTATGGTGTGTGCCATGTGCCCCACCCTGGAGACCTGCACCTTTCCACTGCACCTGCTCCCGCTGGTCTCAAGCCCCCTGGCGGTGTTTGTGAAGTGCCGAATTCTGATTCTCACTGAGAAGTCCTTAAGCTTCCACGGCTTTCCAGCAAGCACTCAGGCTGGCTCATTGCTCGTGGCCTGTAAGCAGCAGGAAGGACGTTCTGCATGCGTGAAAGTGTTCCAATCCAGGGCTCAGAGAGCAATGTTCTGTTAATAGAAAAAGAAGGAAGCTTCCCAAAATGCTGGTACACAGACCCCATGTGACAGTCTGACACTGGTTAGAAACCATCATCATGGGATGCCTGGGTGCCTCAGTCATTAAGCATCTGCCTTCTGCTCAGGGTCCTGGGATCCAGCCCTGCGTCGGGCTCCCTGCTCAGCAGGGAGTCTGCTTCTCCCTCTCCCTCTGCTGCTCCCCCTACTTGTGCTCACTCTCACTCACTCTCTCTCAAATAAGTAAATAAAATCTTAAGAAAGGAAGAAATAAACCATAGTCACGTGGACCTGCAGCATGCCAGAGTTGGGGTGGTGGGCTCCCCCAGGGCACCCTTAGCAAACGCGCACAGGAAGCCCTGGGCATCCCCCACCCCCCACAGGAGAATGGCCTGGATGACCAGCTCATGAACCTGGCTCTGCTGAGCTCCCCCGAGGACATGACTGAGGCGGCGCTCTACTACGAGGACAAGGGCGAGCACATGGACAGGGCGGTCATGCTCTACCACAAGGTGAGCGAGGGCAGGGACCCCAGGGCCTGTCAGTATCTGCCAGGGGGCCACTCGGCGTTCTCGCGACCTGGGGCTTGGGCGCTGCTCAGATTGCGCACCGTCCACAGGCCGGCCACTTCTCCAAGGCCCTGGAGCTGGCCTTCGCCACCCAGCAGTTCGTGGCCCTGCAGCTCATAGCGGAGGACCTGGACGAGAGGTCGGACCCCGCCCTCCTGGCCCGCTGTTCAGACTTCTTCACTGAGCACAGCCAGTACGAGAAGGCAGTGGAGCTGCTGCTGGCAGCAAAGAAGGTACAGTTGGCAGTCCCCGCTCGGCACCCCCTTGGGCACCCAAGCTGGGGGCTGCCTTTTCCAGACGCCGTGGAGGTGGCTTTACCGTCTCTCATGGTTACGATTTCACAAGAAGGCCGTGGCTCCCGCCTGCCCTGGGTGAAGGAGTGCTAGAAGCAGGCTCGCCTCACATAGCCGGTCCAGGGGGACACTCACTGCCCATTTCATAACCCCCATAACTAGGGAGGTGAAATCATCCTTTATGTGTGTGGTAAAGTACACGTAATGTAAAAGTTACCATCTTCGCTGTTTTTTAAGAGTACAGCTCAGTGTTGTCAAGTATGCTCCCATCATGGGGAGAGCCGTCTCCGCGCACCTGCTTTCATCTTGCAAAGCTGAAATGCTGTCCCCGTCAAACAGCAACTCCCCAGCCTCTGCACCCACCATCTACCTTCTGTGTCAATGCATTGGACCACTCCAAGGACCGTATATAAGTGGAATCCTACAGGATTTGTCCTGGGTCCAGCTTGTTTCCCTGGATGTCACGTCATCGGGGTTCATCCGTGTGGTAGCAGGTGTCAGGACTTCCTTCCTTTTTTTTTTTTTTTTTAATTTATTTATTTATTTTAGAGAGAGAGAGAATGCGTGCACACAAGTGGGAGGGGCGGAGGGAGAGAGACAGAGAATCTCAGGCAGACTCAGTGCTGAGCACAGAGCCTGACGCAGCTAGGTCCCATGACCCTGAGATCATGACCTGAGCCAAAACTGAGAGTCAGATGCCTAACCAACAGCCACCCAGGTGCCCCAGAATGTCCTTCCTTTTTAGGGCTGCGTGATGCTGCGTTCGTGTGCACACTGCCTCGGGTCTGCCCATCCGCAGACACTGGGTGGCCTCCATCTCTTGGCTCTTGTGAATAGCGCTACTGTGAACACGGGTGAACACATATCTCTTCAGAACCCTGCTTTCAGTTCTTTCGGGTGTTTACCCAGAACTCGAATTGCCAGATCATCTGGTAACTGTTCTAGTTGTTTGAGGGACCTCCAGACGCCCTCCCTCACGGCTGCCCCAGAGCACATCCGCCCAGCCGCGCACAGCATTCCGATGCCACCACGTCCTTACCAGCACTGTTTCTAGTGCTCAGTAGAAGCCGGACATTCTTTAAGTAGAAATATTCTCCCTGATAGCCACTGAATGGAGACATAGAAGATTGTTAGTCATGCAAAATTAGCCTGTCCAAATTGAAAGATCTTTCTTCCTGAAGCAGAATTATGCTTACAGTTGAGTGGCTCACTGGTGAGCGACACAAGAATTCTTCAGCACATGTTCTAGAAAGACCCAGCAGATGCACGTGTCCACCCTCCCCAAGGCAGCCCCAGACCTAATCTGACCCCAGGAGAAACACCACTGGGCTTTCTCTAGCCAGATAAGTGGATTCTGTAGTTTTGCAGTGAAAACCAAATAAACCAGAACAGCCAGGAAAAATCTGGAAGAAGATTAACAAGAGGTGATTAAGCCCTCAGATTGTAAAATATATGACAGGATAATTGGGGTCCAGTGTATGATCAGGCCTACAGATCAGCAGAAAATATTAGAAAATCCAGACATAGAGCCACTTACACACACTCATCTCGTACATGCAGAGGAACATTTCCCAGCAGTGGGCAAAAGATGAGCCATCCAATAAAGGGGGTTGATGCAACCGGGCAGCCACTTGGGAAAACACAAAGGTAAACCCTACTTATCTCCTGCGTCCTAGTAAATTCCAGGTGGGTCTGAGACGTGTGTCAGCAAAACCAGCCGCCACTCCATCGGAAACCACGGATATCTTATACAATCTAAAGAGAAGAAAGGCGTCTTCTAAGTACGATTCAAAACCCAAATGCCAGTGGGAAGGACTGATCCATTCAGCCAAATGTAAATCTGAAAATAGCACATGGGAAAAAACACCACAAGAAAGTAAAGATAAATAATAAAATGGAAAAAAACGTATCCTACCTCTCTCCCGAAGTGTAATTTTCCTAATAGGTATGGAGTTCCTATGAACCAGGAAGACATTTGCCAGCCACTCAAAAGGAAAGAACAAAGACTATGGACAGTTTCTTTGAAGAAGGAAATGTGGGTGGTCCCAGCACATCAGATACTCAGCCTCATCCATAATGAGAGAAATAACAGGTGAAAATTCACGAAGACCCCATTGCCCTGAGTCAGGCCAGTGCAGGTGAAGAGGTCAGCAGGCCCGCTCGGGCTGGGTGCGAGCGCAGCACGCGGTCCCCGTCTGCAGTAGAACTCACAGACCCCTCGACCCAGCGCTTCCCGTCCTTGGGATCCGTCCTCAGCACAACTGTACACACAGGAGAGGCACCCACACGCCGCTGTCCCCCAGTAAAGAGCCGCCTCCCAGGACACCAGTGTCCCAACAGAGATGGAACCACCTCCAAGACATACGCTTTCTGTCCAATACGTGTTCTTAAGTGAAGGGCATACGATTTCCCTTCAGTTTTCAAGATTAATCAAAACCCTTAGCTTAAAAATTTGAAACGAATTATAGAAGAAAATTAAGTTCTGATTTCTTTTCCTCCCACAACCAGTGCAGTAGTCTTTTGAGCTCCACGTTCCCCTCGTTGCAATTCAGGGTGTCAGCAGTGTGAAAGTCACGGGGACGAGTGTTGGCCCTTGCCCGGCGAGCGCGTCCAGTCCCTGCCCCGGCGCCCGCCCCCCAGGCCATGGGCCTGGCCTCCCCTTGCAGCCCGGCGCTAACCGCCCCTTCCTGCTCTGTGGCTCCTTGCAGTACCACGAAGCCCTGCAGCTTTGCCTGGAGCAGAACATGACCATCACTGAGGAGATGGCCGAGAAGATGACTGTGTCCAAGGACTCCAAGGACCTGTCGGAAGAGTCTCGGCGCCAGCTACTGGAGCAGATCGCCAACTGCTGCATGCGCCAGGGCAACTACCATCTGGCCACCAAGAAGTACACGCAGGCAGGGAACAAGCTGAAGGTGAGCGTGGGCCCGGGCTGGAAATGGTGTCCCCACTGCTTGGGTTACCCCTCTGGGGATGCGCTTTCCCAGCCTGGGCTTCCGAGGACGAGGGCCCCGCAGGACAGAGGAGCCCTGAGCTCCCTCTTGTGGTGGAGTCCTGCGTGAGCGTCCGGGGAGAGGTGGCAGGAGGGTGATGGCAAGCACAAGGTCCGAGCCCAGACCCTGCCCTTCCTCGGGCCCTTCCTCGGGCTCGCCCTCTGTCTAGGCCATGAGAGCGCTGCTGAAATCTGGGGACACGGAGAAAATCGTGTTCTTTGCGGGCGTCTCAAGGCAAAAGGAAATCTACATCATGGCCGCCAACTACCTGCAGTCCCTGGACTGGCGGAAGGAGCCGGAGATCATGAAGAACATCATCAGCTTCTACACCAAGGGGAGGGCCCTTGACCTGCTGGCTGGCTTTTACGATGCCTGTGCCCAGGTACAGACCCTCCTCCCAGGGCCAGGACTCCCAGGAGGGTGGTGGGGCCCCGGGGGCCCTGACGGGTCTCATCCGTGCAGGTGGAGATCGATGAGTACCAGAACTACGACAAAGCCCATGGGGCACTGACAGAGGCCTACAAGTGCCTGTCCAAGGCTAAGGCCAAGAGCCCCCTGGATCAGGAGACCAAGCTGGCTCAGCTGCAGAGCAAGATGACACTGGTGAAGCGGTTCATCCAGGCCCGAAGGTGTGTCCAGAGCAGAGTGGGGAAGCAGGGACACAGAGCCCCCCAGGCTCCTCTCCCTGCCGGGGACCAGACCAGTTTCACTTGCTCACTTGCAGTGAGCAAGTGCAGAGGAGTCTCAGAGGAGTCCCGTGGACCCTAAGTAGGACACGTGGACATTATGTTGCCTCCTTCTCGATGAGCTCCTCCTGGGGAATTCCCCAAACCTGGGCGCACCGCCAGGAAGACTGTTCCAGAAAAAAACAGAAGTCTGGGGTGGGGGTGGTGAGGCAGATGCAAGTCAGGAGAGTGTGTATCTGAGGGGAGCCTGGGACCTGCTCAGGTGTGTGCAGGGCTCAAGCTCAGTGGTTTGGAGCAGGCGGGCCACTATACCACCTGGGCGCCACAGAGACTGTGGGAAGGAGGCTGGGGGCAGCATGTTGTTGCTATTTTTAGGAAAGACCATGCATCTAAATTTGGACATGAGGCCAGTTTTTATCTATTGGCAACTCGTCCAGCTTTTCCAAGAGCCTGCAGTGTGGGCAGCAGAGCTAAGCTTCTGCCTAAACCAATGAAAGCATTTTCCTTCTCTGAGAACAGCTTTTAGAAGAGAAGTTCCAGAAACACTTTGAGCACTGTTGTATAAAATGCGGCTCCCTGCTTGGACATGTAAATTCTGGAATATCTGCTGAGCTTGGGCTGCAGTGGGGAGAGAGGGGGGCAATGGGCAGCAAGGACCATACAGCGTCAGGACCGGGCTTCCTAGAGCGGGAGCCTGAGCCCCTCCTCCCCACAAGGCCCCTCCGGGTCCCTCTCCCGCTCGCTCCCTCCCCCGCTTGCGCACCGCCCGCTGGCCTTCGCTCATGGTCACCCCCTGCCTGACCACCTTGGACAGGGTGCCCCGCGTTCCCCTGCATCACAGTGATCCCCTCCAGACTGAACCAGGCAAGGACTGGGTGACAGGCTGAGTCTGGTGCGGTACCAGGACTGTGAGCAACCAGTAAGTTTTTATTCAATGAATCAGCCAGTTTATGAATGAACTCATTAGAGAATTTGTTTAATTCATGGGCGTTGACTTCACAAAAGTTCCGTCCTGCCCATGCCAGGAGCTCCTCATTCAGGCCACAAGCCTGCTGTGCCCCCTGACCCGTAGCGGGGTTCTGCTCTCGGCAGGACGTACACCGAGGACCCCAAGGAGGCGGTCAGGCAGTGCGGGCTGCTCCTGGAGGAGCCGGAGGTGGAGAGCACCATTCGCGTCGGGGACATCTGTGGCTTCCTGGTGCAGCACTACCTGCAGGCCGAGGACTTCCAGATGGTGAGGCCTTGGCGGGGCTTGGGGATGACTGGGGGGAGGCCCCGCCGCTGCTACTGGCAGTCCCCACTCTCTCCGCCCCAGGGACCTGCAAGCTCACGGCGAGGAGGTGCTTCTCCTGTCGCGGTGTTTGACTTTTTAGCCTTTTTTTCTTTTGAAATGATTTCAAACTGAGAAGCTACAAGAATAATAGAACCTGCATGTACCCTTTACCAGATTCAGCAGTTTTCAGCATTTTGCCACATTTATTTATTCTATATGTATGTTTTTATATTTCTATTTGATATTTTATACATAAAGTGGGTATTTTTCTGAGCGATATGCGAATTGCAGGCGTCCTTCCCTTCCCCCTCAGTTCACTAACACTTGGTTGGACACCTAGAGGTGGGACGTGGGGTCATACAGCCAGCGCGTTTCACGTTTTCAGAAACTGCCAGACTTTTTTTTTTTTTAAGATTCTATTCATTTATTTGACAGAAAGAGACACAGCGAGAGAGGGAACACAAGCAGGGGGAGCAGGAGAGGGAGAAGCAGGCTTCCCGCTGAGCAGGGAGCCCGATGCAGGGCTCGATCCCAGGATCCTGGGATCATGACCTGAGCCGAAGGCAGACGCTTAACGACTGAGCCACGCAGGCGCCCCCAGACTTTTCTTTAGTTTCTTTTTTGTAGTGTCTCTTTCGTAGTTGGTGTCAAGGTTATTCTGGCCTTATATTCTGGCCACCTCCTTCCTGTATTCTCTGGAAGAGTTTACAAAAGACTGCTGTTGCTTTTTCCTTCAGTGTCTGATAGAGTGCATGAGTGAGCCGACCTGGGCCTGGGGCTTTCTTTGTGGAAGGATTTCGATAATTCATTTCAGCAGAGTGGTTCTCAAACATTTTGGTCTCAGGACCCCTTTGCACTGGGGAAGTTTTCTGTGTGGGGCGACCTGACGCTCTTTATTGTGTTACAGAATAAAACTAACTCACTGAAAAATAAAATAAACCCACTACATGTTGACATAAATAACAGTTTCATTAAAACACCTTTTTTTTTTATTTTCTATATTTTCCAAAACATAGAAATTGAGTGGAAAAAGTAGCACTGTTTTACACATTTCCAGGTCTCTTTAATGTCTTGGATGACAGCTGGGCTCTCCATTTCTGCTTCTGCTCTCAATTTGGTAAAATGGGTTTTTTAGCTGAAATACATGAAGAAAATCTGGCCTCACACTAGTATGCAGGTGAGAGAGGCAGGGCCCTCAGACAGTTGCAGCCCACCTTTGAGCCTACACCAAAATTCAGCAAGTGGGGTTTAACACCTAGCTGCGAGGTCGGATGCTATTGTACTTGGTGATATGAAAGCCCACTGGTCCGTCTTGGATCTTTCACACACACGTGATCTTATAACATCATGTTGCTCATCTGGAAATTATGGGTTCACTGAGTTAGCAAATGTCAACACGTTTCATTATATGAATCAAAAAAATCCTATTTTTTAGTATTACCACCAGCCCCATCAGAAAAGTCTCTAGATTTTGGGAGGATGTCCAGCTCATGGTGGCCGATACCTAAGGTTTCTGAAATCCTTCCGTGTGAAAGCACACAATTTATCCTGAGCACAAACACTGTCCATTACCATTTTCCTTGAAGTGGTGGCCCCCTTTGTTCACTTCTGAGAAAAAGTGCCACATACCCAGCCCTGAGTAGCCACAACTTACCATGAGTCACATTTACAAATAAAGATGGTGTTCGGAGCAGAAGGGACGTGTTTAGCTCGCACCCTGCACCCGTGTGCTTCCTCATCTCCCCCCCATTTGGTATGATGGGTCTTTAATGCCCACCATCTCGGTGGGTATGGAGCGGTAGCTCTTTGTGGTTTTAATGTGCCTTCTCTCAGTGACTAGCGGTGTTGAGCCCCTTCTCATGGGCTCATGTCCTCTGAGTGCCCAAATCCTCCCCGTGGTTTTGTTCAGGGTTTGTCTTCTTACGTTGGTTGTGGCCTTTATGAATTCTAGGCACCTTTCCTGTACCAGCCTATGACCTGCCAGTGTTTTCTTCCATCTGTGGGAAGTTCCCTCCTATCCCTCTGTCTTCTCCCGATGGAACTCCAATTGCTTGTGAAAATTGTCTCCTGGCTCAACTGATTCTATTCTCTGTTTTTTTCCAGAATTTTCTCTAGTTTTCATTTTTGGCTTTTGCTTTTGCTATTGCTACTGCTTCAAGTTCACCCGTCTTGTGCGGTGTCCACTCTGATGCTGCTCCTATCCCTACATTTCAGCTGGCATTATAATTTGCCCCTCTAGTAGCCTCTGGATTGCATCAGGTAGTCTCCGTTATCCATCTTGTCTCTCGAGTAGGTCATGTTGTCCTGTTGCTTCTTACGTCTAGAGATTCTTTTGTGTCCCAGACACCGTGGATAAACCATGGTAGAGACTGGGTTCTGTGATGTTCCTCCAAAGAGTATGCTTGTTTGTTTCTTCTCCCTTCCTTCCTTCCTTCCAGCAACTTCCCTCCACCCATCTCAGAGGCTTGGCTCCCCACCATGGAAGGCAGCCTTGAGAGGGAGTTGCTGCTCAGTACTTTAGCTTGGGCCAGGCTTGAAGTTGGCCCCTGTCCCCACCACATGCAGCATGCCGAAGGGACCAGAGAGCAGCGTCCATTCCCAGGGCACGGGCTCCCCTCCAGGACTCTCTCTTTTCCAATGTTTCCTCATTTCCGGCTGCTGTGGTTGACCCCAATTCTGATTCCAGTTCTTCAAGCCAGTAAGGGTGGGTTTTCTACGTGCTGGTCTGCTTCCCCCAGTGGCCCTGAGTGGGCCTCTCCTCAGGCAAAGGCTACGGGGAGCAGGAACTCACCTCACCCAGGCTCTTCCCTGCTTCCTAGTGTCGGCTCCCTGCCGTCTGCCCGCCCAAGGCTGGTTCTCCCTTCAGGGGCCTGTGCAGTCTGCCCGGCGCACCCCTGCATGGAAGAGGGCTGCTCCGTGCCAGTCCCTCTGCCCCCACCAGAAGCCTCTCCCCGTTCACCATCCTCTTGTTACCAACACTAGAAGCCCCCGCTGCTCTCCGGCTGCAGTTCTCCTTTGTGTTCCGAGGGTGTCCTGTGGGTGCCGCTCATAGTTAACAGAGTAGATGTTTCCTGGAGAGACCAGGGCGACCCCAGGGAGCCTTTCACCTTCCTCTCTTGAGCGCTTGTAAAGCGACTAACGATGAATCAATTTCAGAAATGTCGCTAGCGAGCCGTGCCTATGGCATTGGGCCTTGGCCTCCGGAGCGCACAGGACCTCAGCCCATCCACGGCACCATAGCCCGAAGGTCAGCGCCACAAATAACACTCAGGTCCCTGGCCTGCTGCTTGCCCCCTCTTTATCCCCGCCCATATCCACCTGCTGACCCTCTGCTGAAGCAACTCCAAATCTCCTCTTAGCAAGGTTCCTTCTTTTTTGGGGAGGAAACACATAATTGGACTCAGGTGACTGTTTGCTCAACTACTGTTTGCTCAACTACTGTTTGCTCAGAAATCACTCTTAATGATTTCACCAGATTCTTTGCTTTCTCAACCCTTGTTTGGAGCCTATGGGATTTAGCAACTTTAACTTAAACAGACCTGTGAGTGCTGAGGAGGTAGGCAGGCCAAGCATCCTCTGGTGGGGAGAGAAGGCCCCTGTCCCTGCTCCGCGTCTCCCACTGCCCCCTCGCACTCGCCTCGCCACTGCGCCAGCCGCCCGACCCTGGACAGTGGGCGTCCTCATCGGCCAGGACGGCCTGAGAACTTCTTTGTCACCCTTCATCTGTATCTGGTGACCATGCCTTCCTTCTTGACTGTTGAGAAACCAGCTCTGTATACAGAGGGGGTACACCCCTGCACCATGGTCTCCAGCAGCCCCTTGCTTCTGGACCCCACCCCTAGATTCTGTCTGGTCCCCACAGCTCCAAGCCCTGGCCTTCGTCTGCTCTGTACTTGTGGCATGGTGCCGGGCTCCCAGCACACAGTCTCCTCCTGTGTGGGTGCCCCCCCGCCTTGAGCACCTGGGAGCTTGCACTCTGCCCATCCTCCATCCCTCCAACAACCATAGCTTACTTTTCATCTTCATCTTTTTTTTAAGATTTTGTTTACTTCTTTGACAGAGAGAGAGGACAAGCAGGGGGAGCGGCAGAGGGAGAGGGAGAAGCAGACTTCCCGCGGAGCAGGGAGCCCGATGCGGGGCTCAATCCCAGGACTCTCCAGGTCGTGACCTGAGCCAAAGGCAGACGCTTAACTGACTGAGCCACCCAGGCGCCCCTTTATGTGGTATTTTTTTCTATCTTAGTTCTATCCACCCAAATTAAAATTGCTCTGGAAATTTTATCATCTTTAAGAAATACTAAGATCTGCGACACCTGGGTGGCTCAGTCAGTTAAGCGTCTGCCTTTGGCTCAGGTCATGATCTCAGGGTCTGGGGATCGAGCCCCGCGTTGGGCTCCCTGCTCAGCGGGGAGTCTGCTTCTCCCTCTACCTGCAGCTTCCCCTGCTCATGCTCATGCACACACTCTCTCTCTGACAAAATCTTTTTTAAAAAGAAAAAGAAATACTAAGATCTGATCATCATTCCTTATTTTAAAAAGGTTTTTTTTTTTTTTTAAGATTTTATTTATTTATTAGAGAGAGAGAGAGAGGGAACACAAGCAGGGGGAGTGGGAGAGGGAGAAGCAGGCTTCCCGCGGAGCAGGGAGCCCAACGCGGGGCTCCATCCCCAGATCCTGGGATCATGACCTGAGCCGAAGGCAGACGTTTAACAACTGAGCCACGCAGGCGCCCCTAAAAAAAAATTTTTAAAGCTTAGAAATTTTGATCACATCTGAACTTGGTGGTAAGCGTTAGAAGCCACATGAGACCTATTCCTCTCCTCATGCTTAGGTGCGGGCAGGTGTAGCAGGCGTGGGCAGGTGCGGACACGTGCAGGCAGGTGTAGGCACGTGCGGGCAGATATAGCAGGCGTGGACAGGTGTGGACACATGCAGGCAGGTATACCAGGTGTGGACAGGTGTAGGCAGGTGTGGGCAGGTATAGCAGGCGTGGAGAGGCACGGACACGTGCGGGCAGGTGTAGGCACGTGCAGGCAGGTATAGCAGGCGTGGGCAGGCGTAGGCACGCATGGACAGGTGTGGGCAGATATAAGTGTGGTGCTCTGTGGGAGGCTCAGGTCCCTCAACCCCAGGCTCTCCCACATATTCCCACTGGCAGAACCAGAGTAAGTTCCACAGGAAAACCACTGACAGCTCCACGGTTTACTGGCTTATGATCGAGAACCATATATACAAGAGATTCAGACAAGGTGGGGCAGATTTGATGCTTGGTCAGAGAAAACCAGGTGGACGGCATACACTGGCCACCTGCCCTGCCACCCTGAAGCCGTCTGCAGTGTGAATGCCTCCTTCCCTCACGTCTCCTCCAGGGAGCGTGGCCCCCAAACACTCGGGTCCTCCAACCCAGGCTGCTCACAAGGCTTTCCTGCTCAGCTGGGGGTGCTAACCGCAGCCGACAGCACAGTCAGAGCCAAAGCTTTGGACACCGCCAGCCCTCGGAAAGGCTGTGCAGTCAGACAGTTGTCCCCAGGCCCCTCTTGTGAAGGCACGGGGTGGGTGTCCAGGAAACTCACCGCCCCGGACAGAGGGTGTGGGCTCTTTGGTTTTCGCTGTGCACTAACCTGGTAACGGCTGTCCCAACCCAGGCCTACAGGTACCTGGAGGAGATGCGGAAGCGAGTGCCCTCTGCCAACATGTCCTACTACGTGAACCAGCGGACCGTGGATGCCGTGCACCAGGGCCTGGGCATCCCTCTGGTGCGCACCATGCCTGAGCACATCCGCCACAACAGCGTGGAGGACCACAAGGAAGTAGACGAGGAGGTGGTGGAAGAGGTGGAGAGTGACCCGACGGCCGCTGCTGCAAGCTCCTCTGGAACTTTCCGGGGTTGGTAGCAAGAGCCTGACTTTCTTGTTGAAATATAAACTGGTATTTGATGCCCCAGGGCACTGGCTATCCTGCTTAGAAGGGGCAATCGTGTGTCCTTCCGGCATTCCTAGCCCCTGCGGTCCCTTTACTAGGAAGGGAGTTGGCTCATCTTTTCCGTGACAGTCTCCCAAGTACAAATTGTAAAACCTAAAACACTAGAACTCGATGGACTGTGCGTGTTAGTATATTCACCGCGCCTCGTCCCAGCACGCAGGCAGGCACCTAAGAGCACAACTAACAATTTCCAGCGGGACGCACCATTCCTGACCACAGGGCCTGGTGTCCACTGGAATGGACATGGGGGTGGCCTTGCCCAGGTGACACGGTGGCCTGTGCGGGGCGGGTTTCCTCCACGAGGCAGCCTTGCGGGTGCAGCTCTGTCTCCAGCTCCTGCGGGGAGGGGCCGGCCTCAGGCCATTTCAGGGCAGGGAGGGGGACCTTGGGCTCTCCCACCCCCAGCTCCTTCCACAGCTGCCAACACCTGTGCCCCTTCGGAGGGCCCATTGAGGCACTGTGGACCCTGCCCGAGCAGTGAGAGCCACGAGGCGTGGGCTTGAGTACCTGCAGCTCCTTTTTATTCTTCCTTTTTGTGGTTTTTTAAAGTCTGCATTCAGGTGAGGAAGGGGCTTGGGGACAGGCTAAGAAGCAGCCCGCAGGGGCCCCAGCGGCTCCCTCCCTCCTCGGGACCCCTGGGCCACGTTCAGGTGGCCCTGTCCACGGGGGCAGCACCAGAGGCCCTCGCGTGGACTGCTGGCAGAGCCCTCAGGCCAGCCGGGCTAGCCCCAGCGGGGCAGGGCCTTCTTGAGCAGGGACTAAGGAGACGACAGCGGGACAAGTGTGTCTCTGAGCTTCTCCAGAAGCAGGAGCGCTTTCATCGCCAGCACCCTACAGTCCTCATCGGGGTCCTGCTCCGCCACATCTGCCAGGCCCAGAGAAAGCGGGACGTCAGCAGCGCCACCTGGCCGCGCAGGCCAGCCCTCCTCGGTTTCCTGTCAGGGAAGTCTTCCTGCACGAGCCCCTGCGGGGCCCGGCGTGTCCTGGCTGCCCCCGCCCCCGAGATAGCAGCACCTCAGACCCCAGCAAAGGCCTTTGCCTCCCCTTGGGGCGATGGTGGCAGGGAGGCAGGGGGACCCATCCTGGGACTCAGGACGCTGCATGCCTGCAGCACGAGGCCCTGAGCCATCCCGACACATGTGATCAGAGAAAGCCACACTGAAGGGCGCTCTGCAAACCGACCAACACGACAAAAGGGGCCCTTGCCTGGAGCCCGGGTCCCACAGAAAGGAAAGACAAAGGCCGTCATCAGACCTCTGGGCCTCCGAGCGTGGCAGCACATCAGACCATAGAGGCCCAGCCGTGAGCCCCGAGAGTGGAAAGGTGTGCGCTCGCTCTGGGCAACTCAAGTGCCTGTAGGTGGGAGGTCACGCTGGCTCCAGCAGACTTTTCAAAAAACCTTGATGGGGTGCGAAGTTTGTCAAAATGCTAATCGGCAGGCGCGCCTGGGTGGCTCAGTCATTGGGCGTCTGCCTTCGGCTCAGGTCGTGATCCCAGGGTCCTGGGATTGAGCCCCGCATTGGGCTCCCTGCTCGGCGGGAAGCCTGCTTCTCTCTCTCCCTCTCCTTCTGCCTGCCTGTCTGCCTACTTATGTAAAGTCTTTAAAAAAAAAAATTGCTAATCGGCAAACCTGCTGAGGTTACACGGTGCTCGCTGTATGGCTCTTGTAACCTTACTGCCGATTTGGAATTTTCCAGAACAAATACAGCCCTCATCTCCCACGTTAGGGCACCTTCTTTTGGGTCCCCCTGCAGAACCTCCACAAAGTGACCCAACAACAGCCAGGTCCCCGCCGCCCCATGCCCTGATGGCTGTGGGGACCCTCCAGGCTGCACCAGCCTCCTCCCTCCCGCCTCGCCAACATGGCTGGGGGCCTGGTGCTCACCCGCCAGCCAGGGCCGGGCTTCCAGCAGCTCATCAGGCAGGTCGGCCAGCAGTCGCTCGGCCGGAACGCTGAGCAGGACAGAGGAGACTGCGGACAGCAGGCCCCGGCGCACATAGCTGACGAAGAAGGCCAGAAGTCTGAGTCCTGATGGAGCCCCAGGCCAGGAAGACCCCACTTCTCCTCGGGGTACAGCAGACACACAGGCAACCAAAGCATGCTCGACCCCACCCTGCTCCTTCCTGCTTAGAAAGTGCCAAGCCAACCTAGGAGCCGCCCCCCACCTCCTGCTTTCCACATCACAGCAGGATTTGGAACCCCGTCTGTGTGTCCACATGGGACCACTGCCCTCAGCCTCACGGCCACTCACGCGTCACCATGGAAGCGAAGGGTCCACACAAACTCCAAGAGGGCCTTGCCCATGGCCATAGCCACCTGAAACCACAGAGACCAGTGGGCAGGGGTCCTGGCACCCAGAAGCGGACCCCACCTTGGAGCCTGTGCTTGGGTCCAAGGTGAGGCCCTCTGTGGGGACAGCCACCAGCTACCACCTCCCCCTCACCGTGGTGTTCACAGCCAGGTACATCAGGGCCCCTAAGGTGTGGACCAATCTCCCAAGAACCAGTTGGTCCTCTCCCAAAAGGTCAAAGGTCACCAGAGGCCTAAAACAGAGAACCAGTGAACGTGCAGGCTGGGCACTCGGAGCTGGCTCCCAAGCCCCTGGGCCACTGAGGGACACCCGGGGCCCCGGACGCCCCTCCTCACTGCCCGTCCCCATGCGTGACCCAGAGTCACGAGGGGAAGGCGTTGGACAGACAGATGCAGACCGGGCGGAGCGGCGAGGCACCACAGTGTGGCTCCAGCCCCACCGGCCAGAGCCCGTCATCTGTGAGACGGTGGCACCTGACACCCCCACATCGCCTGCCCAACCCAGGTCATGACCCTGCTGCAGGACCGCAGACTCCACGCTGGGAAGCCTCCTGTCCGCAAGGGCATGCAGGCCTCCCGCTCACCTGTCAAAGTGCCGAATGAGGGGGAAGAAGAAGTAGCCAGCCACCAAGTTGAATTCGTTGGGGCCAGCGTCCGGCCCCCACCTGGGAGAGCGCTGCAAACACACGGTGCTCAAGGTGCCAGGCCCCTCCCCCAGGCAGGACTCCCACTGTGGGCACTGTCCCGTGCGCCATGGGGCGCAAGCAGCTCCCGGCCCCCGTGACAGCCCCGAGTGGACCCCGATGACCCAGCACACGATGACCCAGCACACGCCAGGTCCGTTCCTGCTGATGCAGGATTCCTCAGGCTGTTTTCACACCCACGTCTGCAGTCCCGTTTTAAAACCACTTCACTCTGATACCCTACAGCATGTGTCCCTCACTCAGTTTGTACCCAAAACTCCCTTCACAGAACGCCCCCAAGCAGGCAGCCCCTAGAGGCCACCGACCACTCAGCTCCCACTCAGGTCCGAGGACCTGAGCCGGGTCCCAGCTGACCTGAGAGAACCGCCGGGTCTTGCTTCTGATCCGCTCCTGCATGACTGCCCGCCAGGCGGGAGCCTGGGTGCTGCTGGGCTGGGAGGCGGGACTCGGGGAGCCACACTGGGGAGCCTTGGGGAGGCGCCCAGGCCGAGACAGCTGCTGGGCAGCCAGAGTCAGGACCTAAAGAAGACCCAAGGCAGCTGTCATTACTCTAGGGAAGGATGGCATTTTCCAAAATTCAAAGTAAACTGAGTGGCCTCGAGCCCTTCGCCCCACGGGCGCCATCAGCCCACAGGCGGTACCGGAGGACGTTCTGGGGACCACGCAGAACATCAGTTCTGAGTACCCCAGCGTCACCGCACTTGTGTGGGTGATAGGAGGGAAAGCTGGACGGCCCCCTGGCAACAGCCCAGCAGCCTGGCTCCTATACCCAGAGCCCCTTCTATTCCAGAACCTCATCCAATCTGGCGCCCAGACACCTGGGAAAAGGGAAGAAGCTCTGGCCCAGGCTGTGCACGGATGGGCCCTGGGACGCGTGCGGGACGCCCTGGCACAGTCAAGGGCACAGACGGCAGCCTGATGCTGCAGGCACCCGCCCGGGCAGTGCATGCCAAGGGCCGTTCCTTTGAGGTCACACGACACAGTCAAGGACCAAATGCCACTGAGCAGCAAGCACGGACACAATGACCCTGTTCAGTGCCGTGACCGTGGTGAGTGCACAGCTCAGCGGCAGCAAGTTCACCTCACCTGGCCATCACCAGCATCATCTCCAGAACCCCTCCGTCTTCCCAAACAGGAGCTCCGTCCCTGTGAAACACGCCCTCCCCACCATCCACTTCCTGTCTGATTTTGACCCCAATGACCTCGTGGAGGCAGAGCCCTACACCACCCTCCTCTCGGGACCGGCTTTTCCACTGAGCACTGTCTGGTAGGTTCTGCCACATGGTGGCAGGTGTTAGAACGTCCTTTCTTCATAAGGCTGAGTAAGGTTTCATCATGTGGACAGGACGCATTTTGCTCACCTTAAGATGGGGAGTCGTATTGCATAGGAATTCTATCTCAATAAAGCTTTTGTCTAACGTAAAGGACGCACGCAGCCTCCACTGAATCCCATGCGCTGTCAAGACAACCCCAGATGGGGTGCCTGGGTGGCTCAATTGGTTAAGCGACTGCCTTCAGCTCAGGTCATGATCCTGGTGTCCCGGGATCGAGTCCCGGATCGGGCTCCCTGATCAGCAGGGGGTCTGCTTCTCCCTCTGCCCTCTTCCCTCTTGTGCTCTCTGTCTCTCATTCTCTCTCTCTCAAATAAATAAATAAAATCTTTAAAAAAAAAAAAGACAACCCCAGATGGGTGCCGGTCCCAGCCTCTCAGGTCCAGCAACAAGGGACCTGGGGAGGCCTCTGGTCCTGGCCACGTAGCTTTTGGCAAGTACGCATTCCCCTCCCCTCATGAGGGCACCTGGGCCTGACGAGTGGACAGAGGGCCCCAGGCACTCACGTCCAGGATGTCCATGCGCTGCCGGAGGCTGAAGTTGAGGGCGTAGAATTGTGAGGTCAGATACTCTGCGACCTGAGCCGGGCACACGAAAGGCCGCTGTGGGCCACCAGTGCAGACGCTGCCTCGTGGCAGGACCGCAGCACCACCCCACCCCTGGGACTCACCGGGGCTGGGTCTGTGACCACGACAGCCACCAGGGCTCGCTGGCGCAGCCCCTCAAACCCCACCACGCTCGTCTTCTCCTCCAAGTGCAAGAGCACCTTGGCCAGCTCCACGCTCACCTGCACACACGGGTCAGCGTGCCTCAGCCCCCCACCTGCCCTCTGCCTCCCCACCCCAGCCGTGCGGGCCTCCCAGGCAGACACATAGCCCTCCCTCACCTCGCGGGCAGCAGCCGGGCTCCTGACAATCAGCCCCTCGAGGGCTCGCAGGGCTGCCTCCCAGCGCTCCCAGTCCTCGGATGAGGTCAGGGCTACACAGAACAGACGGGCCCATGCTGGTCCTCAGCCCTGACCTCGTGTGAGGCAAAGCTGACGGCCAGGGTCTGGGCGCTGGGCGGAGGCAGGCAAGTCCCAGGCCACGGGCAGTTCCCAGGGCTCAGCCACCCCAGGGCAGGGGTTGGTGGGGCTCTCGCCGGGGAAGAGACCCACCTTCCACGCAGTCCCGGACATAGGCAGGTGCCTTCCCACTCTTCAGCTCTTGGTCCCCCGACATGTCATAGGGGACAAGCTCATCATCACTAGGGAAGCAGCAGAGACCCGCGGGGCCGGCCCATCACCCAGGAGCAGGCAACAGGCAGGCCGTGCTCCTGAGCCACTGGCATTAACCCCAAGTCCCCGAAGCCTCAGGAACAGCAGACTTTTCCTATTAGGGTGCTTGAGAAGAGCGGCGCTGCAAAGCTGACCTGCAACCTCCGCACAGCGCGGGCCGTCTGCTCCCACGCTCACATGCACGGGGCTCTGCTCCCCCACGTCTGCGGCTTCCACCTGAGACCAGCCCCTACCTGTCCAGGTCAGAGCCCGAGCCCTCCGACTGGGCCTGGGGGATGTCATCGTCCGTGCTCCCTCTGTCAGGGGTCTCTACAGCCGGGCTTTGGAGAACAAAGAAGGAGCCCTTCGAGGAGGCCCCACACAAGCTTCTGGCCCTGGAAGCCACCTTCCCTGGGAAGTGCTCTCCCTGTCCCCACCCTGCGCTTCTTCGCTTATGTCTCAGCTACTGGAGTCCAGGAGGACAAGGTGATGGGGTAACGCGCGTGCGGGAACAGGCCCTGTCCAGCAACCACGCCCAGAGCTCGGGGACCACGGGGCATGGAGACCCTCACCTTGCCTCCACCTCCGAGGGGCTGTCAGCCACAGGCGGGGGCACCGCCAGGGCCAGCAGCTCGCGGCTCAGCTCATCCTCTTCGTACTGCAACGCACAGAGGCTGGAGCCGGCCCGGGGCGGGCGGGCAGGCCCACGGCCCCTGCTGCCTCTAGCATAGCCCACGACTCTGCGAGTCTACGCAGGGCAGCGGGCAGCGCTGGGTGTGCAAGGCCGGGGGAGCCCACCCTCCCGAGGGACCAGAATCCCCCGAGGACATCCTGGGGGGCTCCACAGGTGGAGGGGAGGGGACGCCTGTCCAGCATGCCTGAGTCCTGTCCAGAGGGAACACTTGCGGACGCCCCAGGGAATCCGCCTGGGGGCTACACCCCCACCCCTCGAGGTGAGGCCCTCAGCGGGGCCCCCAGGCCCTGTTCCACACCAGCATGCAGGGGCCGTGGCTTGGACCCAGGAAGACGTGGTGACATTGGGGCGGGGCAACACTGAGGGTGCCACCCTCGTTCACCTGGAACCTCAAGGGAGGCCCGTCAGGGTGGATCCGGGTGCTGGCTACTCCGGCCACAATCATGCCCAGGCGGCGCACAGCGGGCAGGCTGCTGTCCAGACGAGTCTTTACTCCCGCCATGAGGCTAGCCAGCAGCTCTGGAAGCCCCGACAGCCACACACTGAGCGCCGGTGGCGTGTGGGGACAGGCATGGGGCTGGGGCAGGGGCCCGCCTGCTCACCGTCCCGGCTGTCCCGGAGCTCCGTGTCCTGCAGGTGCGCCAGGCAGATGAGCAGGGCCGAGCTGACGTAGCGTTGCTGCGGCAGAGGCGTATGGCGGATGGCACTGGGGCTGCCCCACGTCTCCAGGAGCTCCTTCAGCGCCTGGTGGGCGGCGCGGGCGGTCACACGGCCCCGCCTGCCTCCCTGCACGGCGCCGCTGACCTGGCCGGCACCCTCACCCACTGCCAGCCCACGAGAGGCTCTAGCCGGCACCCTCTGCTCCAGGCAGGGGCCCCCTCCCTTCCCTTCCCAGCAGAAGGTGGTCCTAGCACACCAGGGGTGGAGGGCCTGGCCGCACTTACCTGTCTGAGGAGCAGGCGCCGCTGGCTGTCCATGGCCAGGTACCCCAGCAGGCTCTGTAGCATGGGCGTCTACGACAGAGGCCGGGCGTCCAGTCACTGCCAACCAGGCAGACACCAGTTGCCCACATGACGGGCCGAGGACCATCTGCCCAGGGGTCCCGGAGCAGAGGCTGGTCTGGACTGAGGGTCAGCAGTGCTTCCTGGACAACCGAGCTCAGCTCCAGACGCTACGGTCACTTCTGGGCCCTGGGGTGGCCCTCAGCCCACCCCCTTACCCCAGTCTCACCGAGTATCGATACTGTAGGAACAGAATTTTTCGGGTCATCACAAACTGGGCCTTCTTACTCTTCAACACCAGGTTCCCCAGGAGCCGCGAGAGGACGTCGGGCCTGCGAGGCACAGGCGGGGGCAGAGGGCAGAGCGTGAACTCCAGACGTCCCCAGCTCCGCACTAAGCACTGGGAGCCCGGGGCCCACGCCCCAGCTCTGAATCACACCTGATGCTCCCTCCTCCCAGGGACAGCCCAGCACGTCCACACTAGCGGATGTCCCTCCCCTGCTCTGGCCGCATCTAGTCGGGGGTGACAAAGGAGCACGGCCTCTCGGCGTGAGCTCACAGCACGTACGAGGGACGGGAGACTTGCTGTCCCTGGAGGCCCGCCTCCTGCCCCCCCGGCTCCTTACCCCGAGGCGGCTTCCACCAGTCCCGTTAGCAGAGCCTCCATGGCCCGGTCGGGCACACACTCCACCAGGCGCCAGCACACGCGCCGCCAGAGGCAGCTGCCCTGGGTGAGCGCCGTCAGCTGCGGCACCAGCACACCCAAGATCTCCTCTGAGGAGAAGACATAGAGGCCCTGAACTCGGGGCCGTGCGGCACCCAGTGTCTACAGCCCATGGGTCCGCCGGGCCCAGGAGAGGGGCCCAGGCTCCACAAGGGAACTGCGCTGCCCGCCCCCGCCCGGGACGGCTGCAGGAAGGGCGGGGAGACGTCCGCAAAGGACTACGGCTCCTCCCGGGACAGGGAACACTCACTCTGTCTCCCGTGGACACAGGCCTTCCCGAGCACCTGAGACAGGAAGGAGACGGAGCAGTCCCAGCCACCTGGGACGGGAAGGAAAGCGGGATCTCAAAGCAGGGCAGCGGTAAGTCCACGAGACACCTGACTAGGTGGGAACAGACCTCACGTCTGTATGGGCATCTCTGCCTTGTAAAAACACCGTTTCTCTCCGTCTAGTTCCAACTGAAACCTCAGTAGCACTGTCTCGGGCTGGAAGCACCCACCATAATTTCACACTCCGCCTGCTTAATCGCCCGTGATGATCCCACGGAGTATGGCCCAGTGTCGTGGCACGGGGCGGAGGCGGCACCGAGGGGCAGGCCAGGGCAGTGAGCCCCGTGGGGCACGTCTGAGCCGCCCGCAGGGAGGAAACGGGGCATGGGGAGAGGGGAGGCCGGGCCCACCAGCCCCACGATGGCGGTGCCCACCACGAGACAGTCCAGACGTGCACGAAAGGAAACGGAGTATCTGCCACCTAAAGAGGGGCGTCTGAGCTCCTACAAAGACGAACCGGATGCAGCCTCCCAATAGAAGCAGACGTGATCTAGATTTGCTCTGGGCACATTCAGAACACGCTGGAGGCTTCTCAAGCACAGAGCAGGAGGAGGGGCGGCCTGGCTGAGCAGACGCTGGCACGCCTCGCCTCACCCTGGCCCTCTGACCCTCTGCAGTGGTGGGGCCTCCCTCGCAGGGCGGGCACAGGGACGATGTGAGCACACGTGTGAGCACACGATGTGAGCATACACGAGCCCACTCCACAGCCTCAGCGAGACCCTGTGTGCGCCCCATGATGGGAGAGCAGAGGGTGGCGCAGACGCCAAGACCCCAACCACAGCAGACTGAGTGATATGGTCTCTAAGATGCTCCGTGAAGGCCCCGGCCGTGAGCAGCCCCATCTGCATGGCTTCACCGACGGGTCCAACCAAGAGCTAAAGGAATCAAGGTCAGCTCCATCTTCAAGGTCAATAGCCAAGAAGTGGGTGAAGCTCAGCATGCAGGTCACTACCACCCCATGCAGGAGACAACATCTGACCTGCCAACAGTATCACCCCGAGAATCCCAAGCGCCCCGAGGCCATGAAAAGCCCGGACGGAGGGAGGGAGGGAGGAAGGGACGGGATGGTGGCCAGAGAAAATGGCTGGAAGGACAGTGTGCAGGGGCCCGCACCTCGGAGAGAGTCCACCACCGCCTGCAGCACCCGCATGATCTCCTCCCCGAGCAGAGGGAAGTAATTCTGGGGGAGGAATGCCTCCAGGTTCTCCCGCTGCAGACGGTTGCCTAGGTGGTCGGGCAAGCCCACCACCTTGGTGAGGAGCGTCTCCTGGAGCAGGCGGAAGGCCGGCTCCGTCAGCTGCCGAGACTGGCCCTCCATCACCGCGGCCATCCTGCCCGCGCTCAGGAACCTGGCCAGCAGCTGCGCCATCTTCATCAGACGGAAGCTCGGGCTGAAGCAAGAGCAGGTGTGAAGGGCAGAGCCGTGAGCCCCCACCCTCAGTGTCCCCAGCCCAAAGGAAGAGCAAGTAATCCCACAGCTTAATCGGCACCTGACAACGAGTATCTAAATCCCACTGCCAGACAGCCAGTCCCTGGTGGGGCCCAGAGCAGCTTCCCCACCATGGAGTCACTGGATGCTGCCACTCTCCTCTCCCGATCCACGCCGACTCTGCTGAAACCCAGCTGCGCCACAGCCGGGAGGCCACATGGCAGGACTGTCTCGTGCTCTGACACTGAGTCTGGGAACCACCTTGAGGAAGGTGTCCCCACAAGTGTGCTGCGGGGCCCAGGGAGGGGCCTCCCTGTGGAGCTGAGAGCCACGGAGTGAAGCAAAGGGCCCCACGAGGATGGCAATGCCCACTGCCTACCGATGTCACCCCAGTCTGGAGCCAACCCACTGGCTAAGCCACCAGGATGGGAATGCTCCCGCTCCCTCCCTTCACCAGTGCGGCAGGACCTAGGGCAAGGGCTTCTTCACTGCAAAGGAGATCAACACAGACCGCCTCAACTTTGCTGGCGCTTTGCAGGCGCTCTGCCGGGTGCACGCTCTTTTCTCTCACCTTTCAGGACACCACATTCTCACACAAGCTGGAGAACCTGCTGGTTCGCAATCCTTCAGGCCACACTCGTGTTTCGGACATTACAAGTGACCCCATCATCAGACCCCACTCACCCGGCAGCACCCTCAATGGACTCCATCAGCACCAGGAAGGCTTGGTCAGCAGGGCCCTCCAGGAAAAAGCTGGCCCACAGGTCCTCCAGCTGGCCATCGGGCAGAAGCTCCAGCCAGCCTGGGCTCAGCCTGCCCACTAGACATCGGAGAACGGCGGAAAAGTGCATCCTGGCAAACTCCTCCTGCTCCCCGGGAAGGGCTGAGTTCTTTGCTCCACTGAGATACCGCTTCAGGGCCCCCAGGGTGGAAAGGAGGCGGCCGCCATCCTCAGAAGAGGAAAGGGTATGAAGTGCTTCCCGGACGGTGAGCGTGACTGCAGACTGCGCTGGATCCATCCTGGAGGCCACAGGACAAGCACATGAGAAGTCCACGGAGCCCTTGGTACCCACGCGGGCCCGGTCTCAGAACCCCCACCCTCTGGCCCCTCTTGTTAAGCTTCTGGGGACCCCAGTCTCTCCTCACCCCTGCTGTTGTCCAGCAGTATCCCCCCCTCCAGCATCTACCAAGTCTGTTCACAGCTTGGTACCCTCTACCGTAGGGCACTGTGCCCCAGGGTCACAAGTGGGGTGCTATTGGCATCTAGTGAGTGGGTGGTAGAACCCAGGCATCCTGGTAAATGTCCTCTATGTGCAGGACAGCGCCCACAGCAGAGGCTTATCCAAACCTAGATGTCAGCAGTGCTGGGGCTGGGAGACCCTGGACTACAGGCGTGCGATCACTTCTAACTCCCTGAGGCATCACCCATCTGCCAAACTCCCTTCTCTCCCAGAAACCAAAATCATCTATGCTCATATTGGGGGTCAGGTGCCCCTGCAGGGTTGAGTACCATTAAGTAGGCACCTATCACCAGTGCACCCAGCCACTAAATAAGGCTGCATCAGGGGCCCAAGAAGAATCCCCACGAGCCACCTCCCCACCCAGCCGGGTCTACGCGGGCTCAGATGCGCAGGCCGGATAACACGCCAGCGACCAACCCATCCCACGCTTCCTTGCCCAGCGTGCGCGGGGAGTCCACATGGTGGCGCGGCAGGCAGAGGCCTCGTGGGGCGGGCAGGGGACCTCGGGTGACGGGAGGGGGTCTCCGGGGCGGGCGGAGGTCTGGAGACGGGAGAGGGTCTCGGGGCGAGCGGGGGTCTCGGGGGACGGGAGAGGGTCTGTGGGACCGGCGGAGGTCTGGGGACGGGAGAGGGTCTCGGGGTGGGCGGGGGTCTCGGGGGACGGGCAGGGGACCTCGGGGGACGGGAGGGGTCTCCGGGGCGGGCGGAGGTCTGGGGACGGGAGAAGGTCTCGGGGCGCGCACGGGCCTGGGGAGCGACGGGCGGGGGTCTCGGGGAGGCGCGCACCCACTCGGTCCCGGAGTCTCGCCGGCGCGCTCACGGGCAGCCCCGCCGCTACCACCCCTCCGCCGATTCGCCCCGGCCGCCGAGGCCCAGCTCCGCACGCGGTTCGCGGACTAGAGCGTGAGACGGCGGAGCACGAGCTCCCCGTGCGTTGGCAGAGCTGCCGCTGAATTTTTCGAGTCTGTGGGGCCGGACCCCGCGGGCAGATCGCGACGAATCTGCCGCGAAGCCCGGGACCCGGAAGAAGCGTGGGGCGGGCGGCCGCATCTGCGCCTGCGCCGAGTGGGGGCGTGACCCTGGGTGGGTGGGTGGAGCCCTGGGGTGGGCGGGGCCGACAGGGGTAGGCGCAACACCGTTCCACGCGGGGTAGCCAGCCGCAAGTGGCCGTGAAAATTGGCCGAAATCCAGTTCCTTGGTGGCCACTTTCCAATGACTGCTCTTAACCCTGGCGCATATGCGGTGGGCAGCGTCGGGGGTGATCTGGGAAGACCTCAGGGAGGTGCCGTTTCCGCCTGGACTACCCTTGCGGGGAAATCTGGGAAGCATGCATTAGCTCAGCATGCACTCATTAAATGCCTGCTGAGTACAGCAAGCACTCCTCCAGGGCGGAGAATGAAGCCGATCAAGTCCTGGCTCACAAATCAGGGGCACAAATGAAGTACAGGAGCGAGAGGTCCGATGGCAAAGAGTGATAAGAAAAATTGGGCAGTGGGCGCCTGCGTGGCTCAGTCGGTTGAGCGTGGGACTCTTGATTTCGGCTGAGGTCGTGATCTCAGGGTCGTTGGACAGGGCCCGGGGTGGGGCTCCGCGCTGGCCGTCCGGGAGTCAGCTGGAGATTCTCTGTTCTCTTCTTGTCTCCCTCTGCCCTCCGCCCCCCTTCGCGCGTGCGCGCGTTCTCGCTCTCTCTCAAATAAATACATAAAAATCTTAAAAAAAAAAAAAAAAAAAAAGAGGCAGGCTGAGGAGTCTCGTTTTGAAATTCCCGCCCTGGGTGCAGGCAGGAGAACGGGCGGTAGAGGGCAGCCGCGGGCGCAGGGAGCGCAGGTGCGCGGCTAGTGCCTCCCAGGTGTGGGCCTGGCGGGGAGGAGGGCTGGCCTGGGATGCTCCCGAGGGATGTGGGCTGGGACAGGATGCGGGGAGTCCAGGAGGATGCCTTCCTGGGACTCCGGGAACTCCTCCCAGTCCGCTTCTGGATGAGAGCCTCGCTCTCCACTTCCTACAGCAGCTTCGTTCGACCTTGACCCGCTGTTTTCCCCAAGCCTGTCAGGCTACTAGGTGCTTCCTGAAGCACGGAAGATAAGCCTCTTAAGCCTTTACGTGTCTGAAAAATGCCTTTGTTCTTTGCTCCAGGCAGGTTCACATTTGAGCTAAATGGACAATTTTCATTGGAAATTATTTTCACTTGGAGATGTGAAGGTTTGCTCCTCTATTTTTGGCAGCCAGCGTTCAGTTCTCTGAGGAGAGTCTCAGTCTTTCCCATTGAGCAGGTTTTTCCTCTGTGGACACTTCTAGAATCTTCTCCGCCTCCATGGGGTTCTGACACTTGACGAGACACCTGGCCCTCTCTGGTGCGCCGTCTTGAGACAGACGGATGCCCTTGACTGTGACACCTTCCCAGACTATCTTCCCATTTTTTAGTCTCACTCTCTGCGCTTGCTTTTCATTGGATTGACCTCGAAGGCCATGTTTTCTTTCTCTCTCTCTCTTTTTTTCATCTCTTTGTCTTTTTGCCCTACTTTCTGGGCAATTGCTTAAAACTTGCCTTTCAGCTTTCCTGATTTAATTATTTGGAAAATCCTCGTTTTCATCCTTTTTTTTTTTTTAAAGATTTTATTTATTTATTTGACAAAGAGAGACATAATGAGAGCAGGAACACAAGCAGGGGGAGTAGGAGAGGGAGAAGCAGGCCTCCCGCGGAGCAGGGAGCCCGATATGGGACTCGATCCCAGGACCCTGGGATCATGACCTGAGCCAAAGGCAGACGCTTAACGACTGAGCCATCCAGGCGCCCTATTTGGAAAATCCTCCTTTTCATCCTTCAAGAGCAACTTCTTCCTTGTTGATTTTTCCTTTTCTCATAACATCCATGTTTTTGCCTTGCGGACACAAAGCTTTTCTTGTCTTTCTGGGAGTAGGAATTAAGATGCTTTAGAGCTTTTCCTTGGCTCTCTGCATTTTTCTGTTTGGGCAGATTTCTGTCAGAGGCTCCCATGTATAGAGATCCTTCACTTAGCCTTCATATTAAGCATGAGACAGTCAAGGGCAAGAAGCTCTGTATGTGGATGAGGGGAACTTGTTTTGACAGATGGGGGAAAGGATGCTCTTGTTTTTCCCCAAGGCTAAAGAAGCTCCCACCCTCCTCCTACCTGGGGCTGTGGCTTCTCCTTTCTGGAAGCTGGCAGAACCCTCAGAGTCCCACAATTCAATGTGCAGACCTTTATCTCATCTCTTTCTTTTTCTTAAGTTAGTTTATTTATTTAAAGTAGGCTCAGGGTGCCTGGGTGGCTCAGTTGGTTAAGCGACTGCCTTCAGCTCAGGTCATGATCCCAGGGTCCTGGGATCAAGTCCCACATCAGGCTTCTCCTGCTCTGCAGGGAGCCTGCTTCTCCCTCTGCCTCTGCCTGCCACTCCCCTGCTTGTGCTCTCTCTCTCTCTCTCTCTGTCAAATAAATAAATAAAATCTTTAAAAAAATAAATAAAGTAGGCTCCATGGCCAGTGTGGGGCTTGAACTCATAACCCTGAAATGAAGAGACACACTATACCAACTGACCAGCCAGGTGTCCCTGTGGACATTTCAATAACTCGCTTTTAGCGTTACCTTTTTAAAAAGTGAATTTTGTTATATGTATAATTTCCACTAAAATTCTTCTTTCAAAAAGAACAGATGATGGGGGCGCCTGGGTGGCTCAGTTGGTTAAGCGACTGCCTTCGGCTCAGGTCATGATCCTGGAGTCCCGGGATCAAGTCCCACATCGGGCTCCCTGCTCAGCGGGGAGTCGGCTTCTCCCTCTGACCCTCCTGACCCTCCCCCCTCTCATGCTCTCTCTCTGTCTCTCTCTCTCTCTCAAGTAAATAAATAAAATCTTAAAAAAAAAAAAAAGAACAGATGATGGAGATTGGGGGAAAGTCACCTGTCTCAGTGCATACCCGCACACAGCTACATGCCCAGTCTCTCTCCAGGGCAATGCTGTCCAATCAAAATAGGATGTGAACCCCATATGTGATGTTAAATTTTCTAGGTGGCGGTAGTAAAAAAAAAAAGCGAAAAGAAACAGGTGAAGTTAATTTTAATTTTATATGTGTATATGGGTTTTGTTGTTTTTTTTTTTTTGAGTAGCCTCCACACCCAACACGGCACTTGAACTCATGACCCCAAGATCAAGAGTTGCACACTCCACAGACTGAGCCAGCCAGGCGCCCCAATAATATATTTTATTTAACCCAATCAACCCAGAATGTTACCATTTCGACATGTTGTCCTGTACAATGTATGACGATTAGTGAGATATTTTACATTCCTTTTTTGTACTAAGCTTTGTAATCCAGTGTGCATTATTTCTGTGGTGGAACTCAATTCAGGCCAGTCACATGGCAGGGGTTCAGCTGCCCACATGGCGCAGGAAAGGGGGTTCCCCAGAGAGCCAGCTGACCACATCCTGTGGCAGGGCTGGTGAACAGAGTGTTCACCAGCTGCAGGTCAAGGAAGCCCTGGGGACCCAGCAGCTTTCTATCCAGATTCACATGAGTCCCTTCACTCAAGTCTGTGCCATGCCCCAGCCCCTCAAACCTCTCTGTAATAAGCTGAATGGTGGTTCCCAAAAATTAGGTCCAAGTCCTAAGCCCACATACGTGAATGAAAGCTTTTTCAGAGCCTTGGGGAGGAGAGGAAGGAGCAGGGCCCTAGGATACGGGGCTCCAGGACTGCAAGAGAATAAACTTGTTTTTTTGTTTTTTTGTTTTTTTAAAGATTTATTTATTTGACAGAGAAAGCACAGCGAGAGAGGGAACACAAGCAGGGGGAGTGGGAGAGTGAGAAGCAGGCTCCACAAGCAGGGGGAGTGGGAGAGTGAGAAGCAGGCTCCCCGCGGAGCAGGGAACCTGATGCAGGGCTTGATCCCAGGACCCTGGGATCATGACCTGAGCCGAAGGCAGACGCTTAATGACTGAGCCACCCAGGCGCCCCTGAGAATAAACTTATTGTTTTAAGCTTCCCCATGGGGGTCACTGGTTACGGCAACCCAGCCATGGTCTAAGTAAGTGGGGCAGGCGGGGACCTCATCCCAGGACCGCTGCAGGGACCATGATGCAGGGAGGGAGCAGGATAAAACCAGAGTCAGTTAAATAGCCCTGCATGGTTCCTCTCCCCCAGGTGCCAGTTCAATGGCAGCAGAAGGACAAAGGTGAAGGAGCCCAGGGCCAAGGAGAGTGCGAGGGCCTAGGAGAGCGCAAGGGGAGGGAGACAGCAGCGGGATGTGGGGATCCAGTGTGGCCTGGGAGAGTGACTGGTCAAGGGTGGAGCAGGGGGAACTGTGGAGAGAGCCCCCAAGGGGAGGGAGTCAGTGGCCCCAGGCCACAACCAATGACCTGTAACTAATGCAGCTCCAAGGTCAGCATGTTCTGGGTGCTGCTCCCCAAGGCTCCACGGAGGACCCCTCCTGCCTCGTCCAGCTCCTGGCTCTCCCTGTGCCCGCATCACCCCAGTCTCTGCCTCTGTCTTCCCACGGCCTTCTCCTCTGTGTCTGTCTCTTGTAAGGACACCCTAACTATCAGCATGGTCTCCTCTCAAGATCCTTAATGATGTCTGCAAGGGCCTTTTTTCCAAATAAACTCACATCACAGGTACAGGGGAATTCACGGGGTTAGGACTTGGACTTACCATTTTGAAGCCACCATTCAGCCCACCAGACAACCTATACCCCAAAACAAATTAAGGTGGCCCCCAACCCCATTTCCTTTGCCTTACCTGAGGGAGAGAGGTGGGCCTCACAGTCCCCTCCGTGCAGGGCCAGCACGCTGGGCCCCACAGCAGACTTGGCTCCAGGGGCTCCCTGGCCCTGGCCCGGCCCCATCCAGCTCCCTGAGGTGGGAGCTGAGTCCATGTGCCCCTGCTAAAGCAATCACCGTCTGCCTCTGAGCCAGCCAGGCTGCGGCTCGAACCCAGAATTATTTTCCAGAGAAACTGTTTGCATCTGTTTTAAGCTTGTGTCCTTGGGAACCTCCAGCTCTCCAGAGCTCACTGACTGGAGGGCAGATGCTTTTCATTAAGGTGGCAGGAAGCACCTGACTCCCAGGCAGGGTGGGAGAAGGAAAGCTGGGAGGGCTGTGTGGGAACAAGCAGCGCAAAGCCAGCGGCCCTCTCTCCGCGTCCTCAGGATGGGCTGCCCGCGGAGGAAGGCCCTGTCCCTCCTTATTTTTGTGCCTGCCTGTCTGCATGGGGCTTTGTCACAGGGATACAGCCCTGCAGGGCAAAGGAAACCATTTCTCGAGAGGCTCCGCAGACTGGAAGGGCAGGTGAGTGTAGCCAGCACCTGGGGCAGCTGTGTGTTAAATTCAACAGCCGACACGGAAACAGAGCAGTAAGAGTCCTGCTCTGGGGATGCAAACACGGAGTGCGGGGGTTCTTCCCATCAGTGACTCTACGGTCCCCTACAGGGGCAACTAGCAGAGAAGGTCTGTTGGGCTGTTAGGAAGTCAAGCCAACTGACAGTGAGAACAGGGTGGGAGTCGGGCCGGGCGGTGGTGTGGGAAGCCCCGAGAGGGCTACAGGAGGGGTGCTGGGGCGTCTGGGCACGGGGTTGGGAGCTCTCTGCAGGCTCTGCCTGCTTTGATCCCCACAAACCACTCACGAAGCCCACCCTGCCCTACGTCCACTCAGGCAGGACCCTGAGCGTCACAGGGGTGAGGTGTGGGAGGCGCGAGAGGCATGGGGGTCGTGGGGGAGATGGGGGCCTGAAGCCCACACCCCACAGAGTGGGCGTCTCTGAGCGAGGCCGCCGTGGGGCTGGGTGTGGTCATGGGCCCACCCCTCGCGCAGCCGCCTGGGGATCAAGTCAGTGTGGATGGTGGCCAGTGCGCGACAGGCACCCAGAAGCGTGAGCGGGAAGGCTTGTCCCGCATCCTCCGGGCCCTCTGTGTCTCTCTCTAGTTCCGGAGGCTCCAAGAGGTGACCTTAACACACCTGCGAGTCCTTGCCCGTAACCACAACCTGTCCTACGGCATCGATGCTCGGTTCCAGAGCCTGGTGCGCGAGACCCAGGCCGTGGCTCTGGCCGTGAACCAGTCGCAGGCCGCCATGCAGGGCGACCTGAGCCACCTCAAGACCTGGATGCAGAAGACCCAGCGCAGAAGCCAGAAGGTGGAGTCCAGGCTGCTGGCCTTGGGTGCTGCGCTGAGTGAAAAGGGCAAGCAGCGCACCCAGGAGGGGAAGGAGCCGCAGGTGCAGAGGGGCGCCCTCTCCGGCCTGGCCCCGGACCTGAGGGCCCTGCAGGACACGCTCGCTCGCCTCACACACCTCGTGCAGGGCCAGGGCGCCAGGCTGGCTGCTCTCAAGGGCCGGCTGCAGGTGGCCTGCCCTGGCACCATGGCCCCAGGGCTGACCCCGGCCCGGCCCCCGACCCCACCTGGGTTGCCGAGCTCCAGCTCCCCAACGCTGCAGAGGGGAAGGCAGGCGCTCAGGCCTTCACCTGAGACTGGGGACCCACCTCAGGACTCTGCCAGTGGTCTCCAGGGGACTCGGGCGCTCCCCGGCCCGGGCAGCCAGCGGGCTTGGCCCCCGAGAGACCAGGAGAGAATAAGTACCATGGCCTGCCCTTACTCCGTCGGCCTCGCCTCCCCTCTCCCACCTCCTCAGGCCTCTGGTCCCCTCTGGACAGCCTTCTCCCCCAAGCTGTGTGGAGAGGACACTGGCTTCACAGCCCTGTGCACCCCCAGAAGAAAGGGGGGCGTGCAGGTGATGGCCTGTCTTCGGGCCCCCCGGCGCCCTGGGGTGGGTGTGCACAGATGTCGGGTGCTCCTGGGGGGGTCCCCAACTCCCACTTGGTGACCCCTTCATTAGGGCTGGTGGGATAATACGACGCGTCCCCAGCCATCGCCCGCATGAGTCTCCTGTGCTGGCCCTAGATTCTGACGGGGTCCCTGAGGGGAAGAGAGGGGCTGGGAGCCCTCCATCCTTGGGTCCAGTGGGCTAACGGGTTAGAGATGCAGGTCCTCAGCCTGCCGATTGGGACCTTGGACCTCACCCCACCCCATGGACCCCTCTGTCAGGTAGACCTGAAGGGGCATGGCCCCAAAGACATTCACATCCTGACCCCTGGGCCCTGTGGATGCGGCCCCTCACGTGGCAAGGGGACTTTCTGGCTGTGATTACAGACTGTGAGACGGGAGGGGAGCTGGAATTGACACCGGGGCGAGGCAGGAAGGTCAGAGAAGCAGCTGTGAGCTCAGGGACAGAGGTTAGAGGGATGCACTTTGAAGACACAGGCAGGGCCGCGATCCATAAGCAGGGGCCGTCTCTGGAAGCTGACAGGGCAGGAGAGGATTCTCCCTGGGGCCTCCAGAGGGAGCCAGCCCCGCATCCACCATGATTTTCATCAGGGGACCCGGGTCTGGCTTTTGACCTCCAGAACTGGAAGATACTCGATTCGTGTTGTTTGGAGCCTCTGAGTGTGTGGGGCTTCGTGATGGCAGCCCCAGGAGGCTCACGCCGGGGGTCCCGCTGCTGTGGGGCGTGTCCAGAGGCTCACTCCCGCCGAGGTGTAAGACTGCGTGGGCTCCCAGTCTTCCCACCTGTGGGATGGGGTGATGGTGCAGCAAGGACCCATGGCACCCTGCACGGCCAGCCTCACAGTGCTGACTCAGCCACGGGGTCTGAAGCCCATGCCCGGGAGCGGTGTGGACACTCCTGCCGCCGCCTGGTGCTGGGGCTGACTCTCCCCGTTTCCAGCCCGTGACGTGGGCCCCGTGCTGGTCTTCCCGAACACCTCCACCCGGAACGCCGCCTTCCTCAGCCCCGGCTTCCCGTCAGGCCTGCAAGCCCTATCTGTCTGCAGCTGGGTGTGCACGGCCTCGGGCCGCCTGGGCACCCTGCTCTCCTATGCCATGGAGGAGAATGACAACAAGCTTGTGCTGCACGGCAGGGACTCCCTGGCCCCGGGCTCCATCCACTTCGTGATCCGAGACCCGGCCTTCAGGGAGCTGCCCCTGCAGCTGCTGCTGGACGGCCGGTGGAACCATGTGTGTGTCATCTGGATGTCCACCCTGGGCAGATACTGGCTGTACGTGGACCGCAGCCTCGTGGCCACCCGCTCCCACTTCAGGGAGGGCTATGAGATCCCTGCAGGAGGGTCCTTCGTGCTGGGCCAGGAGCAGGACAGCATGGGGGGCGGGTTTGACAGCTCTGAAGCCTTCGTGGGCAGCATAGCAGGCCTGGCCATTTGGGACCGGGCACTGGTCCCCGGGGAGGTCGCAAAACTGGCCACCGGGAGGGAGATCCCCGGGGGCGCCATCCTGACGCTGGACAATGCCCAGTGGGGAGGCGGATACGTGCAGAGGGTGAACTGCAGCTGCTTGGAGCTCTGCCCCTGAGGCCCTGTGCCCTGAGCCCGGCAGGAACAGCCTCAGCAGCCTTTGGCCACCGCTGATCCCAGCACACCCCCGTCCAGGGCCCCCTCCTGCACTGGGGAGGGGACAGGGCAGTGTGGGCGGGAGGGAGCGGGCCAACAGGTGGAGTGGGGCTGTGGGAGGCCCTGTGGACTATGATGCCGTTCCAGCCCAGCGAGCACAGGACTCCGGTGGGGCCTCTCGTCTGGGCTGGGTTTGCTGATGGAGAACTCCGTTTTCGAGGAACCTAGGTGGGTGCACTTGAACTGCCATGGTCCTCTCTCGAGGTGGCTTAGAAAGTGTCCGTCTGGGTGGTCCTTGTTCCCATATCCCTCATGAAAAGGGCCAGGAACCCATTTCCTGCCCTGAAGTTCCAGCAGTGCCAGAGCCAGTGAAGGGAGCAAGCTATTCAGAAACACACACGAGCAACCGACGGCACTGCTTTCAAAGTAACCTTGTTGGGGTTTTATCGGAGCAGGTGTTACAATGCTCATCCGCGATGCATGTCCAGTGCAAAGATGGTTAGCGAATTTACTGAGCTGTGCAACCATCACCACAGTCCAGTTTTAGGGTGTTTCCATGTCCCTGCCCCCCCAAATCATGCCCGTTAGCGGTTGCTCCTGTCCCCCCAGCTCCAGCAAACCCTGACCGGCTCTCTGGGCAGATTGGCCCGTTCTGGACGTTGGACATCTCACCTAAAGGAATCACACACCGTGGGGTCTCAAGTCTGCTTCTGTCGCCAAGCGGCACGCTCCCCAGCCCCGCGGACGTGCCCGCACACCAGGGCCCCCGTCCTCTGGGCGCTGGGCGCCACCCTGCCGGGATGCACCCCACGCTGCTATCCGTTCATCCACTTCCAGTCTCTAGCTTCTGTGAATAAAGCTGCTCCGAGCATTGTCATATGAGTCCTTGTGCAGACACGGGTTCCTCTTTCCCTTGAGCGGGTGCCTGTGAGTAGAATTTCTGGGTCGCGTGGTGAACTCAGGTCTGAACTTTCAAAGAAACGCCCAAACCGGTTTCCAGAGTGGCTACCGCCCTCTCTGTTCCTACGCCCCGCCAGCACGCGCGCTCCCGCTTCTGGATGTTTATTTTTACTCTTCTGAACCGTGGCCCCTAAAAGAACAGGCACGGACAGGAGGGGCGTTAAGTTTCAGTGTGATGGAAACGAACCCCTACTGTATCGGGGATTCCCAAGGAAGAACCAAACAGACAATCAGGAAGGAGTCTGGGAAGACAGGAGGAGAGGGTGTTGCAGGGGGGAACCCACGCGTGGGAGAGGTGAGGAATCCCTGAGTTCAGAAACAGGCTCGGTTCTTAGAATTCCCCCTGCTTTTTTTTTTAAAGATTTATTTATGTATTTATTTGAGAGAGAGCAAGAGAGAGAGAATGCGTGTGCACGAGAGCTTGGGGAAGGGCAGAGGGAAAGAGAGAATCTCAAGCAGACTCACGGCAGAGTACCCCATGGGTGGGTGGGGGGCACTCGATCTCCCGACCCTGAGACCATGACCTGAGCTGAAATCAAAGGTCAGATGGGACTCTTAACCACCTAAGCCCTCCAGGAGCCCCTCCCCCCACTTTAAAAGCGGGAACACAAGCTGGAGAAGCCCCATGCCCTCACCAGCCCTCACCAGCCCGCACCGCCCGGCCTCCGCGAGGGGCCCTGGTTTCATCCTGCAGCTGCCCCGGGAGTGGGGGGGTGGGAGAGTGCTCTAAATGACTCCCTCCACCTTTTAGGGCATTCTCATCTCTGCAGCGCTGTGACCCCAGCAATCCAGGGCCTTCCGCCCACAGACTCAGCGTGGCTGCTTTCCCTAGGAGTCAAGGTCAGAGGAGACATTCTAGAACCGAAATCCCCAAGTGGCCACAGGGATGCTCCCTGAGTCACTGACTTCTACTTTTCCTTGCACTTCCCCAGGGCACGTGCACCTTCAGGGACAGCGGCTCCTTCTCGGCCTCTTCCTTCCTGGGCACCTAGGGCTTTTTCGGGGGCTCTTGCTCAGTCCTCCCCCCATGAGGAGGAGGGATGATGTGCTGCTTTAGGGGAGACTGGTAATCTGACTACTATTTCTTCAGCAACAGCAGATCCCCAGCATAGAAAGACCACACAGGGTATTATCTCTGGCCCCTCCCCTTTTTTGAGCTTATAATGCCTAGGAGACCCAGGATGGCCCTCCATTCATAGCAGCAATCCCCTACAAGTCCACAGACCCTAACGCCACAGGAATAGGGCAGAGAAGACAGCATCACTGCGGGCGGCCACATCCACATTCGGGAAGCTTCATGGGCAGTGGGATTCCAGGAGGGTGGAGCGGCCTGGGGAACGGCTTGGAGTCAGGGCTGAGACAGCTTCAGGGAGGGCTCTGGTCACTAAGAATTTGGTCTGAGCTCTGTCCAGTAGGACAAGGGAAGCCATGCAGGGTTTGAAGCAGGACAGTCTGAACACGAATCTCATGCGATCGGCCACCCCCATGGGGTCAGTGACAAAGCCCCCCCCCCATGCATTCTGAAGCATGAGCCACCTGCAATCCATCAAACCCCACCTATGGCCCGAGTTTGTTGTGTTTCTGGGTAAGGACAACATGACCCAGAGATGCCCTTCTCATGCTATGGGGACCGGGGCCTGGCAAGAAGCTGGGGCTGGTTTCTCCCTTCCCCGCCCTGCCTGCTTGTCCTCCAGAAGGGCCACTGGTCCAGCACAAGTACAATCAGGCACCTCATCTGTCTGACAGCGTTGTCCTGCTGGGCCACAGAGATGCCCCCTGACCTCCAGCAGGACCCACGGACTGCCCTCACTTCTCTATCACTGGATGTCTTCACAGGAACCCCATTATCCAGTCCACTCAGTCTACACACACCCAGCCCTAGCCCCAGCCCTGCCTGCGCTTCATGCCCGTGTGCCAGGCCACAACCCAGGGGCCATCACGCCGCTCTGGTCCATCACTCGAAAGGGCAAAGCCAGATGACACGAATGAGAAAACACACTTTTTTGAAAGCATGTTGTTCTTAGAATTTCCAAAAGAGCACTGCACAGTCATTGTGGGGAAAATTCAAAACCCTGTCCAACTTCTCTTATTTTAGTTTTAGTTCTGATTTTGAGTTGTGTGGAGGGAGGGGCTCTGTTAACTTCTCAGCCTCAGAGCCTCTAAAACACTTTGTAAATCTTTTCCTTTTGAAAAGTTTCCCAGCCAAAAAACAGAAGTTGCAAGACGAACACATTGTAGGTCATACACGTTGGGCCTAGACTGACCACGTTGGCCTTGGGCCACATCTGCTCCCCTCTGTCGCTGGCTCCCTGCCCCCATGATAAGGCAACTACACACATCGCAGCCCATCCACCTGCATGCACCGTTTGTCTCCTGAGAACAAGGACCTTTCCTGCGGTCACCCCAGGACAATGCTCAGCCCTGGGCGGGGAACCCAGCAATCCCACCACCCAGCCCAGTGCATGCCCAAGCTTTGCCAGTTGTCCCAGCGAGGCCAGAGCCGCCAGGAGCCTTCGGCTGTGCTGTCCCTTCAATCCCGTCCCAGAGGGCAGTCCCGGCCCTTCGTGGCCGAACAGAACGCCTCGCAGTTTAGCCAATGTCCCTCAGTTTGGGTGCGTGTGTGATTCCCCCGCTGGTGAGGACACTTGGCAAAGCAGCTTCTGCAGCAATGCCCCATGAGCCTCGTGTGTCCTCCTCGGCATGTCCTCCTCAGCACAAGCCCCGGGGAGGCCCAGGCGGTGCTCAGCCTGTCCTGGGCTCCGGGGGCTTCCACCTGACTTCCAAGATTCCTTCCCTTTCCTCGTTATCGGTAACCCTCGGAGATACCGAGACCGCGCACGGGCCCGCGGGCAGCAGACCTGTCCAGACGGCGGAGCACGTGCCTGCGACCAATCATTCCTCCCGCAGCGGCCAGGCGGCCAGGTGTCCACCCGCCCTTCCTCCCGCGTCGACTGGTCGGTCTCCACCTGCTCCAGGAGGGGCTGCCTGCCCGCCCTCCTCCCCCTTCCTCTTGTTCCGTCCGCGCGGAACCCGGCTCCCTTCTCCGTTCCTGCCTCGATCCGTTCTCGGGGACCGGGTCCCCGCTGGTCACGCGAGTGGCCGCGGAGCCCCCTCCGCCCAGAGGGCGCCGGGCGCGGGACTACAACTCCCAGAAGGGCCCCCGCGCGCACGGCTCTGCGCGGCCGCCGCCGCGCGTCACGTGGCCCGTCCTCGTGGGTCACGTGGCCGCGGCGCGGGTCACGAGAACAAACACCGGGCCGCCGCGCTTCTCGGGCCGGTCCGTCCGCAGCGGGCCATGGCCAACGTGTCTAAGAAGGTGTCGTGGTCCGGCCGCGACCTGGACGACGACGAGGCGGCGCCTCTGCTGCGGAGGACGGCGCGGCCCGGGGCGCCGGCCGGCGAGAGCACGCCGCTGTTGAACGGGGCCGGGCCGGCGGCCGCCCGTCAGGTGAGGCCGTCCGCCGGGAGAGCCCCGGCCCGCGCCTCAGTCTCCCCGCCGCCGGGAGCCGGCGTCGACGTGGCGGGCGTGGGTCGGGCCTTCCCCGCCGCTCGGACTCGGGAGTCAGTGGCTCTGGCAGGCGGAGGGTCGCTCACTCGCCGGTGGCTGGCCCTGTGCCTGGCGGGTGCTGACCGGCGCATTGGTGCTTCCATCGCTCCCCCCGCCCCCCGGTGAAGAGGAGGGAATTGAGCCACGGACGGGTGCGGGAACGTGCCCCGGGTCTTCCTTGGCAGATGGCATTTGCTGGCATCGGAACCTAGGCCCTGGGGTTCTGGAGTCTTGGGAGGAAGCTCTGGGCCGGGTGACTGGTGGGGTTCGAGGAGCAGGCCGAGCTCACCATGACACTGTTTTCTGAGCGCGCACGAGCTTCCGCCTGCCGAGTTTTCTCTTGCAGTGTGGGGCTCTGTGGGCCACTCTTCTCTGCAGGGATGGGTACAGGGCGATCTTAGAAATGACAGGTATTTGCACCCAGTTTTCCTTACCAACTAAATGAAATGAGAGCGTGCAGACAGACGCTGTAAGCAACAAGTCAGAGTGGTTGCCGTGTGTTCGCGTTAGCGATGCGGATGGCGTCTTTGCATGCACGTATGTGTGTTGTGTTCATTTTGATTTAATGAGCTGTTTTTATGCGTTGTTTGGTCTTATTCTACTTTTGGTATTTGTTCTTCTGTTGTTCAGTATCTGTCCTTTAAACGTTAGAATGGTCCTTAAAAATTAGGAAGGACACAAACGTCAGGCTGTTTCTGTAGGGCTTATCTTCAGGTTCCCCCAGTCCCTTGGAAACACATCAGAGTGAAAGTGCAAGTCTGCTTTTTGAGTGAAATTTTGTCCCGAAATGCTCTCTGTGTCTACATGAGATGTGATCTGAAATGGCTAATTTGGAGGGGAGCCTTAAGGGTGCTTTGTTATTTTCTTCTTGGAACATTATTTTTTCCCTTTAAAAGAAAGTAACCTGGGGTCTACCAAATGGAATTGTAAAACTGGCTTTAAGGGTCGTCAGGTAAAGAGACTGGAAACGGTAAGGTGGAATTTGGGTTTATCTCAGGACTGAATGTGCATTTCCCACTTCTCTTGCAAGTAGACACGGGTGTTGGGTTTTTTTAAGAAGAGCCTTTTGAACTCTTAAAAAAAATCAGTCTTAAAAAAATGTTTGCAACTTTATTGTTTATTTGTGTTTAGCAACACCTGACTAGTTTCTCTTAAGCAATTAAAAAGGAATTATTAAGTACCTACTGTGTACCCAGCTGCATGCAGTTTGCCTGGAACACGGGAGCAGAAGCAGCTTCCTTCCTACTGGATGTAGGCTCGTGGAGAAACACGCCTGGTGCTCTGTGAAGACTGTGTGAGGGGCCCCAAGGGCAGGAGAGGTCCCATTTGGGTCCAGTCTTGAGGAGTGCAAGACCCTCAGGGGGGCAATAGGTGGGAAAGGATGGAGAGTGTGTTTGAGATCCTCTGTGAGTTTGGAAAGTAGATTGGAGTGGGGAGAGAGGCGGGTCAGACCTGTAAGGGACAGCTGCTGCCTTTGAATTTGGCTTTACTTCAGGGAGAGTTCTGCAGGAAGCTGGAGATTTCAGTCTTCAAAGATCGTAGCCCGCCTTGTGCGGACCGGTGGCAAGGGGGAGACCGCTCTGCACCCCAGGAGGCAAGCCCCATGGCCTCTTCTGCTTCAGGGTCCTCCCTGCAGAAAGGTGAATGTGTGTGCTGTGCTGAGCAGTGCCTGTCCCAGCTGGTGGACAGTAGGCACTCTCAGTGGATTAGTGTTGGAAAGAGCAGCACGAAAGCAACTGTCATTGGGTTATCATTCATGGGGTGACTCCGCTGGCCGCTGATGGGATTCCTTGATGCCGGCTTTCTTGTGGGGAAGATCTGCTTTGGGCCCGCAGGCTGAGTTCAGCGCTAGGCTCTGCAGCAGATGGTGGCCTGTAAGCTGCTGTCAGTCCGGGGCTATTTGAACTAAAATGACAGCCCGGACCAACAACCACCCTACAGGAACGTTCTAGTGAATCAGACGTGGGAGCTCATGGCCACCTCCTGGCCCTTTGGGGTTTGTTGCATCGTGTCCAGAGTTGGATGGTGGTGGTGTTGGTGCGAGCAGAGCCTGCCGAGCTCCTGAAGTAGCTGCTCTGGGCAGCGTGTGCCACGTGGCTACCCTGCCAGGCTGCTAAGTGCCAGGGGGGAGTAGGCACAGCCCCCGGCAGGATACACTGGTGACTGGCCTGAGCTCAGCCTCCATCTTCCCCGGAGCAGGCTGTTGAGAGCCACCTGTTGGTCGCTGTTCCCTTTGTCAGGCCCCTGGGCCGGTCGTGCTGGAGTGTGAGGTGATGGTGAGTTACCAGCGAGTCACTGCCATTCTCCCGCTGGGACAAGGAGGGGGTGAGGTCAGCCAGCAAGTCATGGTCATGTGTGTGGGCAGTGGGAAGCGGAGCATTTCGAGAACTTATACAGGGAACTTTGAGACGGAAACAGATGCTCCAGAGGTGGAGGGGTGGGGTATTTGCAGTGTTTGTAAATGCAGGACATTTCCAGGGACCTCGGCTTTAGGAAGCTCCACCTGAGACACCTTGGGGCCGGGGGAGGGTGGGGGAGGCAGGCGGGTGTAGGACTCTCAGGTTAGTGTTTAGAGTCAGTTCTACAGATCTTGTTTCTCTGGGAACTGGGTTACCTCTGTGTCCTGCCTTGATGGCTGGAGCCACAGACCACAGCCTGAGAGTGTCAGGGGCACGGAAGGGGTGCTCAGGGGTGGGTCATCTGTTGTCCTCACTGGCCCCTTGAGTTCTCTACAATAAGTGAGCACCCCGTCTTTCTCCTAGGTGGCTCTTAGCACCAGGCTCAGCTCTTCCTGGAAGTTCCTCTGCCTTAGTATCCTTGACCTGCTCTCCTCCCTCTCTGTCTGCCTACCCACAGCCTCACTTTGTAGGGTTCAGGCTGGCTGCTGCAGTGCCCTCCCTGAGGGTTCCCCAGATCTGTGTCCCTCCTGCCTTCAGTACCACCTGTGCAGGGTCAGTGGGGGTGGGACAGACCACCGCCTGCAGTAGGGGCGTAGACTTGAGAGCTGAGGGACAAGGCTGGGCCCAGGCCTAGATAGAGGGTCCCGAGAGCCCCCCGCTGTACAGCTTAGTCCTTCTCCTCATTGGGGTTCAGCCTGCAGGCCTCCTTGTCCACCTGACCTCACAGGCTTCCTCACACTTGCACTTACTTTGTTTATGGGCATCTGCGTGCTTGGCCTGGAAGCCTCTGGCTGCTGGAGCCCTCTGTCCTCCGTGCTGAGTGTGGAGCCTGGTGGCCGCTAGAACACACAACAGCCAGCGGGACAGCAAATGGCCTTTAGATTGTTTTTAAAGTTGGTTCTACTTTGAGTGAAAACACATAACAAAACTTACCACCTTGACCAGTTTGAAACATACAGCTCAGTGGGGTTAGAAGCATTCACGTGTTGTGTAACCGGCCCCGCCACCTACCCAGGGAACTGGTCCATCTTGCACAACTGAAACTGTCCCCATGAAACACTCAGCCCAGCCCCTCCTGCCCACCCTTCTACTCTCTGTCTCCATAAACCTGACTGTTCTAGAAATCTACTGTGCTGTGAGTGGAATCATACGGTGTTGGTTTTTTTGTGACGGGCTGCTTTCTCTTAGCATAACGTCCCTGAGGCTCGTCCGTGTTGTAGCGGATTGCAGAATTTCCTTCCTTTTTAAGGCCAGGAAACTTTTTGTTGCCCATATGGGCCATGGTATGTTTATCCATTCATCTGTCAGGGGACACAAGGGCTGCTTCCACCCCTTGGCTGATGTGAATCTTGCTGCCATGGGCATGGTGTGCAAGGGTCTCTGGGTTCCCGTTTCCAGCTCTTTTCAGGACACACCAGGGGTCAGATTGCTGGGTCACATGGTCATCCTGTGTTTCATTTTCCAAGGAAGCGCCACCCTGCTTTCCACAGCCGCTGCACCATCGTGCTCCCCCACCCCAGTGTGCAGGGCACCAGCTTCCCACATCCTCCCCGCACGCGCTGCTCTGTGGTTTGGCTGGTGGTGTTGAGCGTGTTTTCGTGTGCTTATTGGCTGTGCGTGTGTCACCGTTGGAGACGTGTCTTCAGTCCTTTGCCCACTTTTTTTAACCGGGTTGTTTTTGTTGTTGACTTGTAGGAGTTCTTGACATGTTGTGGATGTAAACTCCTTTCGGGTATGCGATGTGTAATATGTTCTCCCATAGTGTAGGCTGCCTTCTCGCTCTCTTGTCTCCTGTGATGCACGGAAGTTTCTCAGTGTGATGTGGCCGTCCCATTTGCATGTACATTTTTAAAATGTTTACAGATAAGTATGGATTTACAGGAAGTTGACAAGACCGTACAGAGAGGGCCCGTGCGCCTTGCCCCAGGTTCCTCCACGGCCTCCGGCCCACAGAATGACAGCACCGAGGTGACACCGGGACGTTGACGTGGGCACGTGGGCACTTCTCCACCCTTAAGTCCCGCATCTGCACCACCGCAGTCAGCATGCAGAGTGCGAGCCTCAGCACGGAGCTCTCTCGTCCTGCCTCTGTGGTCACCCTTCCTGCGCCCCGATCTGTTCCCATTGCCCTGGCCCAACGTTTTGAGTGTCAGGTCCGTGCGGCTGCTCAGTGTGTAATCTTTTACACACTTTTGGGATTGTCTGCTTTCACTCAGCATCACACCCCAGAGATTACGTCCAGGCTCTTGTGCGTGTCAGCAGTTTGAGGACCCGGTATGTAATCTAACCTGTGTTCAAGAGAAAGAAACAGACACAGTAGCAAGTAAATCACTGAGCTCCAAGTAAATGGCTTGTTTCATCACGAAAGATATTTCCTGGAAGATGCACTTAAAGCCCAGAAAAGAGAAGTGGGGGAAGGGAGGGGCCTCCACCTCCCAGTCCAGGCGTGCTGTCTTGGGGTGCAGGCTGCCCCGCCTCGCTCGCATCCTCTGGTTGGGCGCTGAGGACCTGTGTCACCTGAGCGAGTGCGTCTGTGCCAACTAGACCGTTCTTTTTTTTTTTTTTTTTTTTTTTTTTTTCAAAAAAAGAGCAGGTCAGAGGAGGGTCAGAGGGAGAAGCAGGCTCCCCACTGAGCAGGGAGCCCGACATGAGGCTTGATCCCAGGTCCCAGGGATCATGACCTGAGCCAAAGGCAGACCCTTCACCGACAGAGCCACCCAGGCGCCCCTGACCAGACCCATTCTTGTCACACCTCTCCTGAGGCTGCAGCCTGGCTCTTGGAAACTGCAGATGTGAGAGGAGATGTGTGATGGGCCCCGACTGTGGGCCCACTTGTTGTGGAGGGATGACTGCCCGGTGTAACCGAGCTTCTTCTCTGATCAGTGGTGGGTGAGATGAAAGTGGCCAGGCTGCCTTTCTCTGTGGCTCCACCTGCCGGGTCGGAGGGAGGGTTACGTTCTCCTGTGCCTCTCACGCTTGGACTTTGAGCACTGCCTGGCCTTGCTCCGCTGGGTTTGTCCATCTCTGCATGGACATGCAAACCTGTCTGGCTGGTCTGCGTGTACAGACACGTCCCCAAGGACATGCATTTGGTGTTGCTGTGGCCAGGCTGGTGGCCCAGAACCCCCCCTGCTTACACGTGTCCTGTGTGAGCAGAGGCTACAGCCAGGTCCGGGCCCCTCCTGGCTACCGTTGGCTTGAGAACTGGGATCCCTTGCTGGGCTGGCACAGTGGCCAGCAGGGCTAGCCTTCCTGCCGGAGGCTTGGAGCTCGGGAGCCCCACCCTGCCTTTCTCATTGGATTCAGCAGTTTGGGGGCATTGTCAGTGTTTTTAAAGAGGAATCCGTATTTCTCTCCGCACCCCCCGTGTTACTGGCGCTGAGTGCACGCACATGGAGTAGAGTGCCCAGCTGTGCACAGGAGCACACTGATCCTCACGTGAGCATGCTGCTCGGAAGCTCCCCCTGTTGTGGGGCGAGCGTGTGCCGCGGTAGCCGGGGTAACGGGCGTTGCGGGGACTGTGTTCACTACAGGCACCTGGCTCTGGCAGTGTTAGTAAGTTAAGCACAGTGAGAGGTTAGGGCGAAAGCTGGTAACAAAGTAGAACAATTGTAGCAATATACCCTCACCCGTGCTCCTGTGGGGGTGTGAGGTGGCAAATGCCCATGTGATGGTTTCAAGTGAGGAGAGCGGCCCCTTGTGATGCAGCACGAGGTGACTGCTGACCTTCTGACTACACGGCAGGAAGACGGTCATCTGCTTCCTGCTGACCACACGCGCCCGAAGCCGTGGATCAGGGGGACGATTATAGGATTTGTTCTCGTTGCTGCGGCAGGTTTTCCATCGAGTGCAGGGCCGCTGGATAAACGGCAGGGCGCCCAGCCCCATCTGCACTTAAGAGAAACCAGGGGTCATGTTTCCACGCAGCATCTGGGACCTACTGACCCTGAAACGTGTTTCTCTGAAATACAAACATGGCAGGTGCCTGCGTTCTGCCTCCTAGGCCTCTGCCATGGCCGTGCGGTGTCTGCTTGTCTGTCCCCGGTGGCTGGCGGCAGTGTGGCCACGTATCTGGAGGGCCTGCCTGGAGGCCGGGCACAGCTACCTGCCTGTCGGAGCCCCTTAGTCTCATGATGAGGGGACACGGGAAGTGGGTGGGGTGGGGGAGCCTGAAGGATGCTGGCATGGGCGCCCTGCAGCCCTTGGTCCCCAGGGCTGGCGGGTGTCTGTAGTCTCAGCCGTGCCTTAGGCCAAGGGGGGGGAGCGGGGCCTCTGGGGTAAAGAAGGTCTGGACTTCTCTGGGGTCCAGCACTGACCGCACGACCTATGACCGAGCACCCCACGATTTCTCTTATGCTTCTAGTCGCCACGTTCAGCATTTTTCCGGATCGGACAGATGAGCAACGTGGAGCTGGACGATGAGCTGCTCGACCCGGTGAGTAGTAGACTCATTCCCCAACCTTTCAGTTCTCAGCGCCTACCCGCCCCCAGGAAGGACGAAGCCTGCTCTTGTGGAGGTGCCAAGCAGAGTGCAGGCAGTAAACGCCCAAAAAGAAGGTGGTGGACGGACAGCAAACAGGGCCGTGCAGAGCGGGAGGGCAGGTGTGGGCGGTCAGCGGGAGGACAGGTGTGGGCCGGTCCATGTGGGGGGGCAGGTGAGGTGTGGGCAGTCTATACAGAGCTGGGGGACAGATGTGAGCAATTCCGTGCAGAGCGGGGCGGTGGGGGGTACAAAATGAGGAGTAGACCGTGGGGCCGCCAGAGCCTGGGTGACCAGAGAAGTTGGTTCTGAGGGTCCATGTCCCCTGAGGCTGAGCCAGGTGAGCAGAGATGGGACGAGTGCATCCCAGCAGGGAGCACAGAGCCTGTCCTGTGGAAATGCAGGAAGCAAGGCCAGGGCAGCAGGCACCATGTGTGGGAGAGGGGCACTGAGTGGGCTGGAGGTGAGCTCTGGGGACAGGGATCTCTGGGGTCAGGGACCTTTGGACAGTGTGATATCCTCTCTCCCGCCCCCGTGCCAGGCTGTCTGGCAGCTACTGGGGAATGTTCCTGAGCCTGCCCTACTCCCCAGCCTTGCATGTGATTTCCTCCTCAGGGTTTTGTGGTTTTGACCTGTGTCCCTCTCATGCCCGGTGATGGCCAGTTGATCTTTCCTGTGCTGGTGGCCATGCGTATGTCTTCTTTGCAGAAATGTCAGTTCAGATCCTGTGCCACTTTAATTGGGTTTTTTGTGTTTTTATCATCAGGTTATAAGAGTTCTTAGTACATTAGATGTACATTGTTCATCAGGTACAAAATCTGCAAAAAGTTTTTTCCATTCTTTGGGTGGTCTCACTTTCTCACAGTTTCCTTGGAAGCACAAAACTTTTAATTTTTTTTAGAGAGTGGGTAGGTGGGGTACGGGCAAGGGAGAGGGAGAGAGGGAATCTTAAGCAGGTTCCACGCCCAGCACAGAGCCTGACTTGGGGCTCAGTCCCATGACCCTGAGATCACAACCTGAACCGAAGTCAAGAGTTAAGACGCTCGACCAAGGGAGCCACCCAGGTGCCCCACAAAAACTTTCATTTTGATGAAGTCCTGTTGACTGTTCTTTGTGTTGTTGCTGTGCTTTTGGTGTCGTATCTAAGAAGCCACTGCCTAGTCCAAGGTCATAAAGATTTTCTCTTGTATTTTTTCTGAGAATTCTGTGATTTTAGACCTTCCATACATTTTTCACTAATTTTGTGTTTGGTGGAAGACAAGGGTACAGCTTCATTTGTGTATGGGTGTCCAGTTTCCCAGGACCATTTCTCAGAAAAAACGCTCTTTACCTAATGAGTCGTCTTGGCACCATGTCAGAGAATCAGTTAGCCGTAAACGTGGGGGTTTCTTCCAGGGCTCTGCTTGTCTTCCACTGATCCCCATGTCTGTGCTTGTGCCGGGGCCACGCCGTCTGGAGGACTAGAGCTTCTGTGGTGAATTTTGAAACCAGGAAGTGAGAGTCCTCCGGCTTTGTTCTCCTTTTTCCTTTTTTTTTTTTTTTTTTTAAGATTTTATTTATTTATTTTGAGAGAGTGCATGAGCACGAGCAGGGGGAGCAGCAGAGGGGGAGAAGCAGACTCCCGGCCAAGCAGGGAGCCCAACGCAGGACTTGATCCCAGGACCCTGGGATCATGACCTAAGCCGAAAGCAGACGCTTAACGACTGAGCCACCCAGGCACCCCTGTTCTCCTTTTTCAAGATCATTTTGACTGCTCAAGATCCCTTGCATTTCCGTGTGGTTTTAGGACCAGCGTGTCCATTTCTTCAAGGACGCCAGCTGGGGCTTCATGCTTCGTCTTCTGACCCGTGAACACAGTGTCTTTCCATTTACTCACATCTCCTGTTCCTCTCAACAGTGTTTTGTGGTTTTCAGCGCACACGTCTTACATTTTTTCTGTTGAATGTATTTGAGGAATAAATTTTATTTTATTTTTGATGCTGTTGTGCGTAGTTTTCTTAATTTCATTTCTGGCTGTTCCTTGCAGGTGTGTAGGGAAGCCTTTGATTTTTGCATACCAATCTCATATCCTTCAATCTTATTGAATGCTTTATTCTAATAATTTTTTAGTGTATTTTTGGGGATTTTGTGTATATGAGGTCATGTTATTTGCAAATAGTGAGTTTTATTTTTTCCTTTTCATTCTGGATGCCTTTTATATCTTCTTGCCCACCTGCCCTGGTAGGACCTCCAGGACCGTGTGGAGTGGGCGGGGCCAGAGCAGGTGCCCCTTGTGTTCCTGATCTTAGGGGAGAAGCTTCAGTCTCTCACCATCGAGTGGGATGCTCGCTGTGGGGTTTTCCTAGATGCCCTGATCAGGTTGAGGAGGTTCCTTTTTGTTCTTTGTGACATATTTTTGTCATGAAGGAGTGTTGAATTTTTATTAGATCCTTTTTCTGAATCTGTTGAGGTGATCATGAGGATTTTGTCCTTTATTCTGTTGAAATGGTATTGAGCTGTTTTTACTCACAACACTGGAGATGCCAAATGTGTGGGTTTTCCTCAGCAAGCAATTTTCCAGTTCTGTGCAGACACCGAGTGTCCTACAATTTAACTCAATTCTGACACTGTCTGCCCGGCATGAATGCAGACCTCCCCCCCGCAGGCTGAAGTCCCCATCCCATGAATTCGCCACCATGTCCAGGGTGTCATCAGCTGTAAGTCAGGGTTCTCACGACCCCCTTCTTGAGTGCCATAATTTGCTAGATCGGCTCACAGAACTTAGGGAAACACCTTACTTCAGTTACTGGTTCATCATCAAGGCTATGACTCGGGAACAGCAGATGGAAGAGACCCACGGGGTGGATGGGGGGGTGTGAGGGTGGGGAAGGAGCTCGGAGCTTCCAGGCCCTGCCTCCTGCCCGGGAGCGCCACCCTCCCTCTCCTGGCACCTCCATGTGCCCAGAGGCTCCAGAACCCCTTCATTTTGGAGGGGTTATACAGGCGTGGTTGATGAGATCATTGGTCAAGGGTGTTGGGCTCAGTCTCCAGCCCCGACCCCTCTGCAGAGGTCACAGGTCAGGGTGTGGAGCTGAGAGTTCTACCCTCTAGTCAGCCTTGATCTCTCTGGCTAGCAGCCCCCACCTGTGTCCGAGCACACAGAAAACACCCTCCAGAGAGGCTGCAGGATTTCGGAGTCTGGTGCCAGCACCTGGGACGTGCATTAGTAACATATTTCTCACGGTTCCACAAACATGATGTCCCTCGATTTTTGGATGTGTTGCTGGGACAAACCGAGGGACCCAATCTGCTGGCACCTTGTCTGGAACGTGTGTCTGCGTTCTTGAAGGGCGTGGGCCTGCACTTCCAGACTCCTGGAAGGTTTCGTGGGCCAGACGGACATCTGCCCCCTTCCCTTCTCATTCGTGCTTTGTTCCCACATGTGCGGGTTGTCAAGTGTGGCTCTGCCTCTTCCTTCTGCAGGAGATGGACCCCCCTCACCCTTTCCCCAAGGAGATCCCGCACAATGAGAAGCTCCTGTCCCTCAAGTACGAGGTGGGCCTTCTCCCTCTGCGCCCCCATCCCACGCAGCCCCTGGGCCCCTTGTCCCCCTGCCCACCTCCACCTGCTGTGAACCCGGAGCATCAGGGTCAGCCCTGCGTTGTGTGTGCCATCTTGCAGAGCTTGGACTACGACAACAGTGAGAACCAGCTGTTCCTGGAGGAGGAGAGGCGCATCAACCACATGGTGAGTCTGGGCTGCAGTGTTCTCGCAACACGCCCTGCTCTCAGCCGCCTGGTGCTGCTCCCCGGGCTGGGCACAGCCATCTCCCACTCCCTCCGTGGTCCTCGAGCCTCTGATTCTGGAGTCACCATTCATTCTACTGGTTTGTGTCTTGGAGCCAGAGACACCAATACAGGACACGGGGTGGGAGTGGGTGTGTCAGGTGCGTGTGATGGAGAAGGACATGCAGAGTCGGGTGCCTAGGCTGTCAGTTACCAATTGTGAGCTGGTTGGGAAGGCCCACCGCCTCTGAGATGTTGACCAGAGGCTGCCTCCCCAGGATGCGGGGTCCCACATGTGGCATGCTGTTGCTGGTGGTGGCCTGCAGAACCCCAGGGGCTGGTCGCACCATCTCCAGAGTGGCCTGTGAGCGGAGACCACCCCCACTGCACCTGCTTCTGATGGTTGCCCTCCCCATAGGCCTTCCGGACGGTGGAGATGAAGCGCTGGGTCATCTGTGCCATGATTGGGATCCTCACGGGCCTTGTGGCCTGCTTCATTGACATCGTGGTGGAGAACGTGGCTGGCCTGAAGTACAAGGTCGTCAAGGACAGTATCCTTTGTCCATAGTCCCCAGCACAGAAGGGGGCACTGGCTCCGCCGCAGAACACCCCGGTCCCAGGAGGGGCCAGCGGTGAGGCCTCCGAGCCGGGCGTGTTTGCCAACCACATGGGGGAGGCGTGGCTGCGTGGTGGCATCTCGTGCCCGGGATGGCGCTCTGGGCTCAGGAGGCTGGGCTGCAGGAGTGCGGCAGGCAGGCCAGGGGTGAAGCTGCCACTCGTCCTTGATGAGTGCCAGATATCGACAAGTTCACGGAGAGAGGCGGGCTCTCCTTCTCCCTCTTGCTGTGGGCCACACTGAACTCTGCGTTCGTGCTCGTGGGCTCTGCGATCGTCGCCTTTGTGGAGGTACGGCCACCAGGAGGTCACAGCAGGGGTTCCTGTGGGTGGGAACCCTGACTCCTGCTGGCGAGGTTTGCATGGCTACACCAGCGGGGCCTCTGGTGCAGGTGTTAGATATGCAAAGCAGAAGGCGCCTGGGTCCCGCGGCGCTCCTCCTGCCCTGCGCAGCGAGGACTGGGGGGTGTGCCCAGGCCGTGCGGGGCCTCAGCAGCAGGGCTGGTCCAGGTGGAAGGGAGCACCCCTTCTTTCCGGGACTTCTCCCAGAAGCCTCCCTTCCTGTGGCCTGCCTCTTGGCTTCTCCCTTGTCATGGCTGTAGCATCTGGAAGCTTCTATCTGCAGTGCAGTGTGGTGCCCCCCACTCCCCCTTGGGGACACTGGGCCTCCTCTGCCCTATTCCTGACCCCTCCCATGGCCTGTTCCCCACTACCCCCCATCATCACTGCCTCTGGAATGGGGAGAAGCGGGAACCCCTCCATGGGCAGCTGTCCCCTGCTCGGACACTGTGTGGCCGTGTCCGCCTGGGCCAGTGCGGCCATAGCACGGCCTCTCTCTCCTTCCAGCCGGTCGCCGCTGGCAGTGGGATTCCCCAGATCAAGTGCTTTCTCAACGGGGTGAAGATCCCCCATGTGGTCCGGCTCAAGGTGAGGCCCGGAGCGGGCGCTGGGCTGGGCGCTACCGGTTTGCCTCCCAGCACCTCTGGGACTTGGACTCACTCACTCACTGTGCTGCCCACGAGCGTGCGTGTGCATTTCACGTAAACTTTGGAAGGGGGTAAAATTTTCTCTTACGTGTTTTAAATTGTGCACACGTGCTTTAATGGGGCGTCTGCTGTGTGGAACGCATTAAGTTCTGCACGGTGGTTACTATCTCAGGAAGAGAAAGGCTCTGTTAGAGTGGTAGGTACACTTACCGTGAGGTTTTTCCTGTTTTTATAGTTTTCCTTGATATTCATTACACTTAACATTTTCGGTAATGCCCCGTTTCTGAGGAGATTGGGGTGTCGGGAGCGTGGTTCCTCGGGGGTCATTTCCAGGTGTCGGGTTGGCCCGTTTGGGGCGGGATGCTCTGGGGTCTGCAGCTGTGCACTGGGGGTGCAGGACCGGTGGTGGCAGCCTGAGGGAGCAGGGCGGCCTCGGGGAGGGCCAGTGCCTGCTACACACAGCAGGGTCCACCCTGGTGGGCACAGGGTTAACAGATACACCTGGTATGTGTCCAGAGGAGCAGGACTTGCGGCTTTCGGCTCTCTGGGACACACAACTTCTCGGGATAGAAAATTGGAAGGTTTGCAAAGGCAGGAAAGAATTGGCCTGAAGCCCAGCACCGAGGATGCCCATTGTGTGCTGGCCCTCCTGCGCGCCTTCCTTGTCTCATGGGTTTGGAGCTGGGAGCATAGTCTGGATCACTTCACGGACAGTTTTGCTACACGTTCTCGGACTGTGTGTGGCCTTTAATCAGAGACTTGACGTACCTTCCTTTGTGTTCTAGACCCTCGTGATCAAAGTGTCTGGTGTGATCCTGTCCGTGGTGGGCGGACTGGCGGTGGGAAAGGTAACGGAGCCCTGCTCACTGCCTGTGACCCAAGGCCAGTTTGTTCTCTCAGAGCCATGCGTATCTGAGAGCGGCTGTCCTGTGCTTCCAGGAGGGGCCGATGATTCACTCGGGCTCTGTGATCGCTGCTGGGATTTCCCAGGGGAGGTCAACGTCGCTGAAGCGCGATTTCAAGGTGAGTGCTCTTCTCCTGACGTGGACAACCCCAGCATCCCTGGGAGGCTCTGCTGGGACCATGGCCTCGCCCAAAGGCGCGTAGAGCCTCAGAGGAGGTCAGGAGTGGCTCACATGCAGATTGAAGCTGCTTTGTTTTCAGTTTGTCACGTTTCCCTCAAAAGCCAGCATTCTGATGGGTGTTGCACTGACTTTACATGGGAGTTCAGAGACATTTGCGGTTTTTACAGGACAGTCTTGTGTTTTTACATCAAGGTCATGTTTTCAGTGGCTTGTTTATTTGGCCTTCTTCCCATCTCCCGCGGGGTTTTGAGGCGTGTGATGGGTCTCTGGCGCGGTCTGAAGGTTCATCATCGTCTTGAGCCTCCTTTCTTGGCTCTTGGTCTGTGGGGGCGCTGTGTGCTGCTGTGTCTGTTCTGTGGTCTTCGTGAATCCACGTCAGTGGACCGTCAAGAGACCCATCCTGTCCCCTGTCCCTCTCCCTCGGGCCCTGTCTCCATGGCGCTCACCAGCCTTGCCACCCTCTGAAGGGAGCGCCCTTGGGGAAGCTGGCTGAAGCATCTTCCCACGTGTCCCCATTGCAGATCTTTGAGTACTTCCGCAGGGACACGGAGAAGCGGGACTTTGTGTCGGCGGGAGCTGCGGCCGGCGTGTCTGCCGCATTCGGAGCCCCCGTGGGTGAGGAGGACGGCTGCATGGGGGAGGCCTCGGTCCCTCCTGTGTGGAGGAGGGTCTTGGTGTTTGCTGACTCTGAGTACGGGGTGAGGGTGCAGGCACGTGCCCCCGACAGGCCCGGGGTCTGCCTCTGCCAGTCTTGGTGCCCCAGGGTTGTGGGGTGTGAGGCTGCATGGGGCGCAGGCTCCCCTGTGTGTACTGGGGAGCACATCCGGGCTGGGCTGCTTCCATTCCAGGTGGGGTCCTGTTCAGCTTGGAGGAGGGTGCCTCCTTCTGGAACCAGTTCCTGACATGGAGAATAGTAAGTGCCTACAGAGGGCCGCTTCCTTGTGGAGGTCAGGCCATGCCGTCCTTTGGCCTCCATTGCCCAGGCGGGAACCTGGCTCTTGGCCCGCACTGTGGTGCTTTCCCCTGGGCTCTCAACCCCGCGGGGCTGCTATGGCTGGCTCTGCCCGTCACTCGACCTGAGCTGCTCACTGTCCTCCCGCCACATGTGCCTCCCCCGTCGGCCGTGGGCCTTGTTTGTACCCTATTGTCTTCCTCATCGGGACCCCCAGACCGCGCCGCTCACCTCGTCCCTCGGCTCCATCACTGGATTGGCCCCGACACTTATCCAGACAAGGCTGCAAAGTGCTCACCAAGTCATGAGGGGCCAGGCACCTCCTGAGTGATGGGAGGGGAGGGTCCCCCTTCAAACCCCCGCCCCCCCCACAACCCCCTCCTGGCCCCCCGGGATCCAAGCCCCGGGGCTTCAGCTGGGCGGGCTTAGTTCTGATGGCACTTGTGTTCCTCTCTGCCCACAGTTCTTTGCTTCCATGATTTCCACTTTCACCCTGAATTTTGTCCTGAGCATTTACCATGGAAACATATGGGACCTCTCCAGCCCAGGGCTTATCAATTTTGGAAGATTTGACACAGAGGTAATATGCTTTGCTTTCTTGTTCCTTCTGCTTTTTTCTCCGGCTGGAGCCATGGCCACGTATTTAAGGTTCATCCCAAGGATGTGGACTCTTGGGAAATGGTTGCTCTTAGCTGCAGGATTGAGCTCTAGGGGCCGGGAGTTGACTTAGGGAAGCTCACAGCTGACCTACTTGTGCAGGTTAGGACATCTGACACCCTCTGGGTGCTCTCGGGGCGTTTGGGCTGGGCAGTCTGTGGACTGTCGGATGGGGTGCTAAGACCACCCGGGGCACGTGGGTGCCGTGCACTGGGACCCTGCTCCCGGGGGTGCTGCGCACATGGACACAGCAGAGCCCTTGGGTCACTCAGGGTCATGAGATGTGTTCCTGGGGCTCCTCCTCACTTGTGCCCCCCTGATTCCCATTTGGCAAAAGCTCGGGCCGTCCCCCACCTTCAGGTGGACAAAGACCTGGGCCGGGAGCAGGCGAAAGCCCTAGAGGGAGTGTGGTCTGCTGTGAACACCCGTGCTTCTCCCCTCAGACGCCCACGATTGTGCATGCAAGTGCTGGAGGCCCTGTCCGTGCTCGCATCAGAGCGGAGAGGGAGGCCCTGTCTGTGCTCGCATCAGAGCAGAGAGGGCTGGCGATGCTCTTCTCACAGGATGCTCGTTCTCTTCTCTGCAGACGATGGTGTACACGATCCACGAGATTCCTATCTTCATTGCCATGGGCGTGGTGGGTAAGGGCCATCCTGTGAAGGAATGCTTCCTGTCTCTCAACCCCCTCCCCAGGTGGTGGCAGGCGACTTCCAGTGGGGTCAGATTGTGTGGCGGGGTCAGGGCCTGGCAGATCCCAGGCCTGGCCCAGCTTTGAAGTAGCCGGAGGGGGCTGTGGCCCCCACAGCCCATGAGCTGTCCTCCCACGCCCTGCCCCGTTCACGCACCCCCGGGAGGGAGCCCACAGGTGGAAGACCGAGCTTTACCTCTGCTGGAGAAGCCCCTCAGTGGGGCACTCCTCTAAGAAATAGAATGAGTTCTGAACAGTGCTTTCTATTTGGAGAAACCTTTTTCCTTGGAAGGAAGGCAAAGCCTTTGAGAAATCCACCTGTCCGCCTGCCAGGCTGTGCTGACGAAGAGCACACAGAGACACAGAGCCTGTTCTCCTGTCCTTTTTCTCGTGTCCCTTACATGCTGCCCCTCCTGGCCGTAGGTGGTATTCTTGGGGCCGTGTTCAATGCCTTGAATTACTGGCTGACGATGTTTCGAATCAGGTGAGAAGCCTCCGTTTTGTGGACCCAGGACCTTTGAAAATGGGTGTGTTGAGGGTCTGTGCCCGTGGAGTTGCATGGAAGGCCATGTACCCACAGGCCTCTCGGTGGTGGTTCGTATGGGGGGTGGAGACAGACCAGCATTGGCTGGGGGGCCACGTGAGGCTGGGCGTGGCTGGAGGCCTGGGAGGTCCTGAGCCAGGGGACAGTCGGAACTGCAGAGGCTCTGTTCCTGTGAGGAGAGCAGTTCTGGGAGCTTTCGGGTTTCTGAAACCTTTGGGGGGCCCTGGGCTTGAGGAAGCGCTTCCTTCTTGTTCTTTTGCCCGGACTTAAAATGCCATCGGCGAGTGCCCTGGAGGTGACCTGGTGATTGCATGTGCTGTGTCACCCCCAGTCGTGTCCTGCAATGAGCTCTCAGGCACAGACTCCGGTGCCATGGCAGCTGCTGGGGAGTCCAGCCGTCCTGAGGCCCGGTCCATCCTGCTGTTTGCTCTAGGTACATTCACCGGCCCTGCCTCCAGGTGATCGAGGCCATGCTGGTGGCTGCGGTCACGGCCACGGTCGCTTTCGTGCTCATTTACTCATCCCGAGATTGTCAGCCCCTGCAGGGGAGCTCCGTGTCCTATCCCCTCCAGGTAGGAGACTCAGGCCTGGTGGGCGGGTCCACCAGGCAGGACGGGGCCGGAGGGTGGCCAACAGCTGAACTCCGGGCTCAAGTGGGCTTCACGGGCCTGCCGGGCATCGGGAGAGAGGACGTTATGCTGGGCGGGTCTCCCCAGTCCTCCTCCCAGAGCAGCACCCCGCCCGGGGCCACATGGGGACTTGAGTAGTGGGGGCTCATGGGTGTGGACTCGAGAAGCCCTGAAACCCGCACCGACATGCTCACTGCAGCGTGGCCACGGCGCACGGGGATCAACCCAAGTGTCTGCCAGCTGGCAAACCGGTCAGCAAAATGGGGTTTGTCCATAAGTGGGTTTATTTGGCCGTGGAAATAGCTGAAACCCCGACATGCTGCCACGTGGACGAACCTCAAAAACACCGTGGACAGAAGCCAGACACACAGGCCCCTGTGTCGTGTTAACGCTGTGTATGTGAAACATCCGTCAAAGCCATGGAGGCAGAGCAGATGTCTGGTGGCTGGGGGTGGGTTGGGGGGGAAGGGGACCCTAGGTGTCATGGAACCGTGCTCTGCTCAGCCTGGGAGGGCTGAGCCCGCCGGCGCCAGGGCCCAGGTGCCGACTGCTGAGCCCTGGAGTCCCTGCGTGCCTCTGTGACAGACTCACCGGCCAGTGTCCTGTGGACAAGCCCCTGTATGCAGGACCTGCCTCTGAAGCCCTCGCCGTCCCCGGGCCTGGCTCTTTGCATCCTGCCTCCGCCTGAGGCCATGACCCGACCCAGCCGTTAGTGGTTGCCCCTGGCGCCGTGCAGGCCGGGACCATCTGCCCCACCAGCCCATTCTCTCTTCCAACCTTGCAGCTCTTCTGTGCAGATGGCGAGTACAACTCCATGGCCGCCGCCTTCTTCAACACCCCGGAGAAGAGCGTGGTCAGCCTCTTCCACGACCCCCCAGGTGCGTGCCTGAGCTCCGTGCCGTCAGCCACACGTCCCCACGCCAGCCTTGACCCCTCCAGGCTACTCTGAGACTGACCCTGGGCCTCGGTGTCCCTTTCCGGCCAGCTGGGCCCCGAGGGCGGAGGTCACCACCCTTGCTGCGGTTGGGACCCAGGGGTGGGCCAGGCCCTTCCCCTCCTGGAGGGCGGCTGCTGGGGCTGCCTCCATCGGTGACGACATTCCTGTCCGCCCGGTGTTTTCCTCCTGGGAACTGCTTGCACAGGGCACCCTCCAGCCTCCACATACACTGGCCACGCACGTCCACCCCCACTGTGGGGCCCAGACTCACGACCCCGAGGTCAAGAGTCACGCTTCTCCAACTGAGCCAGCCAGGTGCCCCCAGCTGTGTGCATTTTTAATTAAAAAAGAACCAGTTGTGAGTGCAGACCACTGCTTTTAGCACACGCCTTCCACGGCACTCATCTGGGTAGCAGCCTCGCCTTTACCCACAGCACATGGGCCCCCGAGAGCGCCTGCTGTGTGCACCTGTAGACACCAACGTGTTGTCATTCTGTGACATCACCTTTTCCGTTTGGGGGTCCTTTAGGGCACCTCTAATTGCTCCTTGTCACGAACAAGGTCACTGAGAACTTTCTAGTCTTTATGCCTCTCTGCATGTGCAACGGTCCCCACAATTTATCAGGAAGGCTGAGCCCTTGGGACAGAGCGCCGAGCGGGGCCCTTGGGCAGGCAGCAGCCTCCTGGACTGGTTGGTCCCAGGCTTTGATGGGTTTCTTCTGGCATCTGGAAGTGTCTCCTATAGATTGATGGCTGATGGCCTCCCTCCCCTGACATCCAGGGGTCTGCACATCCTTCCCTTGGCCTCAGGTCAGTGTCCTGCTGGCCACACCGGGTCCCACCTGCCAGGCGGCCATCCTCCTGCCTTGAGGACTAGGCCTCTGAGATCCGCACTGTGGCCACCGAGGATGGGGCTAGTTCTGGGCAGCTGGGCAGGGTGGCTGTGTTCCAGGTGAATCCACATGGCAGGCCCTGGCCAGCCCCCTCTCCCCTAGGCTCCTACAATCCCATGACGCTTGGCCTCTTCACTCTGGTCTACTTCTTCCTGGCCTGCTGGACCTACGGGCTGACGGTGTCTGCCGGTGTCTTCATCCCGTCCCTGCTCATCGGGGCCGCCTGGGGCCGGCTCTTCGGCATTTCCCTGTCCTACCTTACAGGGGCCGCAGTGAGTGTTGGCTTCTCTGTGCACCAAGCCTGGGACCCAGGGCTCCCAGTGCAGGGGGACAGGTGCATCTGAGCCCCTGGTCGTTTGCGTGGCCTCGAGTTTTCTGGCTGCTGATGTTTGATGTGAGCACTCGATCAGCATGGCCGTCCGCAGACATGACAGACAGAGACGCACATCAGGAGAGATGCTCGGTGTTACTAGAGTGCGTGATTGAGGCACGTGTGTGCCTGGTCTCCAGGGGCTAGGCTTTCTTTTTTTGTATTTTCCTTTCTTATTTGAGTCTTTGAAATAAGATTTCTAAAACCGTGAGTGGACCAGGGAGGATCTCCCACCCCACCCCCACCCCCCACCCCTGCCTGCTCCCTTTTCCAGGTTTTGGCTATGCTTGCGTCACGTTTCCTTCCAGGTGTGGTTCTGGATTTTTCTTTTTTACTTGAGAGGTGATTCACGCACTGTCAGGCATCCCACCGTGGAAGCGTGCAGCTCGGGAGTTATTCGTGTGCGATAGTCATCTGGGTCACGCATCTAGTGTCATACATGGTGTACTCCTCTCCCCAAGAAATCTGCCCACTGCGGTCACTGCCATACCCCCAGCCCCCGCAGCCACTTGCCCGCCCTCTGTCTCTGTGGATCTGCCTGCTGCAGGCATTTCCCAGTGGAGTCGCTCAGGCGTGGCCTCAGTGTGGTCTCGCCCGTGCTTGTCTGTGATGGGCTCTCTCTGCACACATGGGGGGTGCCGCCGTCCTTCCCTGCATGCACCTGTCCCCGTTCCCTCCTCGGCACTGGGAATGCGTGCTCCTGCCGTAGCTGCCGAGTTGTCGCGTGTGTGGATGGCACAGATCCTTTGGGGCCTCCCAAGCAGGGTACACCCAGGGTGTTTCCGGACTTCGTTGTTGTAGATGCTGCCGTAGACCAGGTTGCACATGCGTGTGGGGTGTAGGGCTTCTCCTAGGGCTGGCATTGCTGGGCCTGGGGGCCTCCAGGGGGTCACATATCTCGGTGGGCTTGAGTAGGGGGCTGCCTCCCCTCTGACACCGCCTCTGTCATCCCTGCAGATCTGGGCAGACCCTGGCAAATATGCCCTCATGGGAGCAGCTGCCCAGCTGGGTGAGTCCTGGCTGCCGTGTGGGTGTCCCAAGGTAATGAGGAGGTGCCTTCCCCTTGGGGAAGGGAAGGCAGCGAGTCCATTCCATGGTGGCGTGCAGGGTCGCTATCTCCACTCTGCAGCCTGCAGGGCTAGACCACCAGGACGAATGGGTGGGGTGCCGGCACGAACAGTGGGTGATGAGGGTGGTGGCGCAAAGTGGCCTGCAGGGGCTGGAGCCTACCCCCAACCCCCCCGGGCAGGTGGGATCGTGAGGATGACCCTCAGCCTGACAGTCATCATGATGGAGGCCACCAGCAACGTGACGTACGGCTTCCCCATCATGCTGGTCCTCATGACCGCCAAGATCGTGGGGGACATCTTCATTGAGGTGTGGCTTATGGGAAGAGGCCTGCCTGCCTTCCTTGCCCCCTGCTCTGTGTATCCCCCCACCACGCCCCTGGCCGGGAGCCTGAGACTGGGGGCTGGGAGGTCTGCAGCAGAGGCGGCGGGAGGGGCCCTCCACCTCTCAACATCCCCTGCTGCTCCTCCTCAGGGCCTGTATGACATGCACATTCAGCTGCAGAGCGTGCCCTTCCTGCACTGGGAGGCCCCCGTCACCTCTCACTCGCTCACTGCCAGGTATGGCCGGTGGGGGGCCACGGAACAGTGGACAGTCCCGGGAGGTTTGGGAGGGCGCACTGGTATCTGGGTGTCCGGGCAGCTGGCCGCCTGGCTCCTTGTTCCTGGTTTTCCTGCATCTGGCAGCTTCCTGCCTGTTCAAGCTTCAACTTTGCTGTGAAGAGAGGGCGTCTGTCACGTGGTCGGTTATGGTGAGGCCACAGCAGATGCTCTTCCCCAGGGAGGTGATGAGCACGCCGGTCACCTGCCTACGGAGGAGGGAGAAGGTGGGCGTCATCGTAGACATACTCAGCAACACGGCATCCAATCACAATGGGTTCCCCGTGGTGGAGTTTGCTGGTGATACCCAGGTACCCAGGGCCACGGGCACAGGGGGGTGGCCGTCCCACACGTGCACATGGCCTCGGGCGTGGTGTGTGGGGTGGACACCCTGTGCGGACACGTCGAGCTCACCTCCACCACCTGCAAAGGAACTGGGTCACACGGCCGGGAGGCGGCGGCCTAGGGGGTTGCCGACCACTCAGGCTCAGCTCAGGCTCCTACCCCGGGCCGCGCCACCAGCCCGGGAGTCAGGGCCGTGACGCGTGCCGGGAGCTGTCTGGATGGATGTGGCGCGGGTGGCAGTGCACATCTCACCACGGCCTCTTGCTGCCTCGTCCGCACTCCATGGTCGCATCCCGCTGCCGCTCCTGGACTCTGGGCAGTGATGAGCGCGTGGACTGCCTGCCAGTGCCCAGAGCTGGCGGCCACATGTCGAGGGGGAGCCTGGCGGGGTGTCCCCGCAGCAGACATCAGAGGTCGCAGCGGGGCCCCCCCCCCCCCCCGTGGCGGGAGGGTTCTAGGTCTTGGGCTCCTCACAGACGACGGTCTCTTCCCCCAGCCAGCCCGGCTTCAGGGCTTGATCCTGCGCTCCCAGCTGATTGTCCTCCTGAAGCACAAGGTAGCGGCTGGGCGCCTGTGGGGGGTGGGAAACGCGGGCGCGGGCTCTGACGCACTCCACCCCCAGGTGTTCGTGGAGCGCTCCAGCATGGGCCTGGTGCGACGGCGGCTGAGGCTGAAGGACTTCCGGGACGCCTACCCACGCTTCCCACCCATCCAGTCCATCCACGTGTCGCAGGACGAGCGCGAGTGCACCATGGACCTGTCGGAGTTCATGAACCCCTCTCCCTACACGGTGCCCCAGGTGCCTGCCGCGGGCTGCTGCCGGGGATGGGACGGCTCAGACGCGTCATGACAGGGGTGTGCGGTCCCGGGCTCGGTCGTCCTGCCTCTGTTCATCCTTCCAGGGGTGGGCCTGGCCAGCAGCTCAGCGGAGGCCCTGTCCCCTTTGCAGGATGCGTCCCTCCCACGGGTGTTCAAACTCTTCCGGGCCCTGGGCCTCCGGCATCTGGTGGTGGTAGACAACTGCAACCAGGTGAGTGGCCGGGGTCTCCTGCCTGCCCTGCTCACGGCGGGCACAGGGACTTGCTCTCAGCCCCTGTGGGGGGGCTCAGGGCTTGGGACCAGACTGGCCAGGTGCCCAGTTCCGGGGCTCCCCCAGGGCGCGGCGCCCAGTTTCCACAGCAGCAGGAGGCTGCCCCCCTTGACCCGGCTTTGCTCCCGCAGGTGGTTGGACTGGTGACCAGGAAGGACCTGGCCAGGTACCGGCTCGGGAAGGGGGGCCTGGAGGAGCTCTCCCTGGCCCAGACGTGAGGCCCTGGCCCCTCCCTGGGGCCCCCACCTCGCTCCCTAGGGCAGCAGTGGATACAGCATTCCCCAGTCCTTGGGACGTGTGTGTGTCTGTGTGTTTGTGCGCGTGTGAGACAGTGAGCAAGCCGGCCCCCAGGGCGGGGCCCCTTGCTGCTTCTGTGCTGTCTGCTTCCCTGCGGGCCGGCCCAGGAGGACCACACCGTCTGTGCTTCACCAGCTGGGGCCTGGGGGACATGCAGCTGCTGCAGAGGCCTATAGCCTTGTCCCTTCGACTCTGTCTGCGGCCTTGAGGTGATGGGCCTGGACCTCGAGGCAAGGGCCCTGGGGAGCAGACATGGCAGCGGGCTTTAGCGGAAAGCCAGCTGTTTTCCCAGACTTACCACGTGGCCCTCTGGGGTCTTGGCCAGGGAGGGAGCTGAGAACCATCTGCGGGCCTGAACACCTCCGTCCCCCCGACGTCCAGACGATGGCTGTGGCCGGTGTGCACCGAGAGACTGGCATTCCTAAGCAGAGGGGCTCCCGCTGGCCTCCGAGGACCCCTGGCCCAGGGCCACCTTCTGAGGCAGCTCTGGTCCCCGTTCTGGGGCAGGTGGCCTCTGGGATGGGCCGGTGAGCCTGGAGCAAGGATACTGTGCCGCTCCCTGGCTGGTGTCCTGTGGCCCCAGGGCCCCAGGGCCCCAGGGGACCTTTCCTGGAGGTGATTTCCCCGGCCTGCTTCGGAGAGCAGGCTACACAGCCGCCATTGTGGCAGCCTGGCGGTGTGGGGGGGAGCTCAGCTGGGTTTGGGCCCCTTTCCAGGGAGCAGGGCCTCGAAAAGCCAGTCCCTTCCTGGCGGGAGCCCTGTGGGTGACGCAGGGGGATGAGTTTGGGGGGGGCTCTAGAAGGGAGAAATAAAGGAATCGTACCCTGATGGCCAGCACCGGCTCCCTGGTTCCTGCCCAGCATAGGCCATGGTCCAGCAGTCGGGGGTTTGCGGGGCCACTGAGCGGGGTCATCGGGACGGGGCCGCCTTGACCACCCCCCCACCGGGAGGAGATGGAGGCAAGAGGCCCAGAACCCTTGTGAGGAGGCAGTGGTGGCCCACGGACATCTGTGGGATATGCCGGCGCTGGCCCCGGACGCCTGGGGGCCCTCGGTCTGGACGCCACTCTGGGCCGCGAGGGGTGTGGAAAGGCCCCCAGACTGGGGTTGACTTTAGAGCTGTCGCCTTGTCCTGGGGAAGCTCTGGTCAGCCCTCGGGCAGGTCTGGGTGATGGGGCGCAGGGAGCACAGGTCCACGCTGGCCTGACACAAACCGGGGAGCATCGGGCCGGACTTCGAAGATCTGGAGTGGGAAAGCGGGAATGTCACGGTTCATGTGATGACACCTTGAACCAGCCGCTCGGCCCCCACATTGGGTTAAATAAAACACTGGAAACTCGCGCCTCTTTGCTTTCTTACCGTGGCCGCGAGGAGCCTGGAGGCACCACACAGCCCACGCCTGCAGCCTGCACCCTGTCCCAGCTCCCGGGGGCGCCCTGGCTGCGTGCCATCCCACCAGTTGGCCCAGCTCTCCTGACCCTCCCGTGCAGGCCAGCCGCCACCACCCACACCGGCCGGCTCAACAGCGCCCCCTCAGATCTTTCCAGAAATGGGCAGTTGGGGGGCCTTGCGGGGCTGGCAGAGTCGAGGACCCAGGTTCCACTGGCAGTTGGGCCACGAAGTCACCAGGTTCTGGTGAGAGAAAGATGGTTCCAGGAGAGCCCCAGCCGCGTGCCTGCCCTGCTGTTGTCTTGGAAGGAGAGATGTGAGGGCAGGCGCTCCCTCTTCACACCCCACGTGCTCCCCAAGGCCCCAGAGCCTTCCAGCCCCACCTTCCCTGCCTCCCTCCAGCCACCCGGGTGTCCAGCTCTGGGCAGCCCTGGGTGTGAGGCCCAGGGCCTCTGGGCAGTGGCTGAAGCCATACCAGGTGAGCCTGGTGCCAATAGGGGCTGAGCCAAAAGGACAGTCCAGGGAAGGGCCTGCGCGGGGGGTGTGGTGTGGGCCACCCGGGGCAGCTCTGCTTCCTGACCTCTCAAGAGGCCTTACTGCCCCAGGGCTGCCTCTGGAGCTGGGCAGGCAGGGCACAGTCCTGTTTCTGCTTCCTGGTGCTGTATGTCCTCAGGCAGGAGCCTGGGCCTCTCTGAGCATGAGCTGCCTGTTGTGGGGCAGCAAGTGCTGAGCCCTCCTGGGGTCAGGCCGTGTGACTCAGGGTAACAGGGACCCAAATCACTGCAGCAATTGGCTAAGCGCATCCACCGAGCTCACCTTAGCCCGTCCTGCTGAGCCCCACCTGGAGCCAGCACCCTTCATCAGCCCAGAAGCCACCTTCTTGCAGAGCTGGCTGCTAGCAACCCCTCGTCGGGGGCTTCACCCCCGACCCAGACGAGCACCATCACCCTGGGGGACCTGGGGCTCCCACTCGAGGAAGGACTGGCCAGTCCCGAGCTCTTGAGTCTGGAGGAGATCTCCGAGAGGTATGAGTCCAGCCACCTGGCGTCCACCACCTCCATCCCGGAGCGGGACTCCCCCAAGCACTGGACGCAGCTGGAGCAGTGGTGAGCCTGGGCAGAGCTGGGGCGGGAGAGCCATGCCACCCACCCCCGGCACGCATGGCCCAACTCAGCCTGCTCCTCACCCTGGCCAGGGTGGCCGACCTGCAGGCCGAGGTGGTGTCTCTGCGGGGGCACAAGGACTGCTGCGAGCGAACCATGCTGAGCCTGCTTCGGGAGATGCTCCAGCTGCGCACCTGCATGCAGCTGCAAGACGCAGAGCTAAAGAGGCTGCAGCAGGACCTGCGGCAGGCGGCTCGGGCCCCAGAGAAGGAGGCCCTTGAGGTGAGCCGCCACCATCCCTCCCCAGAGGCGAGGCTCCCCCGCTCCCGGGACCCTGTGCTCAGCTCGGGCCCCTGTCTGTGCCAGCCGGGCTACGAGGCTCAGCCTCCCCTTCCTCCTTGCAGTTCCCCAGCCCCCAGAGCCAGAACCAGATGCAGGCCCTGGACAAGAGGTACCCTCCCCACCCCACCAGTGGTGCAGGCCTTAGTGGCAGGGTCAGGGCCTGTGGGAAAGCAGCAGCTGGGGCGGGACCCCAGGGCATCAGCCTGCACCCTGCTCCTTGTCTTGCTTAGGTAAGCAGCAAACCTCCACAGCCCAACTCAAAAGGCCTGGGTTTGTATGAACATGGCAGGAGGCCTGCTGATAGGGCCCCTGGGCCAGGACCTTGACCCCTAAAGGCAGGCAGGAGGGCCAGCCGGGCAGGCCCCAGGCAGAAGCAGGTCTTATGTGTCAGGCTGGTGGAGGTCCGGGAGGCCCTGACCCAGATCCGGAGGAAGCAGGCGCTCCAGGACTCTGAGCGGAAGGACACTGAGCAGGAGGCCGACCTCAGGTGGACACCGCCCACCTCCCTCCTGGGGGGCTGGCTCTGGGCCCACCACGTGTGGTCACTGAGAAAAGAGGCTTGAGCCGGAGTCCCTGTCCCCTCCCCCACCCAGTAGCCCTGGCCCAGGTCGCTCCCGGCCCCCCATCTGGGGACACAAGTCAGTGTCTTGCCCTTGTCTGTGTTTGCCCAGGTGGGGTTATCCACCCCCTGCCTCACCGGCCTGGAGGTCAGCCTGGGCCCCCCAGCAGCAGGCCTGGGCCCGGGAAGCATTCTCCATGTCTCAGGGCCCCACCAACCTCCCGGTGGCTCCCCAGCTAGGCCGGCCAGCTGGATTGCTGTGACCGGCGGCTGGTGCCCTAGGCTGGCTGAGCTGGCCGGGAAGCTGGAGCAGGAGGGACAGTTCCGGGAAGCGGCCTGCAGTGCCCTGCAGAAGAGCCAGGAGGACGTGAGCCAGAGGGTGGACCGTGAGGTGGCCAAGATGCAGGTACCGGGAGGGAGGCTGGGCCCAGGCAGCCAGGTGAGCCATCCTTCCTGGCAACATGGTCGGGCCCGGGGGGTGACCCCGAGGTCCTGCGCGGTCCGGTCCGTGGCCACCAGCCGCATGTGGCTCTGTCTGTAGAAAGCTAACGTTTTCGGTCCCTCGGTCGCATGAGCCACGCTTCAGGGGCCCCGCGGCCACGTGTGGCCCGTGGCTGACAGTTTGGGTAGCGCCAAGATGGAGCTCATGTTTCATCACAGAAGGTCCCTCCCTGGCAGCATCTCCGCCACGGGTCCTTCTTGCCGTCGTGGGATCAGCACCCAGATCCGGAAATAGAGCATCGTAGGCCTAAAGCCCCTTGCTCAGCCATTCCTGGGGTAGCCCCACCCCTGGCTGGTGCAGGTTCCCCTCCTGCCCGAGACCCAGCCTCTTCAGCTCTGCAAACAGAGCCCAGGGACCGCGTCACCCGTGCAGCAGGTGGGGGCGCTGGCCCAGTGCTCCCCAGCTGCTGCCCACATAGCTCGGCTGCCCAGCTTCGGTGGCCTTCCCCTTGCTGCTTCCCTTTGGGAAGTTCGTGTCTTGGCCCAATCGAGATACTGCCCACCACTGCGGCCAGGAGCTCCGGAAGGCACCGGGCCCAGGGATTCCTGCTGCGCCAGGCATGCGCAGGGCACCGCCTCCCCCCCACCTGCCCTCTAGGCCGGGGTCGGCACACTGTGACCACCACCTGTTTTCGTCAAGTCTGATGGGCACGTGGCCACACCCGCTCATTTACTCCAGCCCATTCCTGGGTTTGCACTGGAACCATGGAGCTGAGGACCCTGCGTCCTGGGGCTCCTTACAGAAACGAACTGCTGACCACCCTGCACGTGATGTGGGTGCTGGCAGGGGCTCAGGATGCACCTGTCCTGTGGCCAAGGGAGCTGGGGCCCTGGCCTTGACGTCTTCTCTCGGGCACACTCAGACCCTTGATGCCCAGGAAGGGAGCCGGTGGGGAGGAGGGGGAGGGGAAGGTGCCCCATCCTGGGCCTGGAGGGCGAGGGCGAAGTGTGTGTGCACTCATATTCCCTCAGCTTCCCTGACGGAGGCTCCCAGCTCAGGATGCGATTCGGCGGCGGCTGTGCCCCCTACCCTGGGTGGCGTCTGTGGTCACCGTGGGCACCAAGTGTGGTCTGGATCCACACGAGCTCGGCCTGTAGGCCCTTCACAGCCCTCGTGCCTGGCCCTCCGGGGGGACATGTGGGCCCTGCCTTCCTTTCTAAGGAGGGTGTGGTGGGCCCCGCTCTGCGAGGCTCGGGGACAGCAGGGGACACAGGGCCCAGAGTCCTCAGTGACGGACATGGTTGGGCAAGAAAACAGACTAGCCCGAGCTTGCCCGGGGGCCAGCAGGTGGGGGGCAGGGGATGGACGAGGCGAGGAGGATGGTCGGATTGCACGGCAACCACACTGACTCCCACAGGCCCAGGTGACCAAGCTCTGTGAGGAGATGAACCTCCGCTTCCTCAAGAGGGAGGCCAAACTGTGTGGCTTCCTGCAGAAGAGCTTCCTGGCCCTGGAGAAGGTGGGGGTCCATGGGCCTGTGGCTGGGCCATGCCCCCGCGCCCCCGCTCACGGCAGGCGGGCCGGTCTCCCCACAGAGAATGAAGGCGTCTGAGAGCACCCGGCTGAAGGCGGAGAGCAGCCTGCGGGGTGAGCTGGAGAGCCGGTGGCAGAGGCTGCAGGAGCGGGCCGAGGAGCGCGTGCAGGCCCTGCAGGGGCAGCACGAGGTGGGCAGCCCAGGGCCGGGGGTGGGGGGGCGGCGGGGGCATCTGGACGGGCGGGCGGCCGGGGCAGGGGCTCAGGGCCACCTCTCCCGCAGCAGGAAGAATGCCGCCTCCTGGAGCAGTGCCGGGGCCTGGACCAGGCCGTGATCCAGCTGACCAAGTTCGTGCGGCAGAACCAGGTGTCGCTGAACCGGATCCTCCTGGCCGAGCAGAAGGCCTGGTGGGTGTCCAATCCGCCTTTCTCCCCGGCGCCCAGTGCCCTCGGACGGGGGCTCCTGGTCCCCCCGTGGAGAACTCTGCACCCTCCAGTGGACGCAGCCCCGTCCAGGGGGCCCTGTGACCATTCTCTATCCCCTGCTCCCCGGGGTCTTCCACGTGGTTCTGGAGCCAGCAGCCAGGCTCCTCCAGGGCCAGCCCTGAGAGGGGGCAGCCTGGGCCGAGGGACAGCCTGTGTTGGCACCAACCCCCAGGGACAGCAAGGGGCACCTGGAGGAGAGCCGGGCCGGGGAGCTGGCCGCCTTCCTGCAGGAGAGCCTGGAGGCTGGCCAGCTGGCCCAGCAGGAGGCCCACAGCACGCTAGAGCTGGTGAGGGCAGCAAAGGGGTGGTCAGCGTCCCCAGGGGACCCCCGCCTCCCCAGGCAGCCATGTTAAAGCCCCCCTCCCACAGCTCCGAGAGAAGAGCCAGGCCCTGGAGGTGTCGCTGGCCGAGCTGGGGAAGCAGGTGAAGGACCTGAGTGACCACTTCGTGGCCCTGAGCTGGAGACTGGATCTGCAGGAGCAGACGCTGAGTCTGCGGCTGAGTGAGGTGAGCGCGGTTCTGGGGGAGCCGCGGCCCCGAGGCCTGCCATGGCCCCCAGCACGCGGTGGCTTCCGCAGCAGGGCCAGCAAGCCCTTGCACAGGGGTTCATTCCTCTTTTTTGCATGGTGTCACTGACACACAGTTCCTACGCTGTGCGGTCCACACTCGCGAAGCCTGGGGCTCAGCAGCTCCTCGCGTCCTCGGGGCTGAGCTGCGGTCATGTCACTGGGACATCTTCTCCGTCGCCACAGACAAAGCCCCATGCGGCTAGCTGTCCCTCCCCACCCCGCAGCCCCTGGCGACCACTGACTGGCCGCCGGCCTCTGTGGATTCGTAGGGTGGTCACCCTCTCCTGCAGCTGTGGGCGGCTGTCCGTCCCCGTCCCTGTCGACTCCTGGTGGGCAGGGGACTGAGCCAGGCCTTCCTATGGATGTGGTTCTGTTCAGCCTGGAGTACCCAGGTCCCCGGAGAGCCATCTGTCCCCCCCGTGCAGACTGCAGGGAGCTCTCAGCTGCAGGGTTGACTCTCTTGGCTCCAACTCTGGCTCTAGGGGGCCCCGTCCCTCTGTCCATCGCCCTCCATCCCCCAGCTCCGGCCCTCACTGGCGTCTGTGTTCCAGGCACAGAGAAAGTGGGAAGGCTCGGAGCAGGAATCGCTGGAGGGCCTGGCCCAGTGTCAGAAGGAGGCCGAGGCGCGCCTGAGGGGGGTGCGGGAGCGAGTGGACAGCCTGGCCCGGCAGGTGGGTGAGGGCCAGGGGTATGGCACCCCAGCCCCACTGGGCCACCTGGGCTGCCCGTCCACCCTGCGTCTGTTGCAGATAGAGGCCGTCTCTGACAAGTGCATCCTGCACAAGAGCGACTCAGACCTCAAGATCTCAGCTGAGGGCAGAGCCAGGTGAGGCCCCAGGACTGCAGCAGCTGGAGGTGCATCCACGAGGCTTCCCCTCCCGCAACCCCGGCTCCTCCCCGGCTCTGGGCTCGGCTCCCCCCAGGTGCAGCCCACACAGGTCCTTGAGCTTCGCCGTCTGTCACCTGCTGGGGACCTGCCAGGTCCCACTGGAGGGGTGGCAAAGCTGAGCACCCACCCCCTGCACACCCTGCCCTCCTTCCGCACCTGCCCTGTCCCTGCCCCTGCCCCCCCCACAGCCTCCTATTCCAACAGAGAGTTCGAGGTCGGGGCTGTGCGGCAGGAACTCGCCGCTCTGCTGTCGTCCATGCAGCTGCTCAGGGAGGGCAACCCCGGGCGGAAGATCGCCGAGATCCAGGGCAAGCTGGCCACGGTACCCCTGGGGCCCCCGTGCCCATCACGCTCAGCAGAGGGGCCCCCGGGGAGGCCCCGGATCCCAGACACCCGGAGGTCAAGTGGCTCACAGAGCCAGTGTGAAGTGGGGGGCACCTGTCTGGAGCCCCCCACATGCTGGGGGTGTCATCACGGTGAAAGGAGCCAGCCTGAGCGCTGGCCAGGTCCACCAGGTCACCCAGCGAGGGGCCGGGACCTGGTGTCAGAGGCCAGATCCTACCTTGGGGGCCTGGGGTGGGGGCCGCCCTCGGGCCGCGTCCGGGCTGACAAATGGGCGGCCTTCAGTTCCAGAACCAAATAATGAAATTGGAAAACAGCATGCAGGACAACAAGACCATCCAGAACCTCAAGTTTAATACAGAAACCAAGCTGGTGAGAGGCAGCCCCTGCGCTGACCCCGCCCCGGAGGCTCCCGGCCCCTCACCCCTCCCTGCAGGGCCCCTAGCTCCGTGGGCTTCCCTACGGCCGTCCGTCTGAGTGTCTGGCCCGAGCAGGGTTTCCTGGTAGATAAGACCCAGGTTTGTCCAGAGAGAGATAAATCCCGGGGGCTGTCCCGTCCCCCTCTGGCTGGATTCCTGCATTCCTGCAGCGGCCCCTCCTCCCGGCGCCCTTGTCCGCAGCGCATGGAGGAGACCGCCAGCCTGCGTGAGAGCATCATGCGCCTACGGAGTGAGGAGGGCCCGTGGGCTCTGCGGCTGGGCAGCAGGAGGGTCCTCATGTCCCTGGGGAAGCAGCAGTTCTTCATCAAGGACGCGGGGCCCGGAGAGGTGGTCCCCGTGAACCGCTGGGGCATGTATCAGGCCGTGAGGTGCGCCATGGGGAGCTGCCTTCTGGAGACCCCTCCAGGTCTGGGGCGGTCCTGGGGGAGGCCCCGAGGCCACTGGGCATGAGCCGTGTCTTGGGCAGGTGGCTGCAGTGGAAGGCGGCTCTCATGAACCTGGGGGCCCAGCGGAGGCCACACGCATTCCTGGAGAAGTCCTTTCGCCAAGAGGCTGCCCGACAGGTCCCATCCTTGCCCCTTTCCCAGAAATAAATGTGCCGGTTCCTGTACCTGTCAGCGTCCCGAGCTCCTTCCTAGGAGCCCAGCTGCCCCAGGCCTGGCACCTTCCTGGGCCGTCCTGCCCTCAACTGCAGCATCCTGGAGCCCCACCCACTCCTTGCAGGCCCCCAGAGGGCCAGCTGGCCTGGCGTGGGGTCCCGTGCCCTTCACACCTGCGCCCTGGCCAGCAAAGGAAGTAGCTCTTCCTGCCCTAATCTAGGGAGCAAACAGCGTGTTTGCTCACACACTCAGGCAGCACCCCTTCTTCCTGCCTCCAAGAAAACCCTGCTCATCCCACAGTAGCTGGTCTTGCCACCTACCATGGGGCCTGGGGGACAGGCAGCCCTAGCACCAGCCAGCCGGGTGGCTGCCGACCTGGGATCTCAGGACTGGTCTGGATGGCCAGTGGGCCTCGCCCAGAGTGGGGCACAGTGTGCAGACCGCCTGAGCCCAGGGCCTCCCCTCCTGGGGGCAGCGTGCCTGGGACGGCAGCTCCTGCCCATTCCCTGCCCAGGTGGCCTCTGGCGGTGGTGGCAGCTCTGGGCCGCAGGAGGAGCCTGGCCTGTCCTCCTGGGCCTGGGAAGTCCCTCCCTGAGCTGGCTGGTTGACGGCCCCTGGGGCTCCGACAGAGAGAACAGTGACAGGCCTCCCTCCTTAAGGAAAGGCAAAGCTGCCAACCCGCTCACCCCCACGGACCCTGGCCCACTGGCTAGGCCTCGGCCAGCTGTACCCCGTCCAGGGCCTGGGCCCCTCCCCCGGGCAGCTCGGGGCCAGTCTCCGCTGACCAGCTGGCCAGCAGGTCGCTGAAGTCAGGCGTGCCAGGGCGGAGCAGGCCCAGGGGGCCGGGGGCCGGCTCCTCCCAGAAGGAGAGAGGCAGCTTCCTCTGGGTCATGGGGACGATGTGGCCGTACTTTCGCTCCAGCCTGAGCCGCCTGCCAGCTGGGGCCCCAGGCCCTGGGTACTGCCGCAGCCCGTAGTCGAAGAGCTCGGCCAGGGGCCCCAGCCCACGGGCCTGCCCCTCGGGACCCCTGGGAGAGAGGACCCCGGGCTCCGCAGCCTGGTCACCATCTGGGGGCCCACCCGGGGCCAGGCGTGCCAGGTCAGCGCATGGGACGTCCTGGGCTGCACTGTCGTCCGCGTAGATGTCGCAGGCGTCGGGGTCCTGCCCCCTGTCCTTGCGGCCAAAGTACCGCTGGATGTCACCACTGATGAGCTCGGAGAACCGCAGCAGCTGCAGGGGTGTCTCGGGGCTGCTGGGACCCGGGGGGCCTACTTCTGGGGCCCAACCCGAGGCCTCGGGGGCTGGGCTGTGGCCGCCTGGCCCCTCCGGCTCCTCCTCGTCTTCCTCGTCGTCCTCGTCTTCAGAGGTCTCCTGGGGCTCCGGGTCTGAGGGCAGGAAGGGCCGGCGGGTGGGCAGGGGCGGCAGGAAGTCACAGAGAGGCCGGATCACGCCCGCGGCCATCTCCTCGGGCCAGTGTTTCTGGGGCAGCAGGTGCGGCTGGGGAGGGAGGTGGAGAGTGGACGGGTCAGGACAGGTCAGCCCTCAGGGCCCCAGGCCTGCCCAACCACACTTGTGCTCGGAGCAGGTGCTGCGTTCGGGAGCCAGGGAGGTGTGGAAAGAGACTAGGGCCGTGGGTGCTGGGGGTGGGGGCGCAGAGACGGTTCTTGATCAACAGGCCCACCTGCTGAGGAGCATCTGCCCAGGTGCTGGCAGGCAGGGGCCCCTGGGAGCTGGGCCTGGCTGTCTCAACCAGCACGCTAGGTCCAGGTCCCAGAGCCCCTGTGGCTTCGGGGGTCTCACGGGCTTAGGGGCAGGCCCAGAGCCGGGCGCTGGTTCCCCCGCGCTGTCTGACGACACGGATGCAGTGCAGGCCCCAGGCTTTCATCTGCTCTCTGGCCCCCTGGGGTTTGGAGGGGTCGGCAGGTCAGCAGGAAGCAGGGAAGGTGTGTGGGTCTGGGGCTCAGGGCAGGGTGGGCAGGGTGGGATTTGGGGAGGTGACAGAGACCGGGTGGCCTGAGGCCAAATGGGGCTGACTCTGAGCATTGGAGTGCTCTGGCCCCTGGGGACGAGTGCGGGGGAGCGCAGCTTGCAGCGGGGAGGGCCCTTTTGCCTCCCAGCAGGAAGGGAAGAAAGGGAGGGTGGTGTGGAGAGAGGGAGAGGGGGCTCCCAGCTTGTCAGAACCCCTACCCCAGGGAGGCTCACTTGGGCGGGGCCGCCCTCCTGCCTGCCGTCTGCCATCTACGTTGTCCCCTGGCTCTCGTTCACCGCGCTGGGGCCCCTCGTCCCTGCCGGGGGTCCCGTGGCCCCAACAGTGGGCTGTGGGGAAGACGTGGGCGGCCCCTTCCCCAGCCCCACCCCTTGCCCTCCCGCTGGGTGGGTGGTCCTCATGGCCCACCTGGCCAGAGGGCCCACCGCCTTCCGGGGAAGGGGGAGGAGGCCGGGTCCCCGCGCGCCATCCAGCCCGGCTCCTACCTGCTGAGGCCTGCAGCTCCTGTGGGGCAGGCCCACCTCCACCTGGGCTCAAGCATTTATAGCTGGGCTCTGCGGCCAGCGGGCTGGCAAATATTTGGTGACTGCATTGTCATCGCAGACTGGGCAAATAGAGCCCGTTTGCTTTAGCGCCCAGCAACCAGGGCCTTGCGGGGGGAGCCTCAACCTGCCCGGGGACCGTGGAGTGTTTGCCGCAGGCCCAGCTGGCTCACACCCGGGGCCGAGGACCCTTATCTCTGCCACTGATTGGGACCCGGACCAAACCTTGTCAAATAGGCGGAAAATTAAATTTCATGCTATTTTGACTTCTGGAGTAGCCTTCTCTAGAGGACATCCTGCTTCTGCGGTTCTCTGGGTAAACGGTGTTCCAGGCCGGCAGTAGGAGCTGGGCAGGCCAGGGACAGGAGGCTGTGGGGACCACCGGCCAGGGCTCGGGTGGTGGCCTCTCATGCAGGGGGCCGCCTCCAACCGCCGGGCCCTCCTGGGCGCTGTGACCAGTCTCAACCCTGCCAGGCGTGGCTGCAGGACTCCCAGCCCCTCCAGCCAGCTCCCGCCACCCCAGAGCTGCAGGTGTGTTTACAACAAACCCAACTCAGCCCCTGCTGCCCCCGACACAGGGCCTCACCCCCAGGGCCCAAGCTGGTCCCGTGCCGCTGCACCCCCCACCGCAGAGCCCACCTAGGCGCATCCTCATGAGCCTTCCCGCAGGGTTACAGCCGACACCACCCGCAGGACCCCGGGGGCTGCTGCCTGAGTGTCCTGGGGCCACGGTGGCCAGTCACCCAAACTGGGGGGCTAGGAGCAGCAAACGGGTGTCATCCAGGTGGGAACCCATGCTTCCCTCCTGGCGTCCACTGTGGGGACGCTCCTTGGCTGCAGCCCTATCACCGTAACCTCTGTCTCCATCTGTGCATGGCCTTTGTCCCACGGGAGCCTGGGTCCAAGTTTCTCTCTTACAAGGACACCAGTCATTGGATTTAGGGCCCACCAGGCTCCAGTCTGACCTCGTGTTCATTACAGCTGCAAAAACCCTATTTCTGCGTGAGGCTCCATTCCAGGGTTCAGGTGGATGTGAGTTTTGGGGGACAGTCATTCACCGTACGTGGCCTCTGCTAGGTGCCTCGCTCCTAGCTGGGAGGACTCCAGAATCCTGTCCTCTGTGGCTCAAAGCCACCCCTGCTTTTGGGCCAGCCAGGTTCTGAGGATAGGTTGGTAGCCCCCTCCCAGCTTGGCAGGCCCCTGGTCCCTGATCTCCCTCCCACCAGTGAGGGCTCATCCTTCCAGGGATACCCTCCCAGTCCTCCCTGGACCGTTGGTCTTGGTTCCAGGCTCTGCTCCCTTCAGGCAGGAGCCAGCACCTGTCCTACCTAGTGATGCCCCATTACACTGGGGTGTGGGCACAGACCCAGGCCTTTCCTGCAAGCGGGGACCATGGGGGGATAGCTGCTGGGCATTTCTTGGGCATTTGGAGGGCCCGATGCAGGAGTCATGGTCAGGACGCCCAGCTTTGGGGGAGTGACAGGGAAATGAAGCATGGGACCCACCTTGGGCCAGGCTGGTGACTTGCCGTGGGTGGGTCTTTGGAGCTGCCAACGTCTCCCAAGCAGGTGGTCTGCCTGGGCCAGGGCCCGTGCAAGGAGAGCGCAGGGTGGTGCAGCATGCCAGGCCTCCCTACAGCCTATGGTTCATGGTTTCCTGATCATCACAGCCCCATCCCCACGTCCCGGGGCGAGGCTGGGACACAAGTAATCTGTCTCGTGAGTCCAGTCTACATTTGGAACTCGGTCCCCAGAAACTGACTTCAGGCACGGCCACAGTTCTGCCCCGAGACTCCGGTTTCGATGACACTGTTGTCCAGGCTCCAGCCGTGGGGCGGCCCTCCCCCAGCCGCTGCCGTCCGCTCTGACCCAGCACAGTCAGCATCAGCCCTCTGGGACAGGCCGGGTCCCCAGGGAGGGGCCCAGCAGGTGCCCGGACTGTGGCCACAGCACCCCCTGCTGCTCCCCGGGAAGGGCTGGGCCCAGGACCTGGGAAGGGTGTCGGCTGGTGCAGGTGTCTCCTTGCTCAGCTGCCAAGGTGGGCCCCGAGGACTCAAGGGGAGTGCAGTCTGGGTGAAGGCTCCAGGAGGGCATTTGGGCTCGGTCTGCAGCCCTCATCGGTGCCCTGCCTGGGCTGGGCAGTGTGGGGGCTCTGAGGAAGATTAGACATGGCCCTGCCCGCGAGAACGTCCCCTCTTGTGTGACCAGAAGAGAGGCTTCATGGAGGAGGTCATTTGCTCGGCGCCGATGGGACCAGGAGCTCACCCGGTCCATCTGTGTGAAGTGCAGGTGTCCAGCAGAGGGGATGGCCTGCAAAGACCTATGCCACAAGGAGCTGACACCCTATGGTTGGTGGCCCTGCAGACGTCCACACCCTAATCCCCTGGGACTGTGGACATGTTATATCACATGGCAAAGGGCCCCACAGGTGTGATCCTGGATTGTCCTGGGGGCCCAGTGTCATCACAGGGGTCCTGACCAGAGGAAGGGCAGTTAGGGTCAGAGGGGGAGATATGAGCATAGGGGCAGGGTCCCTGCTGGCTTCGAAGGTGGAATGGAGGGTCCCTGCGTCTGGAAAACGCAAGGAAGTGATTCTCCCCGGAGCCTCCAGAGCGCCGCCCTGCAGGCACCTTGATTTGGGGCTGCTTTGGACTTATGACGTCCAGGACAGCAGGATAATGCATCAGCGCTGAGCCCCTCCCTCTGGGCTCGGCAGCCACAGGACACTCCCAGCTGGAAGCATCGGCTGGAAGGTGGGGTGAGGTGATGGCGTGCAGGGCCTCCTGGCTGGGCCATGGAGTTTGGCCCTTTCTCCAAGGCAGCCTGGCACTCAGCTCTGCCCTCTGTGGCTGGAACAAATCTCAGGGTGAGGGTGGGGCTCTCACAGAGAGGACCTACCACGGTCACCACCCCCACCCAGGGCCCACTCCTTCCCAAGGGCGCTTGTTCCCCAACCCCCCACAGGCCTACTTCTCTATCCTGGCCTCTGCCTCAGGCCCCTGGTCAGTGGAGCTGGGGCTTTGGCGGGGGTTTGGGTCCTGCAAGTGGCCCAGCGAGATGTTCACTAATGCCAGCCATGGGAAGACTGTCCACAAATAGCCAGACCTTCCCTGTCTGTTTCTGCTGGCATAATCCCAATGCTTTTTTCTGCCTGACCAGAGACCAAGGAGGAAACCCCAGCCTAGGACAGAGAATTTTAGATTCGAGG